TAAAGTCAAAAGGTGTGGCATTAATCCCAACTGCTTGTTTGTTGTTACTATTTGTTAAGTGTTTCAATAAATTTCTGCAATTCTTATGGCTGTCAATAATATTAATTAATTATGCCTATTTGTGCACAAGTCCGTGCCCGCACTGAAATTTGTCAGGCAACATGACCCTCCCCCAAAAAGTTAATTAGCTGTCAGTACAGCATCCGCAGAATTTGTTGACACAGAGCACAGATCCTCTGCTTCAGAGATTTATGTTTGTTTAATACTGCATTGGTTTTCTTCATTCCATGCTTTGCAAAACCTTCGCACAAAAGTCTGTGGTTTCTGTGTGTTTTTGGTCCCCTGTATATCAACTCTTACGTATCATAACGGAGAAATCCGAGTCCCTTGAAAAAGATGCCCCAGGCAATTTATAATAACTTAATATTTCCTGATGGATTGCATGGCATTTTAGAAGTGCTGTTGGTTGTCAAACTACAAGGATACCGGTACAGTTAGAACTGAAAAGGCCACCGGGCATTTCCACTAGATGACATTTGGCAGGTTTTGTTTTTATAGAGAAGCTGTTGGTGAAGCCTGCGCCAATGGGGAGCTCTAAATGCTGTGGCTTTTAAGCTACAATTTGTCCGCTTGAAGAAACCCCAGTAATCCGATTACATGTACATGTACATGTACACTTAGAGACGTCCCCCTAGTGAGGTTGCTGGCACCAAATCGAATCAGACAGTAATGGGATTGGATGCTCACAGCAAGATCTACAGATTGCCGATGAAGCAGTTGTTACTGTCAAGTTCCGCATACTTATACATGTGCAACCTGCTTTATCAAAATCAAAATTTGACCACAGGGTATTTCATGGATATATTCCTGATATGAGTGAGGTGATCATTCATAAGGCAAAAAAAAAAGTCTCCAGTTTCTGGTATGCGCGCGCGTCGCCGTAGCCATGCGCGTCGCCAAAATGAAAAAGTTTTTTTTTTTCAATGAAAGATGATGTCTCAAAACCTGGAATCCTGCTGCTGCACAATTGAAACGTGTTTTTAGATTGGGTTATGGTCGAGAATTAAGCTTTATGTGGCCTCTCTGGACTCCCATATATTGCACTAAGTTTAGTCGGGCACCATTTGCAGTCATCAGCCGACATTTGAAGCAAAAAAATCAGGTAAAAAAAAAAAAAAAGCCGCGTCGCCGACTCGCCGCACCACTTTTTGGGCAAGCTCCATACCAGAAACCGGAGACTTTTTTGGGGGGCCTAACTCACTTGTTTGTGCTGATTTTCAGTCGCTTTTTCAGTCACTACCAGAGACAATAGAGCCAGAAAAGACTGCATGCTTGACACACGCCTCATGGGAAGTTGTACAGTTACTCCATGTTCTCTTGGTTTAAATTGTCCAGTACCGGTAATTCTTACCCAACTTGCCCGCCAGTTATTCTGAATCTGAGGTTCTGTCGGTGGTTGCAAACTGTACCATTTGCACCTGCAGATGTTTGAACTAAGCTTCCTGAATATCCTCCATTGAATGTGCTAAAACCACTTTTCTAAATGCACATTTGCCTGGTGATGGTACATAAAAATACTGAAAGTTGGTCGAGGATGGGGGTGGGGGCGGGGGGTGGGCAGTGTACATTACATCACTCTTTTCGGAGAAGAAAGTTGGGGGAGCCCTTTGACTTGTGATGTTATTGTATGCAAACGCAGAAGTACATACTGTATTCACATCAAACAGCTAACTTTTTTTTTGCAAGCTGGTGATTTCCAGAGCCAAATTTTCCTAGCAGTGATTCTTTCACACGGAAAATACAAAGTACAGAAAATTTAGTTTTATACAAAATTTGTGTTCATATTCACGGATGAATTGATTTTGATTTTTACCTTTTTTTCTGTTTTTCAACACACGTAGACCAAAACTTATGAAAAATGGTGGAAAATTCACAAGTCCCTAATGGATAGGCTTGTTTAGTTTTGAACGTATAGGCCTACATCACCAAAATTGTTTTGGTAATGTGCAAATGCAGGGCATTGTTTTCCAGAGCTAAGGATAATTGCTGATCGTAAGTTCAGAGTTCATTCCTTCCCATCTGAGGTGCCATATTGTCATGACCCTTTTGAGTATGCCGTGGCTGTTACCACGGCGACAGTAACTATAAATAAACACCAGGTCCCCGGCAACCCAGAAAAACAAATTGCTGAAATGTGACGCCGAACAGTTACTACAGGTGGATGGCATTAATGATGGCACGAAGGAAAATGTGATGTGGGGGGGGGGGGAGACCATTACGCACACTTGAGATTTCACGAGAAGTGAAATTCTCAAAAATAGTATCTTATGTGTTGTGACGGATGGTTGAAAAAGGGGTAAAGTCCAATGCTGTTATCCACGCACTGGAGTGGTATCATTAAGTCGGTTGTATTTACTCCTCGTTGAAGGGTCACCAGCAACAAAATACAGTCGGAGGTACTTCAAAGAGATAAATGATGACTTGGCAGTTGAAAGTCCAACACTTGAAATGAGAAACGAAAAGAGACAGAGAAATAAAGTAGATCGGACATAGTCCTAAACCTCTCCTGCAGCAGTAGCTATAGATACACTCTGGCAGGTGAGAGGTGTTTTTAACGTCTGGTTGTAATTAAGACGGGTGCAGGCTTCCTTGTAATTTATCAAACCAAGGAGTGGTCACAGTTCAATGAGATATGCCACATCACGATTGCAAGCACATTTTGATGGGTGGAAAACAAGTTGTGTTCGCTCAAGACGGGACGAGCAAGGAGCGAGCTTGCAGCTGGCTATGATATGCGCTTGATTAAACCCTTTGAAAGGCCCAATCACTGTTATTAAATTTGGCTAGATTTACATTTGCTCTTGTGAAAGCTTGAGTGGGCAGCATAGTACGTTTTAAAAGCACATGTATTCTATGGAAAGTGAACATCAGAAAACTTGTTTGGGGGATGGGGGAAAGAATGGTAAAAAGCATGCCCTTGGCTGTGTAGAATTTAGCACTGGTGTTTCTGCATAGATATTTATATTCGTTTTTGGATAGCTCCAAGTATTTTGATTTGAGCAGTACATTTAAAAACGATGATGTATTTAAAGATATGGTCCATCATTTGTAATTTGTGCATTTTGTTCGTTTGAAGCAACAAAAGTGTTCAAAATCTAATGAAGGGTACTGATCAACTAACCTGATGAAGTTTCAACTAAGCTTCAGCTGTATATTCCGAGGAAAAACAGCATTCTAGGATCTCAATTTCAAATCAAAAGTTACTGAATCATGTTTTGAATTGTTTTGAATTGCAGCTATACGCGACGTCGCGCACTGATCCGACGAATTATAGCAACCGCGCGCGCGTGTGCGTCGTGCCAATGCTCGCGCCCGCTTCGCCGAATAACAAAACGAACTACTAATTTAAATTTTCCTACGGTGCGTCTTAAGACACACCGTTGGAAAGGCCTTCTTTCGTTGATTACTTCAAAATGACAGCTTCCCAGAAAGAATAATTTCACAGGGAGTTTAGTCCCCTTACTATCTTTCAACCAAGTTTGTTTTTCAACAATAATTACGCCAGTTACTTTTTGGATGGCTGCAAATGATGGACTATAGCTTTAAGATGAAATTGTACAGTGACGGGCCATGAATTTTTTTTTAAACGGAGATAAATTGATGTATTCTTCTATTAATTATCAGATTTCGTTAAAGATTTGTCTTCGAGAAAATGTGCAGAGGAATGGTGAAAGTAAAGACTGGCATCCCCGTTTAATGGAATGACCTAAAAATGTTTGTAGTAGACTGATATTACTTTTGAGGTCGAGAATTGAACGTCGTGCTTAATACATTTTAATATCAGTTAAAAGCTGAAGAAGCACCATTGTTCATCTTTAGTAGAGATAGTTTTGTTTGCTACCTAACATGTAGCTACAATCAGCGCTGTCATGGCAACGCTATGGCTGCAGGTTTAGTGGTTAGCATCTAGGGGAAGCATATAAGTTCAACACCAGCCATCCCTGTCATTGTTTGTAATCATTTTCAACTTGTTCTGGGGACAGTACAGAACAATTTTGGTTTGCATTCATCAGTATTTTTATGCAGTGTATTATATATTGATTCCAAGAAGGAAATGGAAATCTGTTGCCATGGTTTTAAGGTACATGTAGTTTCACCAAAACTGCATCACTGTCATTTTTTTTTTACCATGTAAATAATTTTGTAACAATTATTGGGTGTCCCTTGAAGTTGTATGTACTTGTACCGTATTTCCCCTGCTACAATCCCGGCCAAAACGGTTGGGACACTTCCTGAGCCTGCCACGGTCACCCACTCCCCCGCTCTCCCGGTCAATGTTGTTCTCTCCAGCTGATGGAGCACACACCGCGCAATGAGAGACAACATTGAGTGGGGGCCGGGGGGTTGGGGGCCCAGCAAGATTTGGCCAGGATTGTAGATTCCTTTTTCTAAATTGCTATTTTTCTAGCAATTACGTTTTTCGCTTAGAGAAACAAAAAAGTTGATTTTGTTGAGGGGCACGGGGAACTTAAAACACCACAGTGCATGAGAATCACATTTCAAAGATGCTCCTTATGGACAGAAGTCCTGAGATTAATATTACTCATTAATTTTCCCTATGTCCATCTGTATATGTTACAATTTGGGAGTCTATCATTGGCCTGTAATTTTAATGGTTACATATATATGACGGCACTTTCAAATAAGAAAAGTTGTTGCCGATATTACTAGTGATAAGTAAAGTAGATGTCTTTTTGATTAGTGCACATGATATAAGATCAAACGTTTATAACATATGTACATGTAAAAAAAGTGTACGTGTGCAAACAGAATATTGTGTTCATTAGGCCTGGTAGTTATATTTTGGATAGCCTATATCATCTAAAAACTGTTCACCTCTCTGGTTAGTAAAAATTAATACATATATGACCGTTTTTGAACAGCCAAGTTACTGACATAATTTAATCAAAAGCCACTTTTTTCTCTTCTTTTTTTTGCAGACTGCATTCAGTCAATATTGGGCGAGCAGCCAAACTGGGCAGCCAATATTTGATGGCGCTGATGAAAGATGACAGTTTCATTACGTGAAGGATCTTAAAGCAAGGCCAGAGAAGAACAGCGTGGCGTACGTGCTGTGAAGGTATATAAGCACTTGGCTCATCAGGTGCCGTGTGCGTGTGACTGGTGTGAAGATCTTCTTTAGTTAGCTGTAGGGAGAAGCTAGGCAGGAGAACACTCATTGCTGGTGCGTGCGGTTGTCCAGACTAGACTATCCATCACAGTGGATGTGTATCACTGTTGACACGGTATCATTCATGTGCGGGGTGTCATTGTCGCTTGGTATTTACCGCGCATCGGATCGTAGTATTACCACCGGGATAGATTATGACTTTTAAAGGAACTGCGATCGAAACTACATAACACAGCAAATGAATCAGACGCACTTGGGATTTGTTTTCTACGTGTGGTTAAATTCAGCAACATCAAAGTACATTGGTGAGTTTGTTTAATGCTCCAGCTGTATGTTTCAGCCGAAAGGGCTGTGCCAAATGTATGTACTGAATTGGTTTGTTGGAATATTCAATAATATTTTTTGAATATTTGGAAAATGTGAGTCATCAGAGAACAGGACAAAAATTGAATAAGTTGTGTTGGTTTTATTGTTTGAGTCTATGGAAAGAATGTTGAATCCTGATGCCACTTTTGTTTTCGTCGTATATTATCTCAATAATGGTCAGTCATTGCAAAAATGTTGAAAAGACATGAATCTGGCACTGACATTTGCTTTTCATGCATTTTGTTTGTTTCCCAAAATAACAGCACTCAAAATCCAAAGAGAATGTTCCAAACCTAACCTGTTGAAGTAATGATCCACCCAGTGGATATAACACCTTTCGAGAAAACAAAACCATGCACCTTTTGATCACAAAACATGATTTCCTCAATAGCTTTCGGTATTCAAAAACTCAGTCAATTGACTGATTGTTGGAAATCACCTACATTTCTTGTGGTTTTTTTTAAGTGACAATAAGCCAGACAAAATAATTCAATGGAATGACCTAAAAATGTTTGTGATAGTCTAATAATACATGTATTACTTTTGAGGTTGAGAATTGAACGTCGCGCTTAATACATTTCAATGTCAGTTAAAAAGCTGAAGAAGCAATATTGCTCATCTTTAGTAGATTGACTGATTGTTGGAAATCACCTACATTTCGTGTGTTTTTTTTCTGAAGTGACAACAAGCCAGACAAAAGAATTTTAAAAATTTGATATTTTTTATTAGCTTTTTGATAATTCGGTATGTTAGGCCAAAAAAAAAAATAAGTCGGTCTCTGGTCAGCGCGCGCGTCAATTTTAATCATGCGCGTCGATCTTTTTTTTGTTCAAAATGTTCCGGGGTAGCTTCAACAGTGCCCTCTATTTCCACACCTCAATTTTTTTTACCAAAGAGCACCAAAGAATGGGAAATTGCACCAAGGCAAATGATCGAAAGCACCAAGGCAAATTATGGAGGACACCAATGTACATGAGGACACCAAAAAAGCAAAATAGTACTCCACCTTGTCTGTACAATCCAAGCTTGAAGAAAAAAAAAAAAAAGCGAAAAAAAAAAAAAGTATGCCGGATGTATGCCGGATGTGCTGCATAATATATGTGCTAATGTATGCTTGTGTCGTCCACAGATGCACCTTGGCCTAAAGAAATCGAACTATCAGTAACTGACAGAGAATAATGACTGTGCTTTCATGTTTTCTATTATCCATGCTACCGTTCATCAATAAATAAAGCTTCAGGTCGGCAGATGATACCAGTACACCAGTAGTGCATTGAACTCACCCCATGTTTTAATAAAAAATAATAATAAATAATGAAATAATATCGGCGTCTTGTATAGCGCACGTATCTACCAACAATTTTCTTAGCAGACTTACTTAGCGATATTATTTTTTCCAATTAACTTTGAACATAAAAGCCAAACTTATGAAAACCTTCAAATTTTAGACGGTATGGTTTTTTGCCACATAGAATTATGTGCAGTGTTTTTTAACTTTCAAAAGAGACCTACACGTTTTTTAAGTTCATAATGAAATGTTTTGAAAACCTTCAATGTTCTTGGAGTAAAAACAACCTGCCACGCACCTGCCTAGGGTTTCATGAAGTAATTGTTTATCCTTGCCTCCCATTTTTCAATTGACTTGTTGTTCGATTCTTAATATTTCTGGCATAGATCTCCCCCTCTGTCTCTCTTTCTAGAATTAGTTGGTCATGCATGAGTCCCATAGACAAACTAAAACAAATAATGCCAATTGATGAAGAAATACTAGTCAACTTATTGAAATCAACTCCCGCCACATGTGAGCTTGTTATGTTGTAGATCCTACAATGTAAACCTGCTGCCTGGATGTGCTATATTTTCGTAAAATCTTGCAGGTTTTTCAGGTCGACTTACATGCACTATTACATTTGTACAAGTGAAGAATGCAAAGACGATATACTTGCTTTTACCAATTTTTGTCTGAAATTTCCCAACCTTTGAAGGAATTAAAAAAAATTCTCAGAGCCCTGGTTTTTTAAATTAAATTTTGAAAGCAATTATAACAAGGTTTGGTAACAAATCTCGCAGGTTTTTTCAGGTCAACTTCACCATTACTGTGGAATAATGCAAAGACGTACTTGCTTAAATCATTTTTTGTCTGAAATTTCCCAACCTTTGAAGGAATTCAAACATTTTCTCAGAGCCCTGGTTTTTTAAATTAGATTTTCAAAGCAAATTTTTTTTTTAAATCAGTGCAGATTTTTTTTTGTAGCAGATTTTAACAAAGGTTTGGTAACAAAGCGCTGGCTGAAGCCTATAGGACCAGGGATGTGATGGGTTTTTTAAGTGACAGTTTTAAATGACAAGTTTAGTTTCAGGTATATTGTACATATTTTTTTTAACCAAATGTATCCTGAATATAGTGATTACATGTAAATGTATGTCAGTTGCATTTTACAGCATCGTTTACACAGCATGTACTGATAATTAGTTACTACCGTGATGTACTGTGTATACATATATTAAACACAGTCTTCAAATTTGTACATTTCGGTTGATTAAACAAAACAAACAGTGGGGGATGAAAGACAATAATTAGTTTCGCTACTGACAGGCTAGGTATACAAGCACAGTGTGCCATGCTCATTAGGCAAGGCTCCGCTTATGAGATATTAAACAAATACATTTTGAATCAATATTAGGTGAGGTGAGTTGCATTGATTTCAGTTTATTCTAAAGACTCTTATTGAAAGAATCAGTACATTGAGACTTTATTTTTCGAAAATCTGATAAACACCATTTTGTTACCTGTTTCACCCTCTCCTGGCTGCGCAAAATCAGTTTCGACAGGTTTCATACCATTATTTAAGAATACAGTAAAGTGAAAAATGAAGTTGAGAAACAGTTGTTAGGCGAAGTAAAAAAACAAACATGTTTCTCGTCCCCGCCCGCTTCCTTTTTGGAAGCCGCCTGGATATTTTTATTATTTTTTTATATTTGAAAAATGCAGTAAAAACACACCAAAAAAGTCCACAAATTCATCGGAAAATAAATACTTGCGAAATATTTGAGTCGAAGTTTTCAGTATAGACCAATACAACGCTAAATGACACTGTAAATATGTTCAGTTCTCTTGTCCAACTTGTCTTTCACTTTAAAAGTGTATTTGAACAGTGGAAACACCAACGGTTGCAGGAAATTTTAAAATGGCGGCCATCTTGAAAAAAATTAAGAGTAAAAAATAAAAGCCCCTGTTCCTCCTTTTTTTCAAAAACCTGGACGAGAAACATGTTTGGTTTTTTAATTCGGCCTTTTACTGTTTCTATTCTGTAAGGTTGCATATTCGTGGAAATTTTTCACTTTTTTTTCAAATGGATACATCGCATTTTGCAAATAAACTCTTCACATAAATGTAAAAAAGCAATTCACAGACCAAGAGAAGGTAATTTCACATTGACAGATGAGAGCTACTTCAACTCAATGCCATTGACTGGCGTCGTTTTTTCCCCCTCATCCTTCCCAGCGTCTGAGGAACAACAGGTCTGATCATTTTGCCAAGGTGAGCAGAGCAGCGTCAAATCAGCTCCCATGGGAGGCCACATCTGGTGAAACAGATCTCCGTCTGCATCGCCATAACAACCACAGAGGGCATCATGGGATGCGGAGGCTCCAGTCAACCGCGCTATGAGATGAGCAAGTCAGAAAAATGTAAGTTGCTTGAACGTAGTCAGTATAACTGATATTGAATGTGTTTTTTAGAACCCAAAGCCTTGTTTTGCTTAATCGCTATTGTTTTCCTCTATGTAAAAAGATGTTCTTTGCAAAAATGTATGTTAGGCCAAAAAAAAATAAATATTCGGTCTCTGGTCAGACCAAAGTTCCGGAATTGATGCGGCGATGCGTTTTTTGGGGTTTTTTTGGGCCTTTTTTTTGTTTTTTGGAAGCTTGGATTGTACAGACAAGGTGGGTACTATTTTGCTTTTGTTGTGTCCTCATATACATTGGGGACCTCCAAAATTTGCCTTAGTGCCCTCCATCATTTGCCTTGGTGCAATTTCCCATTCCTTGGTACCAAAATTTGAGGAGGTGCGGCAATAGAGGGCGCTGCTGTAGCTACCGCGGACAATTTGAAAAAAAAATAAGGTTGACGCGCATGATTAAAATCGACGCGCGCGCTGACCAGAGACCGACTTATTTTTTTTTTTGCCTTATTATAATATTTTATTTTGTCATTTTTTAACAAGTTTCGTTTCACTCTTTGGACAAAGTCATAACTCACGCTTAGGATTAACCCTGACCCCCAGGCCTTTTTGCTAGGATACATCCTCAATCTTTCAAAATCTCCCAACTGCGTCAATGTAAATATTGCATACAGCCCCAATCCTGCAAAATCCTCTGTTACTTCTTGAATTTGTTCATTGGAGGGGTGACCACTGCCTGCAAAATCCCCCAACAATCAATGTTAATATGTTGAGGCGATGCTGATGATGCCCAGATGTAGTGTGGATGATTTCCAGTATTATCTAGGCCTAAATTTATGCATGCATGGCTGAGCATAAATAAGGTATCAACCTTGACACAATGCATATACATGTACATGTGTTCTACAAAATCGACTGACACATTTTTGCCACAAATCCTTACTCATTTGAAATCTCGGAAAAGTATCCGAATGCAATCTAGGAATTCCTGTCATCACTTGTAATATTCAAAAGATTGTATTTTTATAAATACAGTACACAAAGCTATTTCTCCCGTTAAATTGGCCCTTATTTGTTCAAAATCTAATGAAGCAGCATGTAAAAAAAAAAAGTGTGTCAACTTTGAACATTATCTCCAGTGCAGCGTAACTAAATACGACACACAGTTTGTGGCGGAGCAGACGTTTGAAAGAGACCGTGGGGAAAACGCTTATTACACACTGCAAACGCTTATTACACACTGCATGATTTCATCCCTGGCTGTCAGACATTGCATCCCATTTGCGACTCCAATTTCACTGGCCGTTTAGCCTGGATATGTACGTGTTCTGCTGTGAGCGTGTGGCACAGTTCTGTCTGGTGATCGTGACACGTTTATCTTTGTTATGATTATCAGTTTATCATCACACATAAAAACCTGATATTTCCTGAGGTACATGTATAAGAGGCTTGTAATAAGCACGTATCAGAGCTGTTCGAGATCGCTGTATACATTTACTTCCAAGTAAAAGAAGTTGAAATTCACTTTAATTATTATGTTTATATTATGAATATCGAAGAACGAATGCACAAATAAAGTTTTCCTTTACTGACAAAATGCTGAATTATAGAGGCCCTTTATTATTTTCCCAGTATTCCTTAGTAAGGCCAAAAAAAATATATATTCGGTCTCTGGTCAGACCAAAGTTCCGGAATTGACGCGGCCACGCGGCTTTTTTTGTTTTGTTTTTTGTTTTTTTTTTTTTCTTCAAGCTTGGATTGTACAGACAAGGCGGGGTTCTATTTTGCTTTCTTGATGTCCTCATGTACATTGGTGTCCTCCATAATTTGCCTTGGTGCTTTCAATCATTTGCCTTGGTGCAATTTCCCATTCCTTGGTGCTCTTTGGTAAAAAAAAAATGAGGAGGTGCGGAAATAGAGGGCGCTGTTGGAGCTACCGCGGAACATTTTGGAGAAAAAAAAGATCGACGCGCATGATTAAAATCGACGCGCGCGCTGACCAGAGACCGATTTTGTTTTTTTGGCCTAAAAGTGGTGTTTTTTTTTTATAGTTAATCATTCATTTGTCCAAATGTCAAAATATTTCAAATTCATACATTTGCCGTGGAATGCCCAATCATATTCAATCAAAACATATGGCATTGCAAAGAGACTCTACTTTCTGTCAGAATGTGTCAATAAAAGTCAAATTTGATGCAATCTCTCCCAGTTTGCCCAAGGTTCCAACAAGTTGCATTTCATGGTTATTTATGGCCCCATCAAATCCAAATGGCAAAGTTGGTAATATGACCAAGCTTCAGCCGACTACATTATTGACAACTTCTCCTGTTCCCCGATGATTTGGCCTTGGGCACTTAAGGCCAATTTTCTTCTTAAATTCATCCCTGCCCTAGCCATTGATCCCAAACCATATCTTATCACACGGCATTTTCTGCCCTTTCCGCGTTCAGTAAACCTGCACAAGTGCTGAGAGCAGCAGGCGCGTGGCCTCATCCAAAATTAACCTGTGTGTAGGCGCATACACTTTGATGAAGTGCAGTTTCCTAGAAAAAATAGTATTGGAGGTTTGCACTCTATAGAATAACCCGGCGACAGGCATTATCTGAGGTGGCACCAGGCTTGCGCGAGTCGCGCTCAGGTAGTATGCACATGCTCTGGGCTCCTTCGACCAATAGCGTTAAAAGAATGCGCGTGCGCCTTGTCTTAAAGAACACATGCGGCATGCGCGTGGACGTGGTGTACATCACCTCAAAAATATTCGGATCAGTCTATACCACTCCGTATTGTTCAACTGGTTATGAAATAATTGCCTGAAATTGCCTTACAGTACTTACACTGCGAGTCAGAGGCTGGACTAAGCCTGCTCACATTCTGAAGTGTTATTATACAAGTAATGAATGTTTGTGAGTGCAATGGTAAGAATAATTTCATGAGGTGACAGATGAAATGAGGTGACAGATGAAATGAGGTGACAGATGAAATGTCGTGGAATGGAACATTTCATCTGTCACCTCATGAAATTATTCTTTCCATTGCACGAACGTCAAACATTCATAAATTTGTTTTATATAACACCTGAATAAATCCTTGTCATCTGATTGGTTGACTTTTAATAGCCAATTTATTCAGGTTAAAAACTGTTAAATAGTTCAACAAGTTCATCATATTTTATTAATGCAAACTGTTCAAGTCAACAGGTTGAGAACAATCATATTCAATTTATCTCGATTTAAAACAGCGCCACTACCAGCAGCAGCGACACCGTGCAATGGAAGTTCTATTCACCGTGCAATAGAACTTCCATTGCACTGTGCGCTGGTACGAATAATTCAATGGCATGTGATCAACGATCCACCAATCAGATGACAGGGATTTATTCAGGTGTTGTATAAACTTGAATATTGCTGTATACAGCAGGCGATATACATTGTATCCACTTGTTATTACAGTTTAATATTTTTATGGAGTTCATATTCATGGAGTTCATATTCATTAGTTAATTAAATAAGGTGAGGTGTAAAGCAAAATACTGTATGTCATGTACGGTACACAGGTACATCCATAGTAACTACATTGTATGTTTACAAGAAATTGTAGCGTTGATGGATTTTAGTGTCAGGCACATACACTCTAGGGTATGCGGAACGTTTGGTAATTACTTGGAAATGGACTACGGATTTAATGAGAAAATTCCTTCCTCAAAGTGAAGAAAGTGATGGTAGGATATACCCTGCAAAATAACTCCACCTGCAATGGTATCATACAGAAGAAAATAGTCATTGAAGGTGGGTTTAAAAAAGTGTGCCCTCAGACACACTTTTTTTGTGCATTAGCAGGGGAATCCAGAATTCTTGATATAATTTCTCTGTTAAATGTATAGTAGCCATTGAGCTAAAATGTCCTGTGTTACTTGTTATTCTCCCTTACTTTTTAAAATGTTTTGAGCATTTGATTGTTGCTTTCACACTTAAACGAAAAAAATAAAAAAAGTGAATAACTATTATCTTTAAAACATCTTACGGTGTTATACTCTGAATACTAAAGAAGGTAAAAACTCTTACATAAGGCCAAAAAAAAAAAGTTTCTGGTATGCGCGCGCGTCGCCGTAGCCATGCGCGTCGGCAAAATGAAAAAGTTTTTTTTTCAATGAAAGATGATGTCTCAAAACCGCCAAACTCACTGGTTTGACTGGAATCCTGCTGCTGCACAAATTTTAACGTGTTTTTAGACTGGGTTATGGTCGAGAATAAGCTTTATGTGGCCTCTCTGGACTCCCATATATTTGCACTAAGATTAGTCGGGCACCATTTGCAGTCATCAGCCGACATTTGAAGCAAAAAAATCAGGTTAAAAAAAAAAAAAGCCGCGTCGCCGCACCACTTTTTGGGCAAGCTCCATACCAGAAACCGGAGACTTTTTTTTTTTGGCCTAATTCTTTTTATTTTTTATTTTAAGTCACTAAGTTTTAGATGAAGGAAAATTTATTTATTTTTTATTCCAAGTGAACTATAGTTCTTACAGTAACATGTATTCTTTCTATTGTACATTGTCAGATTTTAACTTTTGGTAGGCATTTCCTATGCTATTTTGATTTTAGCTCCCCCCACCCCCAAAAAAATTATATTTATTTATTCAGTTTCTATTTTCCTAGCAATATAAAAGTTATTCACGATAATGAGACATTGAACCAAAAATCAACTGATATTTAGTCATTTAATTATTTCTTCACAAAAATTTGGCTCTTGCTGGTTTGGTTAACTTGTGCGCAAAACTTTGGTTTTTGTGCTTTTTACATTTACATTTGGCGTAATAAAATCCTTTTTGGCCCCACTAAACCATACTAGGATATTAAAAGATGTGGCTGTCAGACTTATCAGTGCACTTTAAGGCTGATCTGAATGTCTAGATGTTCACTCTAAAAACTACACGTTTCTTAATGACAAACTAACTTGGATTTACGCTTTCAGTACACTTGCCTAAGTAGTGGCCCTTGAAAGTGCCGTTTTTCTCTTATCGCCAAACAGCGCCTAAGACCTAAAAGCTCTTAAAATGTCAACCATTAAGTAGTCTTTGATGCTCATCACAGTTTCGCAGTCAGGCTTTTAATAGCAAGTAGGATAAGCCTGCACAGATCTGCTGATACATTATTGACATCAGATTAAGGTTGCATATGTATCAGAACAGTATAGTGATGTCAGTATAGGAGTGCATTGAACACATGCACTTTGGAAAAGGTTTTACTTCTAAAATCTTCAACATACACGTGTACATATGTTTTGTTTGCACTTGCTTTTCAAATTGCAGTTTAAGGGATTCAAGTCTCCTGTATAATGTCTGATATGTCTAGAACTAAATGTGCAGATATATGCAAGCCGCACACCAGCCAATCTGATCATGAGTCACGAACCCCTACCACTAGGCCACACAACCCCCAACGGAAATGTCTCAGTTTAAATGTTTCTGTGCAGATTGTTATTTCCTTCATGTGGGATTAAAGAATACGTTACTTGTAGCATGTTAATCAACACCTCTCAGTATCTGTGACAATTTCTAACTTGCAACCCACATCATAACCAGTGTAGATACAAAAGATAAATATAACAAATGTACAGCTCTCACTTTCAAACTTGCGTAACTTTTTATTTGTAATGAATGTGGTTTGAATAGTTCAACAGATTTAAACACTGCATTCACGATGTCTATTTCAACAATATGCAGTACAGAAAAAAGCTCAACATGTAAAATAGTACATCGTCATGTGAAGAACACACTCAATTTATTCTAATGGTGGTGCTTATTATCCATTGACATGAAACAGCCCTGAAATTTGATCCTCTAGGGGCCAGGTAATTTCTCTCAGTCAAGGTCACTTTTATTATCTGCGAGTCTTTCAAGATGAAACATACATGCTGGGGCAGGTTGGAGTATTGTCTCTATACTGCCTCGTTCCAGGGAGAATATCAAGCCATATATAGTGCAGTGTTATAGCATGGGTGCATGCAGTTGACATGAATTAATTCTTGTCTGACCAGTTGCCAATGGTGTTTTTGTTGTAAATTATTTTTACCTAAACTGTTCTACCAATTGCTCAAATGAGTGGCTTTTAGTTGTTTATTAGTTGTTTATTAGTTGTTTATTAGTGTACTTTGTTTTGGGGTTAGCCCCAAAGCTCTTGTAACTGAACTGTTTTCCCCAAATCAATAAAATTTAAAGAACAAAATTGGAGATGCTGCTACAATAAATCAAAGGTCTCTAATCGTGGAGCACCGTGGTCCAACGATTACAGTGTTCCCCTCGCGTGTAACGGTACGTGTGGGTTCAAACCCTGACGGGGAACATGGTGCTTGTGTTCTTGGGCAAGGCACTTTACTACAACTGCCTCTCTCCACCCAGGAGTAACCTGTGAGGGTACTGACCAGAGTGCGCTGATCTCGAGCTGCTGCAGAAAACTGTGCTCATTGCATGATGAACAGGGGTAATAATTGTGAAGCGTGTTCAGACTTTGGTATAAAAAGCACAATTTGACTACTGATAAAATAAAAACTAGGAGACATTCCCATAGACTTGTGCAAAAAAAACTTTTTCTCAATTTTAATAACCCCAATTTTAGCTTATCCTACCCCACAAATTTTGGTAATTTTGCTAATTGCAATGGACCACCAGCAATTGATCTAGCCTTTTTGCGACAATAAATTTTGCCTTGCCCTCTAAATACATTGAAATGTACCTCTCCCCAATTCTCCCAAAGGTATAACATGATGCTGAAGTACCGGATATCTCCAAAAGATCCTATTGTATAAGCATTACATTATCATTATTTTTATGATTATCATTAATCACACACCTGAACAAGTGCAAGCCTTATATTAGCTCCTCTTGATGAGAACAGACTGTTTGAAAGTCTGTTTGGAGAGCATACACTGTATCTCGTGTGTAACCCAGAACACCATTCAACTTACACTGTAGAACCCAATCGACTCCGTAGTTGACCGTGTCCAGTACACTTGAGTTTCAACTGTGAATGCTGTAGTTGCATTCCATGGTTGGAGAGTGCTTGACTCGTCAAACTTGATGAAACCTACATCAGATATGGACAATTCTCTGACAACTACCTGTATACTTGTCCGCTGTGCCGCTGCATTGCTTTGTAACTAAGGAAAAATCATGGTGCTCTATAAATGACTGTTAATGGTATTAAACCGAGTTAAACCCCAGTGTGCAATGTGTAGACCTACATGACTGATAGATGTCATCAATCTGTGACAACACTTGATGAATGTGTACATTAAATGTGCAGTGTACATCAGCCGTATCACCTGTTTTATCAAACAATCAATTCACAAGATTTGACAGTTAAAGGGAAGATACAGCATTTGCAAACATCAAAAAACGAAATGATCAAATTAATCTTACTGGATTGTTAGGGAAAGACAGTCTAAAGCATCCTGTAAAGTTGTGGCTCCTGGTGTGCTGACGTTTTCAAGAAAAACTGTATTTTTCCAACGCTGGTCGGCCGACCAGCGTTGGAGAAAACTGGCCTTTTTCAAAAAGTGCTCCTACTTTTTTATATTTAGTTCGTCTGCATTTTCTTTGCAATTGATTACACACCTGTGAAGACTAAAACCCTGCTAGACTGATTCTCTGATCTTACAATTCCCCAAAGTATAAATTTGTCCGTTTTATCTTAAGTGGGGTCAGGGAACCAGACTACAATAATATGATTGGTTTTCTTGGTTTTTCCAGCATCTACGAACCCAAAACATGAAACAAGTCAGTGTAACAATATTTTCTATAACATACTAATCCTCCAAATCCATTTATTTTTGAAAATTGCAGCAAAAGCAAATGTTGTACATTCCCTTTAATAAGCAAAATAGGGCAAAACTGTATAGAACAATTATCAAATTTGTCTAGTGAAAGAGAATGAAAGGTTCCTCTTAAAGTATAAATGACAATGCTTACACAATTTTTTTTTGGGGGGGGAAGGGAGAAGATTGAGTTTTGCAAAAAATATTAGGAAAATTACATACACAGAACAGGTACACGTTTATGTAAGGATGTACAACTCGCATCACGCTTAATTGTTGGCATTTCTGTTGAAAAATTATTTAGAGTGTGGCCCAAAAGTCAGCTGTTTCTCGTAAAACAAAATCAATGCTGGACTTCGAATATATGTGTCCATTTGTTTTAGGAATCAAGTTTCAATTTTTGGGTCGTTCAAAAATGGTTGAGTCTTTCTTCCTTATATTTGTATTTCATTCTTGTATTCTGATGGCGTGTTCTTGGGCAAAAGGGAATCAACAACCATAGATCAGCCATTGCCATCTTGTTCATATGACTTAAAGGGAATATACAACATTAGCAAACAGACTACCAAGTTTTTACGAAATAATACCTTACTAGGATGTTGGTAAATGACAGTCTAAAGCATCCTGTAAAATTATGGCACCTGGTGTGAAGTCATTTTCAAGAAAATGGTATTTTTGTATATATTTCCAACAATGGTCGGCCGACCACCGTTGGAAAAACCTAACCATTTTTCAACTACTGCTCCAAATTTACAAGTTTGTTCAGTCCAAATTTTGTTTGCTATTGGTTACATGTTCATGAACGGGTGCAGGCCAGCTACAACTGGTTCCCTTACCTTGCAATTTTCCGGCATCTGTAAATTGATCCATTTCATCTTTAGTGGAGTCAGGGAACCAGACTACTTGAACATTTTTGTTTTTTCTTGGTTTTTCCTGCATTTTCCAACACAAAACTTCAAACATGTCAGTGTAACAATATTTGATCTATTATACTAACCTCTCAAATAGTTAATTTCTGAAAATTACAGCAAATGACAATGATGTACATTCCCTTTAAATAGTCTAGCTGTTTTCGATCAGTAATATTTAATAGTTCTATTCAATTATTATGATTTTTTCCAGCGTTAAAAGCAGCATTACTGATTCAGCGATGGTATCGTCGCTATCAAGCCAGACTAGAGGCTAGGAGGAGATGTACCTGGAACATCTTCCAAAGCATCGAGTACTCGGGAGAACAGGACCAACTCAAGGTGAGTGGACTTCACACTGGTTGGCCCTGGAGCAAGTGTGATCCAGGGCCATTGGTAGATGCATAATGATCTTGCAGCTGCTTGCTGAAATTTAAAGATAATGGCCATCATTTGCCAACATTCAAAAAAGAAACTGTCGAAATATTATACAAATATTGAGTTGCTCAGCATGGAATGGGATGAATATTATCGCAAGGTAAAATCTGGACTTTTCCATTTCATGAGGTGAAGCCGAGTGAACTGGAAAAGTCCGGATTTTACCTAGCGATAATGTTCCTCCCATTTCACAATTTAAAGCCACTCAATATTTGTTTTATATAACTGACATACATGTATATCCTTGTCATTTGATATATTTGAACTTTTTTTCAATACAAAACTGGAGGAAAATGTATTTCTCTCTTCCAAACCACCCCTTCACGAAAATGTTTGAACCCAACGCTGTAGTGCTGGCTCTTTGGAACAATACGCGCAATGCTGAACGCGCACACCAGCATGCATTTGCACACAAATACCGCGTCATGATCCTAACTGTTCAATAGTATTTCCCATTCCCCATGGGCGGATAGTACTGTACTTTTTGAGCCGCGGCGTGAATGGGAACAATAACGAATGCCACGTGATGTGAGTTCCATCAATCAAATGACAAGGATCTGTATGTCGGTTACATAACATGAAATATCCTACTTGATTGTAAGTAAATAATAGGATCAAGCATCTTGAGAAATTGTTGCGCCTGGTATACTCTTTAAAAAACCTAACTGCCACAAGAGTTGTCTTTTCTGGTATTGATCAAATGTCATTGCCTATGGATAGCATGTAAGCAGCATGTTCAAACATTTCATGCATACCATCAATTCCTTCAGATCCTGCTAAGTCGTAAATATTGCCCAAACCATTATTTACAAGAATTCATTAAACACTTGTTTTTTTTCACACTAGGTTTCAATATTGAATTACTTGTGAAGATAATGACATCTTACTTGTCTCTCACTCCTCGTGCAAAGAGCTTTAACGCTGTCTTTCTCTCAAAAGCCAAGAGAGTTAATTTAATAAACCACTGTGCAAGGGGATTGAACGGCCGTGAAACATCATACATGCAGTGTCATTGCTACAGATGGTATATTCCCCCATTTGCGTATTGAAATTATCTAAAAGGTACAGTTCAATGCCTGGTGAGTTAAAGGGAATGTACATCATTGGCTTTTGCTGTATTTTTCAGAAATGAACTATTTGAGGGGTTAGTATAATAGATCAAATATTGTTACACTGGCATGTTTCAAGTTTTGTGTTCAAAAATGCTGGGAAAACCAAGAAAAACAAACATGTTCAAGTAATCTGGTTCCCTGACTCCACTAAAGTTGAAATGGATCAATTTATAGATGCCGGAAAATTGTAAGGTAAGGGAACCAGTCTAGCTGGCCTGCACTCGTTCAAGAACATGTAACCAATAGCAAACAAAATTTAGACTGAAAAAAATTGGTAAATCTGGAGCAGTATTTGAAAAATAGTTAGGTTTTTCCAACGGTGGTCGGCCGACCACTGTTGGAAATTTATACAAAATACTACTTTTCTTGAAAATGACTTCACACCAGGTGCCATAATTTTACAGGATGCTTTTGACTGTCATTTATCAACATCCTAGTAAGGTATTTCGTAAAAATGTGTTAGTTTTGGTTTTCGATGTTTGCAAATGTTGTTTATTCCCTTTAAAGGCCATATGCAAATTTTAGATCAATTTGTAGGGTTTGCCAATTTAAATTGTACACGTAACCCTGCGTTTGCCTTCTTCAGACAGCCTGATCCTACCATACTTGTATACTTTATGTACATGTTGCTTTTATATCCTGCAGTCTTTATTCAAACTGTATCGTTTAAATTTTTTGATTGTCAAAAATTTAATTCTGTTTACATGTTGACAAAAACAGTTATATTTTGTGAACCACGAACTTGAAATTGTTTTCATTTCAGTTTAGTTCATGTGCACATACATGTACCCCTCATGTGCCTATCATACATGCAGAATTTGTTTTGTGTTGGTGAATGTTCACGAAAATGATGAACAAGCTGAATGCAACAGTTTGAAACTGAACATACTTTAAAAAAATAAAAGAAAGGATCTTAATGATTAAATTTCTGTACCTGTATGTATTGTAGGTACATGTACAAAGGTATATGTAAATATGTACGTGTGTACTTGCCCTTCGCACACACACAAGTATTTCTTTTTGGCCAGTTTTATCAACGTGCCGGTATGAATGGATCTTGTAAGATTCCTTGAAGGTCAGGCGAAGCTCGCTACCAAATCTAATAACTGCGCCCTTGGTAGTGAGTGGTAAATTAATTTGGCAGTGTGCCATTCCAACAAAATGTGTGACCAGCCTCGTGTGTAACAACAGGCAAATTAGTTGAGTGCACACAAGCTGACAAATTCAGAAAAAAGAAAAAGAGAAATGCACTCGTGGATTTTTGAGTAACAAGATCTGAAAGAGGGCCTTTCCTCAGAAACATTTTCTTTTTTGGCCTGAAATGAATACACTTTGAAGCATGGTACAATTTTTGAGATTTTGAGTTGGTCCATTTTTAAAGGTACAAATGTAATATACAATATTTGCAAACATCAAAAAATAAAACTACCAGATCGTTATGAAAAACCTTATGTGACTGTAAGTGAATAGAAGTCTCAAGCATCCTGTGAAATCATGGCACCTGGTGTGCTGTCATTTTCAAGAAAAGTGGACTTTTTGTATCAATTTCCAATGATTGTCGGTCGACCATCGTTGGAAAAAAAAAAGCTGACTTTTTTTTTTTTAATAATGCCCCTTTCAAATTTAGTTAGTCTGCATTTGTTTGCAATCGGTTACAAATCCGTGAACGGTTCCAGGCAAGCTAGTCTGGTTCCCTAATTTGACAATTCCCCGACGTCTATAAATTGCTCTGTTTCATCTGAACATCCTCCATGATCTTGTATTCACGGAACCATACTACAAGAGCAGCATTTTTTTCTTGGTTTTTCCAGCATCTAAATGTATGAAAACAAAACTTTAAACAGGTCAGTGTAACAACGTTTACTATAAAATATTAATCCCTAAATGTATCTATTTTTGAAAATTACAGCAAAAGCAAATGTTGTATTTTGTCTTGTACAAATTTGAGCATTCCATGTACAAAGTGTACGCTTTTTGATAGCATTATTCAAAATGGAAAATAATGCAAACACTCTGCTGCTTTTGGAATGGCTCTGAAAGCAAGTGAGTGGTCTATGTAAATGTACATTTTCAAAGTACATTTTCTTTTGCTTATAGGTATTAAAATTCACAGCATTGACTTGTGAAGTTCATTTCAATGAAATAAATTGACATTAAACCTGGGCTAGATTCAGAAAAGAGCTAGCAAATTTTATTCCATACACTCTAAATGCTTCTTAATATCTTTTGAAAGTAAGCGAGTTGCGATAACGCTGACTGTAAACCCACTGTTTGAAAACCTGCATCAAGGAAAACAACACCAGAAGACCGTGCAGCTGTTGTTTTTTAGCCGGCAATCAGCAAACGCGTGGTGCGATATGATTGGCAATTGAACAAAGTCGGAGGATCTGATAAAGCTTTATCGCACTTCCGTTGGACAAGCGGCATTAAAGTGTTCCACTTTACATGCAGTGTGCGCATTATATCCATGAACAGAATATTCAAGCAATTCCACCATTGTGATAAAATCTACCAGGATCAAATAAAATGTCAGACCCTGTAATATTTACAAGCAAATAAGTAATAGACTGGCTGTAAAAAAAATGTTACTCTCAAAATTTCTTATCATTTTTTTTATCTTGCGTTTTTCTCCACAGTTGTACAATTTCTTCAATGACATGTTGACTTCGGTCGAAGATTCTCCAAAAGCCAGTTTCCTTTCTGAAAATGGCATTTCTGAGGAAGGTACATGTACTATCATATCGATATTTTTTCTTTTCGGGGACTTGATATGTGGCCTTTGAATTCATTCATGGATAAGATTGCATTAACTTTCACCCAAGCTGTGTTAGCTGATTAGAAATATTGACAGACATCAGCAGCCTAAACTGCAACATCTAAGCATCAAGGGCTATAGAGTACTTAATACACACATTTTGTACGCGTGATGTATTCACTTCAGTACCGAGTGATTCAGCTCGTAAACCAACACATGTGCGTACTCCATTCCTTAGCACTACATTTTCTAGTTCTAAATGATGTCACACTTCGGTACTCTATACAGGGTGAATCTAAAACAGGAAGCAGGGTTCACACGGACATAGAAAATTCCTGGAAAATCCTGGAATTTACATCGAAAAAAAAAGTCATGGATATTTTACAAGGAATCATGTTTAAAACACTTCCTTTTTTTCTTCTAAAATCAGCGTACCGGTAAGTCCTTAATTTGTTTTTGAAGTAAATTTCAACTATTGTAAGTTTGAATAGATACAAAAAAATCTCACCTTATTTCACACTGTTTATGGAGTACCGAAGTGAATGCGTCATGCGCACAAAATGTGTGTGAAAGACATTAGCGCGTGATTCAGCCCATGAACCAACACGCGCGCGTACTCCATTCGTTTGCACTACACTTTCTGGTTCTAAATGACGTCACACTTCGGTACTCCATTAAGTTTTAGTTCACATATGCCGGTAGCATCAGCTATTTGAATTTCATAGTTATGACAATTATGACAGTGAAAAAAACACCACCTGTTGAAATGATCAAAGGGCGCCTACATGTAAAAAGCTATTTATTCAAACAATGGCCATATATTAGCATTCATATTAGCATTGTTATCTTTGTTGACCTCTAGTAATTTATACTTTATTCCTCTTGTTTCACCCATTTGATATTTTTACTTTCAGTTTATTAACGGTCACTTGTGTTTGCCTGGTATAGATGGCACTGCAAGGTGATTCTTATAAAGAGGGATTGTAAAGGCCGATAAAATAGTTAGACCCTATTTGTGAGCAATTCCCAGAAAATGGGAGTAAAGTTGTTAAAATAGCTTCTGAGATTGAATTTCTGGATAGAGAAGAAAATAAATAACATTAAAAATGCAAGGCCACTCTGCACTGGTGTCTTAAAATGAAATGGGTTCTCAGAGTGTCGAAGGAATCTGGAAACTTTGAAAGGCCCATGAAACAAATTCATGTATTCACTTAAGTACATTTTCTCTTGATATCCACAAATATCCAAGACATCTCAGAAGTCAACCATACAAAAAGTTGCAGAATCCAAAGGCTAGCGTTAACTGGAAACTTGTTTCCTTTTTCAGAGGAGAATCCCCAGATTATCCGTGATGATAAACTAGACAAGCTAGACGTCAGTAAGATCCTAGTGGAGCCAACCTACCAGGGAGTACAGCTGACCTTCCCCCTGACTGCCCAGCAGCTGCAGGACATGGTAGCTAGCTTGAAGGAAGACCAGCCAATCCATGCCAGGTACTGCATCCAGATCTTACTAGAGGCGCGTAAGCTGTTAAGAGAGAAGCCTAACGTCAATCAGGCCACAACGGCTCTGGCTAAGCAGATTACAGTGTGTGGTGAGTTATTTCCGCTTACCGTAAACCCTTTTTGATTTCAACACAGCCATGTTCACTTCATGCTTCGTGGCCATCAAAGAAACTGTGGGACGATTGCGAGTCTCCGCAACTTAATCCAAGTTTTCTTAACAGTGAAATCTTCACATAATGTGGTTCCACAAGTACAATACAAATGGCAGATATACCCAAAATTCTGTTGAGTTCTTTTTCCATTTATACAATTTGATTAACCTAATTTTTAGTTAATGCTGAAAAACATTCACAAGTTAAAAGCGTCAGGCTTTACATCAAAAAGTGTATGTATTTATTATTTTGTTGTTATTGATAAAAAACTGCAGTTAAACATTGATGTGTATACAGTCATAAACTAGTGTTGGATATAATTAAAGTCGGCACTTCAAAGGATTTCTAAGCACTCAAGATTCAGGCTTTAGATGTGGAATGTCAAAGAGTGCATCAAAACACTGCAAGCTTTAATAAACAACTCCAAGATCATATTGGACAGAGCTGAGTTTGCAGTATAAACACTCAGTCCGATATAAAGACAAACATTAACATCCGTCGAGACTCGTACATGCTCTCTGTATCACTGCAAAGGTTCATCATAAATAAACCTCGGGCTTCTCCGACTATATAAGATGCCTTTATGGTCAGACGATCCCCCTGACATTTACGCAGCAAACGCATTCTTAAAACTTTTTTCCCCTTTTATTTTGAAGGTGATTTGCACGGCAAGTTGGATGACTTATTCATCATTTTCTACAAGGTGAGTGGATCGGTGAATGGGTTGGAACACTCGGCGAAGTGCTCCTCAGCATCCTCCTGGGGATTTGATCAAGTCCATTAACCTGACTTGAATGGTTCAACAGAGATCATTATGGTCTATAATTTACATGTACATTCAATATCCATGCCCTGCTAGATTGTCATGAGTTCGTTTATTATGTCTCAGCTTTTCAAAAAATAAAGTGTAGTTGAACTGTACATTGCAAGCATGGGCGTCAATCGGTGGGGAGGGGAAGGGGACATGTCACCCCCCCCCACACACTTTTTAAAGTGTAGGGGGATACATTATTTTCCCCCCACACACACTTTTTTCGTCCCCGAATAAAAATGTAGCTTACATTTGATAGCTCAGAGTAGTTGATTCAGTGACTCCAAACTCAAAAAATCATGTTTAAATGATCATCTTTGGCAAAAAAAAAAAGAATGGTTAAAGTGGTTATTGAAATTGCCTCAGATCGCACCACGGAGCATCTAGAATCCAAAAATTGTTCGGCACCTTCAAGCAGGCCCCGAGCCCCACGCCGTTAGGGCGTCATGCTTTGCGCTCGCATTAATTCACACGAGTTGGTCTGATTTGGTGGTGTTATGAGCTGGTCAAATTGCTCGCTTCCCTGTGAGCTTTGTGGGTCCCCCAATGACTCAATTGCTCAGAGTCGGCCCAACTTGGCAAAAGATGAATTTTTTTTGCCTTTTTTTTTCTGAAATCAGTGGTGCTCAGTCATCCATGCAAGGCATCAACGGAAAGCTGATTAAATTAAATTAAAACCAGATTTGCAGTGTTTAAATACATACTTTGCCCCTCACTGACCCAAAACATGTAATCATTATTAGCCTTGTTTTAATAAACCCTGTTTAACTTGATTGTTTATAAAAATTCTTTTAGAAAAGAGAGCAAGTTGGGAACCAGTGTGGGTAGGCATTACATTCACTGTGTGGACTTCCAAACAAAAGAGGTCCACATAAACCAGGTAGAGGCGACGTTGTGTGGACGTGGGCAAGTCCACACAGTGTTTCCCCATTTCTGGAAAACAGGTTTAGAGGCATTTTAGGGTTAGGTTTATCGGTGGCAAAATGAAGAGAAACACTAAAGGGGATCATAGGAAAAAAATTGGGTTGAAAGAGTTTTCACAGTTTGAGAAAAATGAGTTTTTTCACTGGTTTTTTCTTAACTACACGAAACCAAGGGAATGTCCACACTTGGTGTGTAACAGGTGTGTGTGGGCGTGTTCATCTTTTCAAACTGTGGACGAAAAATGCCAGAGAACAAAAGAGAACAATATCGTCCACGATTCCCAGCATACGTCCGCGATTGGGGTGGTGTACAAAACCTATGGGAGTCTTCCTAAAAAGTTAAGAGTACAAACAAAAGAGGGACAATAGGACGTCGACGGTGTGAACACGACTATATGTAGGCGTGTTGTTATGGTTCCAGTGATTGTACCGAAAGTACATGCACATGTTGTATACAAATGCAACTATGTGAACAATGCGAATACATGTGCAGAATGTGTTTTGTCGTTGACTTCAAAAACATTGGAGGGTATTACAGTGAAAAATATGCCAACACTGAATACAAGGTGTGTGTTTTTCCTATCTGGAATGTATTTGAACAACTTTATTTTTCAACAATGTTTCGAAATTAGTGATACTGCTGGGCGGGCTTTTAGGAATCAAATGTCAGTCTTTCCTAGAATTTTTGAATTTCAGCAAAACATATTTTTGGTCTTTGTTTTATTTTTTATATATTTGTTGTTAGCAACGTCCAAACAGTCATTGTCCATTCAGTCAGATCCTACCAGTTAAATGTTTTTTTCCCCTGCGATGTAAATTCGGAAATGACCAAAACTTACGATTTGACATTTTGCTTTCCAATTGTGAATCTTAATATCTGGTAAAGGTTCATATGTGCACAGCAAGTCTGCATATATAGTGTGCCTCCTTTTTTTTTTACTTCTTTGATTAAAATTGCCAGGGTGCTTGAAATTGCAGCCCCATTATAAAATAAATGAAGTGCCTTCATTACAAATTCTTATTTTCCAAACCCATCCAAAATCTAAAAGGCCCATATCAAGAAAGTCTGTATTGACTTCCAAAAAATACCTGAATAACTGAAATGACATTTGCAAAATATGTGAACTTTATTACACAAACTACTATTTTCCTAAGATATTTAGTGAAATAGTTCTGAAGTAGACGCTGTGTTATTTTAAAACTTTATCATTAGACTGCATGGCCTTTACTCATAATTAATAAATACCTTGGAGAGTTGATGGTTTCTGATTGGTCGAGACTCGATCACGTGGGGGTGTATTAACGGTGATATAAAGACCGGCTTCAAAGAACAAGCGAAAAAATGGCCCCTGAACCAGCATTGATCCAGCCCCATGGAAGGCAATGATTGGCCAACTTTACAACAGTCATACGGCAGCTTGTAACAATACAGCACTGCACATGCGTTCAACCACCTTCGCGTGAGACTGACGCGCGCGTACGCAACACAGTTGCTATGGGTGCGCGCGCGTAAGGAAGTTTTAAAACGACATCGCACCGCAGTGCAGTGTACTGAGGATGTTTACGATGAAAGCGTAGATCTACGATTTATTTTCTTTAAACACTTCGCCCATCGACATATTTACCTTTCCTAAACCAAGCATCTTTGTAATTCTGGACACAAGGAATGTGTAAACGAGATTTCAGCTTCCTCCATCAGGTAAAAATATGAAAACATTGTTGTAATTTGTTTCGCTACGGCAGCAGAAGTCCAAACCCTGGACGTCCTACGTGTGCGCAATGAAGATGTTGTCCAGCGCAGCCTGGGCCCGGCTGTGGTGTATATAACAACGCTTATTGAAGAGACAGGGTACCACGCATAAGTTAAAATATGGCCCATGAACATGAACACAAAAAAGTCTGGAAATATCGCCGAAAGAAAGTCACAAAATTGGAGCATTTTAACTGTTTATTTCGTTAAAAAGGTATTTATTAATGGGAATAACAGTGTGAGGATCCGGTCTTCACTGCGTGATAATGACCGGGATAATGACCGGGTATGGGGGTGACCGCTTTAAATGGACCGAGACGAATTAACAGCGGTCACCCCCAAACCCGGCCATTATCACGCAGTGAAGACTGGCTCCTCACACTGTTATTCCCTTAGTAATATTACTACAGCACTGAAAAATGATAAATGATATTTCATGAATGCCATCTTTCTTTTGTAATAACATCCCACAAACTCAGTAATTCATACCGCCTACTCATAGCATAGTTATTCGTTACTAGTGAGTTCTCGGCATTGTTGAGCTCCGTGGAGTTCATGTCATCTTCCACCACATCCTGTAACTTACATATCGTGCATGTTCCTACAAGGCCATCAAGCCCAATTAAGCTGTCGTTAATTCTCAGGCGTAACGGCGCATGTTGTGCACGCAAAACAGATCAATGCCTGGAAATTTGCTCAGATTGAAAGTGTCGTCACGGCAACACAGTAATATGCCTGACGTGTTGCCATGGTTACTCTGCTAATGCATTGTGTGTTTGACTGTGGCTGCTTAGGTTTTATCTAATAGTTGCGCTTGTTAGTGTCAGCGGAAAGGGAAGCCTTGCCAAGCATGCCAAGACTCTAATGAACATGTGACCAGTCAATATAAGCATGATACATTTTAAATGAGCTGTTGCAGTGCTGTAGGTGCGATAAAGACAAAATTCAAATAGTTGGTCATGTATTTTTAATTTTTTTAGGGGGGAGGTTTCAGATGAAGTCTGATCCATAAGTTGTCTTCTCCCTTTCATCAGTCTTTTAAGTTCTACCATACATCCATGAAACCTATTCTTGACCCGTTGTATATGACAACAACCCCCAAACAACCCCCAACACCATCCACCAAAAGAGATGCCCTCGTCCTCTGGGCCGGCCAAGGCTACATTATGATGGACTGTTGCCGCTCGCACTGTCGAACTCTTGGCTTTTGTGTGAACTCGGCATCTCTGTGGCCAGTTCCTTATGGATCACTTTAGTAATGACATAATGAACTTCTACATTTGATAGAGAACTGTTGAATGTTTGGCTTTGCTTTCAGAATGGCCTACCCTCCAAAGAAAACCCCTACGTCTTCAATGGTGACTTTGTGGACAGGGGCCCGCATTCTGTAGAGGTGGCGATGCTGCTGTTTGCCTTTTTTCTTGTCTACCCAAACGAGGTCTACCTGAATCGCGGGAACCATGAAGATCACATCATGAATCTGAGGTAGGTTCCTTGCAATTGAATATTCACTTACACTACTTTTGTGCGTTTTCTTACAGCAGTGAATATATGAAAATTGCTGCACTATTTTTAGGTGATGGCATTCTAATGCTATTTCTGTTGCACATTCATGATCATGAAGGAATATAAGATAGGTTTGTATTATACAAATATAACATGGTTTAACAGTGAGTAGTATACAATTATAACATGGTTTGAGGGTGGATAGTTGATTATTAGCCCCCCGAGGTATTGGAAGTTGACAAACTAGTTTCCGAGGCGAACCCGAAAAAAAAAACGTGTTATACAGCCTGTCTAAAAAAAAATGGTACAATCAGAAAAAAAAATTGGTTAAATATGAAATTTCAAAATAAGTCATTCTTACTTGGCATGATTTTAAAGAACAAAGACTGGGCTTTCCAATAGTGTTTGTTTGATCTTATTTGCTTTTGTCAGTTCAGAGATATAGTAGTCATTCTTACTTGGCATAATATTAAAGAACAATGACTAGGCTTTCCAATAGTGTTTGTTTGATCTTATTTGCTTTTGTCAATTCAGAGATATAATCAATTTAGTGCGATACACCAAAATCGATTTTGTGCCACTTTTATGCATGGGCAGAGTTGTTTCGAGTACTGTGCCATGCTGTCTTGAAGCTCACACCCAGAAAGTGGCACAAACTCGATTTTAGTGTTCCGCAGTAAACTGGAGTTATCTCTGGATTGACAAAAGCAAATGAGATGAAACAAAAAGTATTGGAAAGCCTGGTCTTTTTTCTTTAATGTGATGCGCAAAACGACTTACTTTTGTTGAGATTTAATATTGAAAAAAAAAAATCGTTTTCGATTGTACCATTTTTTTGGAGACAGGCTGTAGTTGTCTGTCAACAAACTTTTGTCAAGTTATGCATCAGTTATCTTTGCAAAAAGTTGCTGGGCGTGTGCCGCAATCTCTTCATGTAGCTTGGACAATAATCGCGTGTGTGCACTACCACCATGCTATAGTTCCACGATTGCTTAATAATGCACATGTGCAGTCGACTATTGCATGGGTTACCCATGCAATAGTCAACTGATGGTGATGTGATGGTGAATGGACCAGTAAGGATTCAGCTCTTGCTCATGATTATGCATGAGGCATATAGTGAAATAAGAAAGGCCATACCTGGAGAAAGTGGTCTGCTGATAATGGTTCAGTAAGTGATATCCCTTGATGCAAATTGTAAAACGCCAATTTTAACTTTTGCCGTACAAAATTTCACAGATTGCCAAACACAAACACTTGTTTTTAATAGAAGCAAACAATTTTTTAAAAATAAAAATCACTCGCTGCTGGCTGTGGCACATGTAGAGGAAATGTTGAGATGACCATGGTGCCATGTGAACCACTGAAAAGTCCCTCAGTGCTGATGCTGAGAATCAACCAGGCATGACCCCCTCAATTTATGTGAAATGATTCCCTAAGCACTACCGCTACTGATGATATCCATTTGCAAAATCTCCTCCGTTAAAAATTCATGTTGGCCTATTTGCATCTAAATGTAAAAGGTTGCAGCCTTTGAACAAATCTTTCATTAAAAAAAAAGATTGCCAGGCATATACTGGTGAACTGTCAGGAAGGCAATTAGAAAAGTCACTGATGAGGCCCACTGAAACACTTGTGTGTAGGAAACGATATGCTTTAAAGGGAATATACAACATTTGCAAACATCGAAAAACAAAACTACCAATTTTTTACGAAATACCTTACTAGGATAATGGTAAATGACAGTCTAAAGCATCCTGTAAAATAGTGGCACCAGGTGTGAAGTCATTTTCAAGAAAAGTGGTATTTTGTATAAATTTCCAACGGTGGTCGGCCGACCACCATTGGAAAAACCTAACTATTTTTCAACTACTGCTCCAAATTTACCCATTTCTTTTCAGTCCAAATTTTGTTTGCTATTGGTTACATGTTCATGAACGGGTGCAGGCCAGTTAGACTGGTTCCATTACCTTACAATTTTCTGGCATCTATAAATTGATCCATTTCATCTTTAGTGGAGTCAGGGAACCAGACTACTTGAACATTTTTGTTTTTCTTGGTTTTTCCAGTATTTTCGAACACAAGACTTCAAACATGTCAGTGCAACAATATTTGATCTGTTATACTAACCCCTCAAAATAGGTCATTTCTGAAAACTACTGCAAAAGCCAATGATGTACATTCCCTTTAAGCAAACACACTCAGCTACAAAACCTGCTGTGAAGGCAGAATACTCCACTGTGATTCTCACAAACAGTCTAGCAACCAATTGGTACGTGCTGTGTGACACCCTATGCTACCTGAATGTAGTTCAGCTAATTTGATAAGGCCAATTAGGTTTTGTTCACAAACCTCTCCGACAGACAGTGCTGTCATGTTTGCAATCATAATGATGTGTAAAAAGAAGTGCATAGTACGTGCACCATTTTTTTTTTCTCTGAAGAAAATGTATGTGGAAGTATGATGCCATTTTGATTTCAAATCAAAATTGAACACCCACTTTTACAAGACATATACAGATTTTTTCAACAGAGGGGTCCCAAAAAATTTTCAGAGGCAGTTTTCTCAAAATTAGGGAGACATGATGAAATTATTTTCAAATAATCCTAAACTACCAGATCGTGGTGGCATATGGTGAAAACGGCGTTAAAAATAAAGCTCTAGTTAAAGAAAATGTAGCTATTTTTTACAGAAAAATTGTCAAACACTAGTATGCCCACACACATACTGGAATTTGTATCCTTGTGGAGACATTTCTTTGTTCTCGTGTAGTAAAGTTTTCAAGTTTGAAAGTGTAGTTTCAAAATGCTCTTATTTGAACCAGAATTAATTTCCTTGACTGAAATTTGGACTTCATATCCCTTTTCTAAAACTCTTCTATTTGCAACAGATCAACATACCTTGGAAATTCCTAGTTTTTGAGTAAAATCCATATATCTATTTCGTGATAACCTTATGGAGACGTATTCATCTATAGAAATTGCCCTGCGGAGACGTATACAATCTTTTGTTCCCTATTGTGTGCATGTCTCCAGAGGGAACGGTGTATCAGATCACATAAGTGCATGCACGCATGTTTCATAGATCAGTACATGTTGGTCTACGCAGTCTTTGGGATACATCTGCAGTGCACGTAGTGCTATTGTGTTGACCATATCTCATAGACTTGCGCGTAGACAAACTGGTTTTTGACCATCTTTCTTTAAACCATCGGCATTTCTTAACTTAGGTTGTATTTTCAGCGCTGTTTTCACCATACCACAAAGATGCTGTAGTTTAGGAATGTCTTCCAGCAGTTTTAACATGCCTCCCCAAATCCAAGAAATCTGCACCTGCAATGGACCACTCTGTATAGTTGCCCCAAACCTAACTGAAAATGAAAGGGAAAAAAAGGAAAGATCCATAAACAGACAATGTCTGGATCTGCAAACCATACATTGTACACAATGCACTGGAAAAAAAACCTGCCACTTTTCAAAAGTTGTGAAGCTCTCAATCCAACTTTTCAAATGCATGTATTTTGTGGCTTGAAACCATTGTATTTTCCCCCTCTACACTTCAAAAATGTGCCATAAACGTTTCCAAACAAATAATCACCTTTACAAAAAAAGGTAATCCTCATGTCATGTTCAACAGTGAATTGAAAAGTTTGATGGAATATGGGAGGATAGGGGAAAGGAACTAATTAATATTATTTTTTCTGTCTTACTTTCTGTACAGTTTGAAAACATGTGCCTGAGACTTCAACATGATTATTGTTAAGTTTTGAAAATTTTTGACAATGTACATGTACTATTTCTTATAGGCGCAAATATCTAACTCTGTTATTTTTTAATTATCTTGTATTCTTTTCATTGTTTTAGGTATGGGTTTATCAGGGAAGTCCAGATGAAGTATGGAAAAGTAAGTACGGTGGTTTTTAGTAAAAATTGAAATTCTAAACATGTTCCAAATGCTCTGTCTTTGCTCTTCAACATCTTAGAATATTTGTCCTAACAGTATTCCAAGTTGTATACTTTATGTTAACAAAATATTACTTTTTCCCCCTATTTTTGACATCTGTAACCCTCACTAAAAAAGGCTGATTTTTGTACAGTTGGACTGGTTTCCAGGTTGCTACGCATGTACATTCTGATAGGAGATGGGGGGGGGGGGGGGGCAGGAACCAGTCTGCCTTGTGATAACAGCATTATAGTCAGCCTGGGCTGATAAATAATTAATACTGAAATGAGAAGCACTTTTTTCGTGTTGAAACTTGAAAACAGCACGCACATTACATTTTTGAGCTGCGATATATATTAATGCACATACACTCTTGTTTTACTATATCCTCGAGGACAATGCTTTGTGTTTCCCTTTGTCCCTGTAATATAACATTCTCCCATAGACTAAGCACACAAACTTACTACAGAGGACCGTTTCCAACAAAAGACCCAACTCCCGAGGACTGAAAGGATCTGTTGTTCCCCATTTGTGTGTCGGTTCTCGGGGGTTATGTAGAACACGTACATAGTTGCATGTTGCTGTTTGTGTATGTCACCTTCAGTGTGTGGAATTATTTATTAACACTATCATGGTTAATGGATCATGTCTCAATTATCAATACACAAGAGGGGCCACTTGTAATGGAGGATGGGAACTACATTATGAATGTGGCCCCGGGGTATGGATAATGACTGGCGGCCCTCAGTGGTATATTGCTCGTTGTCCTATATGCTCCTGGGTGGAGGCAGTTGCATCCAATTGTGTCTCTCGTCCCTTGGGGTACATACCCAATTGCTTCTTGTCACACACACAAAATGTATAATCGAAAATTGGAAAAGTAGGTGCTTGATAGCTGGTTGTATGGGATTCAACTCAAACATTTATGATAATGGCCAGCCTGCTTAAACCGGCCTACTTCCGGGAACCGGAAATTCGGTGTCGCCATTGTAGTACGCAAAGATCGTATACCGCAATGCGTAGTAGGTTGCAGACAAAGTATTCCAAGCTGTGATGGATGGTAAAAACTGTGACAAAACGTGGATCCGACACCACATGCTGGGTTGGCACTATCGTGACAACTGTACACAGCACAGGTAGTGACCAACTGACCATTATGCCATCTGATAAGGAATTCACGTTGATTTTATGTGAAAATATTAATAAGCTCTACTGTTTAGTTTACACTATCGGTTTATTTTCCATGTGCGCTTTGCAGACATGATGCAGCACCCTTAGTCTGATCACTAATTACCCAGCTACTCCAAGGCCCACAGTTTAGAAAGTATTCTATAACCGACATACAGATCCTTGTCATTTGATTGGTGGAACTCACATCACGTGGTATTCGTTATTGCTCCCATTCATGCCGCGGCTCAAAAAGTACTATCCGCCCATGGGGAATGGGAAATACTATTCAACAGTTAGGATCATGACGCGGTATTTGTGTGCAAATGCATGCTGGTGAGCCAGCGCTACAGCGTTGGGTTCAAACATTTTCGTGAAGAGGTGGTTTGGAAGATTTTCCTCCAGTTTTGTATTGAAATAAAAGTTCAAATATATGAAATGACAAGGATCTATATGTCAGTTATATAAAACAAATATTGAGTGACTTTAAATTGTGAAATGGGAGGAATATTATCGCTCGGTAAAATCTGGACCTTTCCAGTTCACTCGGCTTCGCCTCGTGAAATGGAAAAGTCCAGATTTTACCTTGCGATAATATTCCTCCCATTCCACGCTGAGCCACTCAATATTTGTTTACTATTGCTAGGAAGCTATACCCAGTTGTACTAGCAATAGGAAGTTAGTATGAGAACATACATGTATGTTCCAGAACTTCTTTATGATGCTGAGTTTTATGCCATTGTTGGAGACTGAGAAGCTTTTTCTTTTAATATCCCTGTCACAAAACAATGCACTAAGACCCTTGGTGGCAATAACAGTTAAATATTCATCTATCAAAATGCAAAAAAGTACAGTGAAAGTATTGATTTCAAGTAAAGTCAAGTCTGTCACGAGCCAATATGGCCAGCATGCTGGTGTTTATCTCCAGTTTCTTTGGCATGAAATGACTGAGAATATTTCTACTCCCCCTGGATGGGATGCCAGTCCATTGCAGGTTTCTCCACAGCTATGCCGGTCCCGATTTATACTCCTGGGTGGAGAGAGGCAAGTGGGGTGAAGTGGCTTGCGCAAGGACACAACATATGGCCAGCAGTTGGTTCTGAACCCCTGACCCTCTGATCATGAGTCACGAACCCTAACCACTAGGCCACACTCCCCCTTAATTCAAATCAGTGCTGATCAATTCTGTATGTGTATTTTTTTATCTGCTTGTAGCCCAACTGTAAGCAGCAAGCCCAGTGGCTCATCCCTCTCTTCAAAGATGTCTTCTCCTTGTTGCCATTGGCAACCGTCATTGATGGGAAGATCCTAGTCGCACATGGTGGCATCTCAGACAAGACAGACCTGACGTTGCTGACCAACCTGGACAGACGAAAGGTGAGTACACTCCTCCCTGACCAACTGGTATAATCTGATAGGAATCACATGTTGTATTGAGATGAATTGTCTTACAAGTGGTCCCTGTGGGTTCTGTTTTTAGAATCCTTACATCCACTTTTCCAGAATTCCAGCTTTTTCAAGTTTTCGAAAAACTCTGGCATTCCATCCCTTCACAGGCCGGAAAAATAAATCCTTGTGTTGTACCTCACGGAGGAAAAACAAAAGGGTTGCAAGTTCTCGTTCAGCCAATAGGAACATCTGTTGCGCGTTGTTTGATAATTGCTCATGAGCCATAAGAAAATTGATTATGAGCCACATGTTGTCAGAGCACTAGAATCGTAGTTCGCACTTAGTGCGCTCGATCAAACATAAGTTTTCTGCATAGACTAACATTTTAAAGCTATAGTCCATCATTTGCAGCTATCCGAAAAGTAACTGGCGTAATTATTGTTGAAAAACATACTTGGTTGAAAGATAGCAAGGGACTAAACTCCCTGTGAATTATTTTTTCTGGCATGTTGTCATTTTGAAGAAATCAACGAAAGAAGACCTTTCCAACGGTGCTTCTTAAGACGCACCGTTGGATATTTCCATTAGTAGTTCGTTTTTTTATTCAGCGAAGCGCGCGCAAGCGTTGACGCGACGCACACGCACGTGCGCCATCTATAATTTGTCGGATCAGTGCGCAACATCGCGTAGCTGCATTCGGCTCACTAAGAACGTGTCTCCGACGCTGAATTCAGGCCCAATTCAAAACATTATTCAGCAACTTTTGATTTGAAATCCAGATCCTAGAATGCTGTTTTTCTCGAAATATACAGTTGAAGCTGAGCTGAAACTTCATCAGGTTGGTTGTTCAGCACCCTTCTTCAGATTTTGAGTATGTTTGTTGCTTCAAACGAACAAAATGCACAAATTACAAAATGATGGACTATACCTTTAATGGACAACGCTGAAGTTGTAGTCGTTGATATGGCTGTTGTTCACAGTACAAGTCAGTTCTGAAGCCTCCATTGAAGGACGGTGCCGATGAGATCACCGGGGATGAAGACGACCTGACCGATAAGGTCAACTTCTCCGAGTGGAGGCAGATCCTAGACGTCCTGTGGAGTGATCCTAAGATGGTGGACGGCTGCCAGCCTAATCTGTTCCGTGGTGGAGGGAGCTATTTCGGGCCGGACATCAGCAGCAAGGTGCTGAAGAAACACAGCCTAGACCTGCTGATCCGATCCCATGAGTGCAAGTCAGAGGGGTACGAATACACGCATAATGGACTGGTAAGACTGTCCCCAAGACAAACAACAATTGTATCAGTTGAAATTTGTCTTCAGTTTGTTTGTATCTTGCTAGTAATGAGTACGTTTCTAGGGAATCTGATACTATGGTCATTTATAAATTTGGGGTCCACTTTTTCCTGGTCCCTGTTACATCTATGATTTTATAATTCTGATGCACTCCTTAATGCAGTCATCCCCCAAGAGTAATTTTGCATAGCAAACTTCCCAACAAATATAAAATGATAGTTGATTGGAAACCTACAGAGAATCAAGGTAACAGGGACGGGAAAATGTGATTTTGGACCCTAAATTTATAGACTGACCTGAATGGAGTGTCATGGCCGAGTGGTTAAGAGCACTGGACTCATGTTCTGGTGTTTCAGACGCAACAGTGGCGTGGGTTCGAGCCAGGGCCCGGACACTTGTGCCCTTAAGCAAGGCACTTAACCATTATTGCTTCGTCCTTCGGATGGGACGTTAAGCCGGAGTTCCCGTGTGTTGTATAAGGCCTAACGCACGTAAATGAACCCAGTAACACTTATTGCTAAGAGAAGGGGTTTGCCTCAGTGTTTCTGGCCTCCTAGATATACTCCCTTGTGGAAGTCCTTAGGAGAAGAACCAACCAAGTACCAAGAATAGGTGGTTGAAGCAGGGAGGCAAGTGGGCAGTTTGTCCCCTCCCCCACCTTTTGAAAAATCATGAAATTTGATTGCTGTGCCCAATTTTAGATCAACCATGAAAAAATGTATGTATAGAAACTGAGAAAAACGGACGTACATTGCGCGTAAAAAGCTGGATATGTATACATACCTGCACCCATTGCGTGTCCATTATGCCATTCCATTCTTCCTATCAATCTAGTACAGAATAAAATAAATTGACAAATGAAACAGTAAAAATTTAATCCTACATGTACATGTTTCACTCATATGCATAGTGAACAGTACATCTGCGCCATATACACGCATATTTGTACATGGATTGCTAGGTGTGTTTGACAAATTTCGTTATGCTTACCACATCTTTTTACATCCAGCTACCTTGTAACTTCTCTTGGTAATTACTCGCTACAGGTATTGACGGTATTCTCAGCATCCAACTACTATGAGATGGGTAGTAACAGAGGAGCCTACGTGAAGCTGGGTAGCGATCTGAAACCACGCTGTATACAGTACATGGCCTCCAAGTCACATCAGAAGCTGTCCATGGCTCAGAGGTACTCACACAAACCAGACAGTGCCGTGCATAAACTGTAGTCTTTGGAATCGACACTTGCATGACAAGTGGCTATGATATGCGTGCAGATTATGCGAAACAAGACTGCGTCTTCAAATTAAGTTTTGCCCTTCACGATGTATAAACACTGTATACTCAGTGTGTAACCTCCCGAGTGAAAGTTGGAAAAAATATCACTCGGGTGGGACTCGAACCCACGACCTCCTGCTTTCTAGTGCAGATGTCTTAGCACTCGACCACCGAGCTAACGGGATCGGTTGGCTGGTTCGAATCTGATGTACATAGCAGCGGGTACCGCATTAACTAGACGTACCGCATTAACTAGGCTGCATCTTGACCTCTGTACCCTCCAGTTGCGCAAAATGTTTCAGCTTCCAGAGTTGCTAGCACACAGCACACATACACACAGACCGGTCTGACAATCAGATGACGGTACCAGCTTCCATGTCATGAGCGCCTTCCATTGGGTCTTCGGTAACCCGATGTTAAATGACAAAAGCATGGCAGCTATTGACCAATCAACAGCTTTGCCCGAATTTCTGCTCTAAATGACATCACAAGTTCTAAAGGTGGCTTTGATCGGCTGGTGCGCGGGGTCTCATAAAATTGACACGCATGGATATATCAGACATTTATAGTGTAGCTCTGCACTTATGAACGTCTGATCCTCGGACTACATATACTGGGGCAAAATTGTGCAAAGTGACTTGGCTTTGGTTGTGTGTTTGTAACCATCCAAAACTTTAGCAAGCTCTGCTCAGTACCACAATGTTTGTCCAGTCAAGTGGCAAACACTAGAGTGCAGAAAATGGACAAGTTAAAAGCTCACTCATTAACTTGTTTTTTTTTACGTAGATTGAGCATTGTAGAAGAATCAGCATTAAGAGATCTGAAAGAAAAGATGGCAACAAACAAGACGACCCTCAAGCAGGGTTTCCAACAGTTTGATCCGAATAATACAGGTAAGTTGCCATCGAAGATTCTGGTGGACTCTTTAATAATATTATTAGTGTGGCAACAGTCAATATATGTGATGCGATCAAGCTAAATGAGTCGTTTGTCGACCCCGGTCAAAACATTTTTTATTACAGACTTGAAAAGAGCACAATCTCAGCATTACTGCTGTGAAAATCGCATGCTGATACCATCTTTAGTTAAAAAAATTATGGAAGTCGGAACACCAAGAGATGTGATGAAGTGATGTGATGAAGTGGCCATATTTTGACCTGTATCTCCAAATAAAAATTCCCGACAAACGACTCATGTAGCTTGATCGCATCACATATAATGATTTTCCCATCCATTAACATTATGTTGGCCATATTGTGTTTGTCAGAGAAGGAAAGAATCTCAAACAACTTTGTAGTTCCATCTGACTGGTCCTTACTAAGGATGTGACTAAGGATTTGACTTGTGATGGACTCGACAAGAAATGTGAATCACAAAGACAAAATCTTAGTTTTCAAGTTAAAAGTGTCACCTTTTATATATATTGTGGAGCTTCGCCTCGCCCGGCCACCTGTTGCCAAATGTGCAGACAAGCTGTCCACTTCACAGGCGATCAACTCACGAACAACCCATGAACCCACACATTTTGTGATTAATTGTACAGCAGCGATTAAATGGTATGCACAGCCCAGAAGGTCCTTTTCTTTTAAGAAATTCAAGGTGTCTGTGATATGTTGATATTGTCAGCATTGACCATTTTGGGAAAGAATGTTGCAACCTGACGCTACCTCAGTGGTTGTGTACAAAGTCTATGCAGAGTCAAGAAAAAAAGTATTTCCTAACAAAATTTGGAAATGTTTCTCAGTCCCAGATTCATGTCTTATCATCAGTTTTGCAATGACTTACCTTCATTGAGATGATATATGAAGAAAAAAAGCAGCATCAGGTTGCAACATTCTTTCCCCATTTTGACCAAAGATTATCTCTGATCTCTGACCTTCTTTTTATTTGAAAAAAAAAAGAGTTCTCTGCACAAAAGTACAGTAAAATCATCTGATATTTTGAAATGACGTTAATTTCATTCCAACGTGTGCATGCATCATCAATGTTTGTGTTTTTGAAACTGATATTTGCAACTTTAATTAAGCATATGATATTTTGCATTCAAAAGGGTTTATTACATTGACGCAATGGGCTCACGTCATGGAGGAAGTTCTAGAGCTAACCATTCCATGGCGGACACTGAGAAATAAACTCATCCGGATTAACGACCAGGTGATCAAAGCAAAAGCTATTCTGAAATTTAACCTCTGTCTGTTCATAAACAGTCTTCTATTTGTGACCCTTTCAAATTTATTATGAGGAGGAAAATTCCATACTCAACCTGTGTCCATATACTTGCCTTGATTGTGTTTATGTACGTTATGTGGGTGGCATGGGTGGCTTGTGCGTAAAGCGCTCGCCTCTCACCAAGGTGACCACGGTTCGAATCCTGGCCGCGGATCGCATGTGAGTAGAGTTGTGCGTTGGTTCCCAACTGTGCCGCGAGGGTTTTTCTCCGGGCCCTCCGGTTTTCCTCCCTCCGGAAAAATCAAACACTTTTGATCTCAGGCTGTGCTCCGTGGTCATATATGGGTCGATGTGGCCGGCAGCCATAGGTGCCTTTACGTGCCAGCGGCCTGACCACGTTGTAGCCGCGTCCTTCGCAATTCAGCATACCAGCTGCGAGTAAGGATGATTAGCCTCCCAAATTATTATTATTATTATTTCCTCACATAGTTTTTGCCTGTTTATCATATTTATTTATTTCCTTAACTAGTGTATAGACTAATCCGGCGACAGCTAATTTCTGAGGTGGGACCAGGCTCACGCGAGTTATGCTCAGGTAGTACGCACCCACTCCGGGCTCCTTCAACCAATAGGGCTACCAAAATGCGCGCGCGCTTTTTCTTTAAGAACGCGTGGGGCATGAGTGGGAACTCGGTGCCACCTCAAAAATGAATGGCTTCTTCAATTTCGTTCACTGAAGTAATTGGATTGTTTACAAACCATTAATGAACCAATTTTGAAGTGGTTCGTCCTAAGTTCATTGAATCATCTTCGTTAGTAGTTAGAGGGAAAACTATTAATTATGGTGTTAGTTAAATAATAACCTGGTGGGTTATGACAGGTCACATTAAGAACATACTTTAAAATCATATTTGACATTACTTCTAACGTATTGGATTATTGCAATTTTTTGTTCATAGGGTATGGTGGAGTATGAGTCCTGCATGGAGGTGGAGTTAACGATAGGAGGGCATGAAGGAGGGCCCAGTGTGACCGAGGTGCTGTATCGTAACAAGAACAGTCTGGAGACTATATTCAGGGCCATGGACAAAGACCACTCAGGTACTCAGTCATTGCGTTATCGTCTTGCAGTTGAATAGACCTTGGAGTTGCTGGTATCTTGGAGGCTGTTCTTTGTTATTTTAGATTAGTAACAATGATTACACAAACGGTTTATTCATGCTTATCCACGTGACATAACACCTAGTCCGGGGGACTCTGCCTTAACACATAAGGGTGGATGCGACAATTTGAATAAAGATGTTTGGCTACCTCAGAGATCACTTCTAGTCCCCTTCTCAAGTAGTTGCATTTGTTTCGTTGATGGTTTAAAGGTAGGGTAGATCATTTGTCATTTGTGCATTTTTTTTGTTTGAAGGAACAAAAGTGCTCAAAATCTAAAGACGGGTGCTGAACAACTAACCTGATGAAGTTTTAACTCGGTGAATGCTGTAAATTCCAAGAAAAAGATATTCTAGGATCTTGATTTCAGTTCAAAAGTTGCAGAGTCATGTTTTGAATTGTGCCCGAAATCAGCGTCCGGGACACGTTCTCATTCAGCCGATTGCAGCTACCCGATGTCACACACAGAACTAACGAATAATAGCAACTGCATGTGCGTGCGCATCGTGTCACCGTTTGCACGCTCCCGTTCACGGATTCGCCGAATTACAAACCAACTACTAACGGAAATTTTCAAAAATGCGTCACTTGATGCATCTTTGGAAATTGCCTTCTTTTATTGTTTTCTTCAAAATGACAGCATGCCAGAAAGAATAATTTCACAGGGAGATTAGTGCCATCTTTAAACCAAGTAAGCTTTTCAACAATAATTTCGTCAGTTACTTTTTGGCTAGCTGCAAATGATCTTCTCTACCTTTAACACTATGCGTATTCTTCAAATCGTATCTCACTGTTCTTGTGTCTTCATCTTCACCGTAGGCACAATAACCATGGATGAGTTTGAAGAGGCCTGCAGCCTTCTCAGCAAGCACGTAGGCTCGGATATCTCCAAGGAGTCGGTCCGTGACATGGCGCGTTGCATTGACATCAACAAGGATGGCTACATTGATTTCAATGAGTTCCTGGAGGCGTTCCGACTTGTGGACACTCAAGTCAACAGTGCTGAACTGGACAGCAACAAGTCCAAGGCCGACCTGAAAATGGACAGCAATGGCACAAATGACATGGAAACCGGTACTGTCATCTGATTGTTAGACCGGTCTGTGTGTATGTTTGCTGTGTGCTGGCAACTCTGGAAGCTGAAACATTTTGCGCAACTGGAGGGTACAGTTGGAGACAAAAAATGCCAGACCAATTTGTGAATTTTACCTGCAACGCACATCGGCAAGTTTACAGAACTTCAAAACCACTGACATAATTACTTGGTCCTTCAAGTGTTTCTTAACTGTCATGTTTACATTCTAAGCCATGTACAACGTCATTTGGATTGGATTGTTCAATGCAACAACTATCTAAAGCATCTGTAGTGTTGCTGACGTGCATTGGAACTTGATTGAACTTCAGCTGAAATATCATAAGCGTGCTGCGGACAGCCAGTGCAGTTGCAAGAGTGTGCATTGAGCAATTAAAGAAGTAGGGGCTTGGGACTAGAGGACTTGTGGTGGACTTGGTTACATTACTGCAGAGTCGTTGCTCCTGAGACATGTACCTTCAAAATGTCTGTTGTTGCAGAGATCAGACACTTACATCATTCAATGCATGTTGACAAACTAAATTACTAATGAAATGAGACTTGCATGGAAATTGAAGTTTGATCATTTCCTATACCGCTCTCTTGAGGCGATATTAGGAATTACAGGTGAGCCTTGCATTTTTTTTCCAGCGAGTCTTTGAGCGACTTTGTGGGATACTTTGTCAGAGACTTCATTAACGCTGAAAAAAAAAATGCATCTCTAAACCATTACATTTAAATTTGCCTCAACTTGCCCCCTGGCAATCTAACGGCCAGCAATTTTCAAGCAGCATTACATTATTGTGGATAACTCTGTACAAAGGATTTCAAAAGTGTAAATAGCAAAATGGCTACAGTTTAGCCATTAAAAAAAAATATTGTACGGTTGTTTTCCCGTATCTGTATTTTATTTCTCTGTCACTGAGCATTTTTTAGTAAAGGCGAAATTTGAAAATTTGAATGCAAGAAATAATGAGAGAACAGAACAAATTAGTGCTAGCTGCCTTATAATTCTACCAGAATCATTTTCGGATGAGCAAGCTTATCTAATGTAACCACTTTGTTTTGAAGTAAAGTTTTCATAAATGAAAAATTAAAAAAATGTTTTTAAAGTAAAGACATGTGACAATGACAATGATACGGGTTTGCTTTAAAAAGATATATTTCAGCAGCACACATTTCACACTATATGTGAATCAAATTTGTTTGTATTCAAAGCAAATTTTAGCATCGTGAATTCGTTTGGGTGCGTTTGGGCTTTGTTGATATTTTTTTAAGTTTTAATGTTATTGGTAAATGTATATTAAGTAATATTTTTAATTGTAATTTGAGAAAGAAAGACAAAGAAACCTAAGGTAGTTTTACACACATTGTTGGCTGAAGAGAATTTTCACCGTTTTATTTTTGTGTGGTGTTGCTGTGTTGGTGCCATCAATATGTGTACATGTACATGCATAATACTAGCTTGGCTGCTTGAAAACTAAAATCTTGAAACGTATTTTTGTATCAGACTATGATATATTTTATTTTTATTCAGTTAAAAAATAGGAGAACAAGCATTAATCGTTGTGACCAGCTTTTTTTTAGACTCGGGGGAAAGACAAAAAAGAAGATATTATGAAACCACTATAATCTCATTATTTTTGTAATGGGTGACTTGGACCAATGCAAAAGTAAACTACTGTACTAACAATGACAAGGTGTGAATGGTGGCACATGTGTAGGTCTGTAAGCATCACCGTCATGTAAACAGATCAAGCATAGAAATGAATGTTACTGATTATTTTGCGAACAATATTGCGGAAATTTGATTCATGATACTCTGCTCAAGACATATTTTAACCAGTTATCCTGGTTTTTCAATATTGGGTTTTTGCCCGTCACTGATGTATTTTTATTAACACTGTGTACTCAGTGTTGTCCAAGGACCTGTGAGAAAAAAAAAGTCATAATCTTACTCGGGTGGGACTCGAACCCACAACCTCCTGCATTACTAGTGCAGACGTCTTACCACTCGCCCACCGAGCTTGCAAGGATTGGTTGGCTGGTACGAATCTGATATAGCAGCGGGTACCGCAACCAAACTATTCATAAGATGGAGTTTGCATCGGTGAGATGTAAATCCTTGTTTTTGAAATAAAGATGGTCACAAACTCCTAATGTTCTCCAAGTATTAAATTGTACTATTTACCAATGGTGAAATGCCGAGGTAAAAAAAACCAGATACAACTGCTCGCTGTGAAACTAGTTTGTAATTTTAGTACTTGATTAAAATATGTAATTTTACATGTAAAAAAATCATTGGAGCTTTGTAAGAAGTATGAATTCTTTCAGCCTAAAAATGTCGAAATGTTTGAGTTGGTGCTTTGAGGAATTTTTAACATCAACTGAAATTTTGCACACTGTATACAAATACCTTTGAAGAAACTGTTGCATTAGAATTGCATTTCATTGCTCATTCAGTATTGTACTTGTATTCATTTTCTTTGGGGTTGATAAACATTCCAAATTTGAAGTGCTCATAAACAAACCTTGATCCAACTTCTTTACAAAGACTTTTGTAACATTCTTGCCTGTATTTTCTATAATTTATGTACATATTACATTGGAATTGTTATGTACATGTACAGCTTTTTTTTGTTCCACAAATGGCACATATAATGCTTATACTTTGTTACTAAATGTTTATTTTCAGCAGGCTCAATACATGTATACTCGTATGACTTTGTACATTTGTATAGACCGTGTCACACCTGTTTGTGGTCACATGATGCAAACTGTGGTCACATGATACAATTGTGGTCACATGATCCAAACTGTTCTATTCTGTGCTGCATGTACACTGTACAATGTAATACAGATTTAGCTACAACCAAATTCTAGTCATTAAGTGAATATAAATCCTTGGCCTCAACTGTGCATTTTTATTTATGTGCACAATAAATATAAAACTGGTGTTCCGCTCTTTACAAAATTTGTATGTGCAAAAAGAGAAATAATTTTTGCCAGTTCAACTGATTTTGTATCATTTTACAATCTAGTGGTTTACAAGTTTTAACATTTACTGTTAAATGTTGGCAACATAAAGTGAGAACAATGCTGAAAATATTTCCTTCTGTATTCACAAGCAAACTGCTTGAATTCCCATTGTTAAATTCCATCCCAGTTTTAATAAAAAGCTATGTTTTTGAAAGTTGTGTCCTTTCGTTTGGAGGGATCAGGACAAATGGCACAATGGTTCCAAAAATGATGTATTATTAAAATGATCTATTTTTTTAAAATTGTATTTAGTTAGGGGTTTCTTTTCACTGCATTGCCGCTTTCAGTTTGTACCGATATCAATCTCTTCATAGTGTGCAGTTTGAAGAAGGTGAAGTTAGTGGCGTGTGTAGTGTTATATTGTTTATTTTTATTACATGTGCATTAGGGTGGTACATATTATGTTAAGCCTCACATTGCAGTATTTTTCCTAACTACATGTAGCTCTTGACTACATCATTCAATATGTCATTTAAAATGTCATTGGCAAAAAAAAATCATCTGCAATCAATTTCACACTGGTGGTACAGTAATATGTGAAGTCACAAGTGTTCATTTTCAATTATTTGCCTGGATGGGAAGAAGCCTGAATAGGCGATGCTTGCTTGTTCACACTGTATGCCTTATTGTTTTTTTCTCAAAAATCAATCTTGTATGTACTTTGTTAAAGATGTGCATTTTATTTGGTTTAATTAGTATGTGAGCCATTATTATATAACCGACATACATATCCTTGTCATTTGATTGGTGGAACTCACATCACGTGACATTCGTTATTGCTCCCATTCATGCGGGGTCTCAAAAAGTACTATTCGCCCATGGGGAGTGGGAAATACTATTGAACAGTTAGGATCATTCTTGTTCCAAGACGCGGTATTTGTGTGCAAAGGCATGCTGGTGTGCGCGTTCAGCGTTGCGCGTATTGTTCCAAAGAGCCAGCGCTACATAGTGGGGTTCAAACATTTTCGTGAAGGGGTGGTTTGGAAAAGAGAAATACATTTCCCATCAATTTTGTAGTGAAATAAAAGTTCAAATATCAAGTGACAAGGATCTATATGTCAGTTATATAAAACAAATATTGAGTGGCTTTAAATTGTGAAATGAGAGGAATATTATCGCTCGGTAAAATCTGGACTTTTCCAGTTCACTCGGCTTCACCTCGTGAAATGGAAAAGTCCAGATTTTACCTTGCGATAATATTCCTCCCATTTCACTCTGAGCCACTCAATATTTGTATGTCACATGAACATGAATGCCTTTTTGATCAAGCTCAGTATTCTAAGCAGCATTTACTGTTCACAAGTTTGTAAAGTCTAAGGAATTTTGGAGGCCTTGTACAGTAATAAAAAAGTTTATAATGGAGAGCACTGCGTATTGCTCTTAATACTTTTGGTCGTGTCTTGTACAGATTTTGTCTGAACAGTGGACAGCTATTCAAGCCATCCCTTGATCTTATTCTACATCTGATGGTTGTGTAATCCAGTGCGTGGTCCTTTGTACACCTAGTAGGAGCAAATCTCTTCCAAAGGTGTATCAAAACTATGTGACAACTTACAATTGTTTTGTTATGCCATGGTAGTATTGTTCAGAAAGTTTTCCAGTCTGCACACAAATAAGTAAATATAGGAAAATGAAGCACTTCACGTTGGGGAAGTCTGTTTTTCATTTTTACACAGCTGTGTATTTTAATGTCCTATCAAATACTCGCTCAGGCAATGCCCAGTGTAGACGATTATACCAAAGTATGGGGATTGACCAAGGTGTAGTCCATTCAGATGGTTCAACATCATCATCATCATTCTTACAATGTACTAGTACATTCACCATCAGAATATCAGCTGCTAGTTTTGCTATTTACCAAGCGATGATGTGACGATTAACGCGCAGGGCAAATGTGTATGGGCATTTCGCCTTAGGAACTAGTTCAAGTCAACTCCCAATACTATCCCCCCTCAACCCTGGCCACCTGATGCATATTCGTAGCTTAATGCCGTACGGGAAACTTCAAGAGGTTGTAACCAATTCAGTTGGCACCATCAACGTAAAGGAAAAAATCCCCACGTGTGTTATGATGCTGCAGTTTCTGTTCCCAAGTTAACATCGCTGCTCTGTGATACATCAGCACCATGTTCAGTTAAAGCAGCATCATGTGTTTCCCTAGTTAGTCCGTCAGTAGTCTGGCTCCCATCCATCGATACAGCAGCACCACTACCATCGGTCACCACAGTGTCTGGGCCAAAGACTTGCTGCACTTGGCCGGCTAGATTGAGGGGTTTCCCCGCAGTATCTGATGATGTCGCTTCTGCCTGGGCTGCCTCCAGGGCTGCTGCTTGCTTGTGTAGAGGATTGATCTCCATGTAAGTGGTGATCAGACGATGGTTAACGTTGACCAGCTTCTCAGCACATCGATTGGCACACGCTACCTGGAGGGGCAAACGTTTATAATGCATTTTAAATGGAAGCCAGTTAAACTGTTGGAGGTATTCCATACAACTTGCATAGAATCCGGATTATCACCATATATAAAGTGGATACAATTAGGCTTCTAGTTCTAACAGGAAATTAGTTGCCAGCGGCATGGGTTTTTCCCCTTTTAGGTACACCCCCCCCCCCCCACCTTTCACATTTTGTTCTGTAAGCACAATGGTTATACACCTAGTGACCTACTATATTTATTATTCTCCCTCCCCCATGCTCCCCCGCCTCCTGTGGGGAGATAAAGAAGGTGAATTTCTGGATGCAAGTAATTCAACTGTCATCATCGTTTTTGAAAAACCCGTTACGGCAACCCCGATAATGATAATGAAGTACTAGGAACATACCTCCTCTGGTATCATATGCCTGTAATTCAAATTCTGGATGCAGTGGTTGAAACAAAGCTCAGTAAACTGGTTGTACATCGACAAGAAATCCTTCAACTGAGAAAAAAAATAGAAAAATATTTAAAAAAAATTCTATTTCAAGCAGACCATAGTTCTAGGGGTAAGCCGGTTTATACGTCATGTGACATTCTCTGTGAACAATAATATGAATAAACCTACAGAGTTGTTAAGGTCAGTAAATTCCCTTTGCCTTTGCTTTCAAGCTGAGTATGACTATTCCTTCCTCCATGGTATGACCCCCGTACCCGGCCTTAAACAAGACACAGTGGCTATCGTTACGGTAGTCGACCATCTGAGCTGACCATATTCAATGTCAGGAACTTTGGCTCTTTGGAACAAGACTCACCAGTTTAATCAACCGAAATGGTTTTCATGGTTTTTGGAAATTGTTTCTGAGAATGCTTTACTTTAGTAATGTGATAAGGTTTGAGGCCTGTAAGTTTAGGTCCTATTGTATTCTTTCTAGTTTGTTTTGCTTGTGTATTGTAGTTTTCAAACAGTGAAAGTGTCAAAGTTAATCGCAGTTGCAGTTCGCCGGGCACGGTGCGAAAACCTTTCACGCTCTTCGCCCCACCACCATTGCCGCCACATGGGGCGAAAACATTTATTTAACAGTTGGACTAACGCCAGAAAAGACTTACATTTCTTCTAGCAAACTCGTCCATTTTTCTTCAGAAGTAATATTCTTGGCTATACTACAACCATGGAGGTACAACAAATATTTCATGTACTAGAAAGATGCAATATTATTAGTGGAAAATCTACACCGTGCTTCCGGGCAAAGTTTCCAGCAAGCACGCACGACAATCATGTGTCGTCTGCTATTCGTTCGTTCAAAATTCGCCCCACGACGGCACAATTAATATACTGCGAATGAAACTGGGGCGAGTTGGTAGAAAAAGTCAGATCCCTTCGCACTGTAGCCTTACATTGAAGTTACCGTGACGTCAGGAATATGACCAAATGTCTTCACTGGTCCCAAATTCAGAAAGCAAGACACTTGCCTTATAAGTTAAGTTACCAGCGATTACAGGATCACATCAAGTTCCCGGATATTGACAACACGATCACGACCTGCCGTGGGATGCCGACTGAAGTGCGAGCATTTTTTGACCATTTTACGTGAAAGAATTGAAGGTATTTCTTCTATTCCTTTGAGGTGGTGGGTTGTGCAACATTCTACGAGCTACGCTGTAGAAACGTAGTCCACTTTTTGTTGAAAAAATTGGTAAGCATTGTCATTCAATGTGTGCATGGAGGTAGAATTCTAGTTTTCTACCTCCATGATGTGTGTTGCCGGGCCGGGGGGGGGGGGGGGGGGGGGGGGGGGGGAGGGTTGGGTTTGCATTCATGTGATCATTCTAGTTCTACTTATTCTAGCTTGGACAACAGTCCTTCTGATTTGAGGCGTGCGATCACACTCCCACACCATCGCACACCTAAAAGCTTCCCGAGAAGTGTGAATAATTGCAGTTGCACTTGCACGCCTAAAATCTGAATTTCCCTAGACCACAGATCACACAGTACACGTACAAAACCACACACCTAGAAAAAACACACACCTAGAAAAATCCAGGCGTGCCTTTTTCCACACGCCTGTGATTTTCAAATCGGAAGGACTGGGACAAAGATAAAATAATAGGTGCTTGGTTTTCCAGCCGAACCGAACTAAATAAAAATAGCCGAACTTGGCCTTCCGAACTGAACCCGAACCGAAGCCAAATGTTGGTTCGGAAGAGTTCGGCAAGTGTTTGTTTGATAGCGCTAGGATTGGATGCTAAAGCTTGCAATGAAAAAGGCAAAATTAAAGGGTACGCACGGATGATTGAATTTACTGTGTTGACAAGTCACCGCATTCATCTTCATTATTTGCGATGTTCTAGCCAGGCATACAATAGGATATATCAGGTCGATGTGCTTTGAAAAAAAATCGTACGCACCTGCAATTCTCTCAATGAAAAGCATGCCAATATCCCATTGCCCTGCCGTGTTCCAGCGTGACGTAGTTCGTTCGGACCAAAATGGGCGTGGTCTCCATAACCTGTGGGCCAAATTTGTTAATCTTGGTTTCTCTGGAAAGGTACCATCACAAGAAATCCCATTTGCCATTACTTTTCATGTCGAAGTAATTTGAAGTATTATGACCTACCGGTATTGACCTTGAATTTGACGTTGTGGATCACCTAACCTTGAGACGAACTTGGATGAAAATTATACCCCATCACGTTTTCTACAAAATATAAAAAATTAGGGGTATAATATTTTTGTTTGGTTTCTAGCTCATCTCAAAATTGGCAAAAGTGTTGCAAAATGTGATATTCCTATGTATGTACATGTTTTAGGGTAAAAAAAAACCCTGCTTTAAATCCAAAACATAAATACTAAAAGCAAAAGTACCAAATTATTATGAAAAACCTTACTTGACTGTTAGTGCATAAAGTCTCAAGCATCCTGTGAAATCTTGTGAAATCATGGCACTTGGTGTGCTGTCATTTTCAAGAAAAGTGGAATTTTTGTGTTTGGAAAATATTCCAACAATGGTCGGCTGACCATCGTTAATAAAAAAAATTATTTTGTTTTTTCAAATACATTTTTGTTGCAATTGGTTACACATCCGTGAATGGGTGCAAGCCAGCTAGTCTTGACGTGATAATTCCCCGAAATCTATAAATTGTTCCGTTTCATCTGAATACAAAACTTTAACATGTTTAAACGGGTCAGTGTAAGAATATTTGCTGTAAAACACTTACTCCCAAATCCATGCATTTCTGAAAATTACAGTTAATAAATGTTGTCCATGCAACATGTGCACGAGCAAGGTTTCATCTCAATATTAAATGGTTTCTAATTTTGTTTGCTGAAAACATGCATCCAGACATTAGATGGTGTGTCATGCAGTCTGTCATGTGTATGGGCTTAAGACGGAACCATATAAATAATGCTGTCTATCTTGAGCAGTGATGTCATAATTTATGGCAATGTGTAATATACACGTGTGCTTTCTATTACCAGTGTACACATCATAAGGGTCCAAGGGTCAACAAAATCTGGGCTAGTGTTACCATGGTTGTTGTGGCCATTGGCTTCATTGCATTAATAAATTTCACAGCTTATTTTTAATTTTGTTTGTATTTCAAGGTAGATTAAGTGATATTTAGTGAAACAATTTAAATTAAATTGATCAGTAAATTTAATGTGAACACAATCGTACTTCAAACATGCATGAACAATGATGAATGTGTATCTTGGGCAACAATTTGATATGAACCGAAACTTCATACACATGTATATACCGGTAGACATATTTTTCAAGAATTTTTGGGAATCCTCCCAAATCTATTTTTGTGTGGGAACCCAATAGGAAGCCTATGGAAGCGGCTGCAGCTTCTTCACATAGACACTTGTGTTATTTCTAGCCATAGTCATTCGGACACGGCCTTACAACAAATCAACTAAATCGAATAGCGCCCTCCTTTTGTGTCCACCATATCTCACGAAGACTAAGGTGGATATGAAAGGATCTGGGAGGTTTAAGGTAAATCCTAGAAAATCCATTGTTAATATCAGCCGTTATCATTCAGAGCTGGTATTAAATGTGGAATGTGTCGTACAGCACCTGGGCCCAATTTCACGGCGCTGCTTAACCGTTAGCAGAAAAGTTGTGTTTAGCATAGCAGAAAAATTTGCTAACCTTAAGCACTATTTCACGGCGTGTGTGTGCTAACGGTCGCGCGTGCATGGAGATTTCTATTGTTACGTCACTAAGTTAAGCAAATTTTTTCCAGAGGTAAGCGTGCCTTTTGCTGTGCTTATGCTTACGGTCTCCATGAAATAGACGGAGGCTCTGTTAGCATAAAATCGTGTGCTTACCAGCGCCGTGAAATTGGGCCCAGGTAGTGTTACCACTGGATCCATCACACACATTGCACTCAACTCTCTGTTTTCTTTTGAACCCTTGACCAGGTGATATCAGCAGGGTGCTGCCTCTACATCCGTTCAAGCAATGAGCACAGAGAACGGCACCTACCAGCCAGAGGACGATCTCGACGACACCTTTGAGCAGGATCTACGGGACATGCTGAGAGACGGTCCCTCCTTATCTGACGCAGCGGCGACCATACAGAGTGGCACATCAGCCAACAGGAGCGGCAGCAGCAACAACGGAAGTGGCGGTCAGTTTACCGGTGTAGACCTGTCTAGTCCCCAGAAGTCACCCATGTCATCACCACCTCAACCCAGGCTGATCCAAAACCCCAGCGTGGGCAGCCGACTCGCTCAGCCTGCCAGAGGGGCGGGTAGGTTAGCCTGATAATCATCCACCCATTGCCCATCCCATCTCTGCACTCCCGGCATGCCATGTTTTTGTCCTAATGTGTTCTGGGTCACAAATGTTATGTCACGCATGAAGGCCTTTAATACATTTTACAATATTTTGACCATATTTCTTAATTTTGAAACTTGAATTTGGTACTTTCTGTTGTTAAAGGGAATGTACATCATTGGCTTTTGCTGTAATTTTCAGAAATGAACTATTTGAGGGGTTAGTATAATAGATCAAATATTGTTACACTGACATGTTTGAAGTTTTGTTTTCGAAAATGCTGGAAAAACCAAGAAAAACAAAAATGTTCAAGTAGTCTGGTTCCCTGACTCCACTGAAGATAAAATGAATCAATTTATAGATGCCGGAAAATTGTAAGGTAAGGGAACCAGTCTAGCTGGCCTGCACCCGTTCATGAACATGTAACCAATAGCAAACAAAATTTGGAATGAAAAAAGGGTAAAGTTGGAGCAGTAGTTGAAAAATAGTTAGGTTTTTCCAACGGTGGTCGGCCGACCACCGTTGGAAATGTATACAAAAATACCATTTTCTTGAAAATGACTTCACACCAAGTGCCATAATTTTACAGGATGTTTTAGACTGTCATTTGCCAAAATCCTAGTAAGGTATTTCGTAAAAACTTAGTAGTTTTATTTGTCGATGTTTGCAAATGTTGTATATTCCCTTTAACAGGAAATTGCATGTCTCATTCCCTTTTTTAAAAACTGTTTAAACTAAAAGATCGTTGATTTATTTGTAGGTGTATTATATTCATTACGTAACTCATGCTTTTCAGAGACATGAAGGACAAACAAAACAAGAAATCTGTTTATTTTAAATGAAATCAACTGCTGTTGATTTTTTTTCTATTAGTTGTGCAGTCTCCATACAGTGTGCATGATGAGACACTGCCGTTAGTATGATCAGCTACTGTACACATTCCTACTAGATTAAATCTAGACATAAACAGGATTACTTCAATGAATGAATTAGCGATCCACTCTAGCACACTTATGCAATTTTAATGCCTGAAAGAATTGCATATACCGTATGTACACATACATGCACAGAATTGTTTCACCTTTTTCGTTTTCTTTTCTGATCTGAAGTTCAGTAGAACATTTTATTTCCTCTTGTTCCTTCAATTAAAAAGAATACAGTGAATGCGTGTTGATGTAACCCTACGATAAAAAAACATCCTGGCACTGCATTAACCCCTAATCACCATTGGCAGAGATCATTGAGTGATTAGGCCAGCCTCCCACGGGACTTGCTGCTAATGCACTGCTGTCTTTAGGAGTCCTTGTGTATCACAGTAGTGTTGATATTAGGGTGACATTTAGGATGGCTGAGTCTGTGCAGGGCACTGGATAGAATTGAATAGTGGGCTCCTAATTTACACTCCGTACACAAAATTTTAGTAGAAACTGAAAACGTTTGAATTTTTGTCAAATTGTTTGAAAGTTCCGTTGAAGGATTATATGCATAATTTTACTCATAAGATGCATCTGGTGTCTGCATCTACACACGTGCACATGTACAATGATGTTCTTAAAGACGGAATAACAATGATGTTAATGTACATGTATGCATTCTAGTGACTGTTTGTTTGGCCCTCATATGTATGTTTGCTTAAAAGTACGCATGCTTATTTAACCCTAACCCCCTAGGCCCTTTTGGCTAGGAATTATCCTCAATCGTGCAACATCCTCCAATTGCTACCATGTTGAAATTGGATTCGGCCTCAACCCTCCAGAATCATTCATTATTTCTTGAAATTCCAATTTCACTGACGCTCCTGCATAAAGTACACGAACCCAGCTTTTCCATTCGCCTCCATGCTTGTTGGGTCAGGCGTGTGTTTCTGTTAACAGATCATGCAATTGCTATGATCATTTGACCATTCCCATCATTGATTAACTCATCTTTTTATTCAGCAGTGTGACTCATACTGTCTGTTCATGTGTCAAGTCAAGCAGGCACACAATATAACAGTGTATCTGGCATACATTTTGTACCTTGTACCTTGCAAATGGTTCATTCAGAATTATTGGATCTTTGCAAAAGAAACAGTTTGACAACTTTTTTCTTTTTGTCACGGGTATTTTTCAAAATTTCAAATTCAAAGTGTCTATTTTTTACTTTTTATCCAGCCCTTGTCCCATTTTAAAGGGAGAAATCATTGTCGTCACAAATTTTGAAGTGCAGACTAATATATTTACAGTAACAATTGTATTGATCAACAAAAAATTGTTACTGGTAATTGTTTCAATTAAGTTTCACATCGTAAGTTTAAAAAGCTACCCAAGAAGAACTGTTTCACTCATTGTTACATACTGATCCACTTTATTTTTTTTTTCAATCATAGCATGCTAATTATTCTTTTTGCAAATGCAAATAATCCATTTGTGTGTAACTTGGCTCAGCTTACATGGCGTATGTCATTCACCTTTTTTCGAAATATGGTGGACACAATACGAGGGCGCTATTTTGTTCCAGTGTAAAGTCTTTGGTATTTTACCCAACAAAAGTGTGCTCTTCTATTGCGTCATCTTTATATCAAAAAGGTTTTTTATTTGTGTTTTATATGCTACTAATTCACTTGGTCCTCATTGTTGGTTGAAAATTGCTTTCTTATTGCACAAAGTTTGCATTTCTAAGATAAAGTTCCAAATGGAAAACCTTCAAACCATATGTAATGAGATTCGTTTTCAGTTATGTCCACCAAAAGTACGTAATGTTGATCAAATTTATTACGCAGATTTTCTCATTCAGAGAAAGAAATATCAATTGATACAAACTACACAATTTAATGTTTCCCTGTATTTTATTTTGAAAATGCAGACATTTGTCTTTGTGTAGCTGTGTCTGAATTAACATTTCTTGTTTTCTACTACTCATATTCTTCTTTTCTTCTATTGATCCTGTTCACGTTGACAGAAGAAAATGACCAACCACAATCCACTGAAAAACGTAAGCAATTTTGTGCCTTTAAAGTTGACATGTTAATGGTACTTGCACTTTAGGATATTCTTGAAACCCATTGAGACCTATAACTTGTGTCATTTTGTTGCTTTTATGTTGGTTAAAAATTATATCTTGTTGGTGCTAGCAATGTGGGCTTTCTTCAAGAGCTGCGTTTTCCTTACTAACATATTTTTAACGGGGGTATTAGTTAACAGTCTATTGCTTTTTAGCTTTTGGTTGAGAAAAATCCCCAGTGAGATTTTCTCATGATCCGTGATCAGCATGCCCAAGGGACCTTCATGTAGATTCTGATGTTGCCCCTGTTGTACCTGTCCATCCACCTGCAGTCATGTCTAGACTGCACGCCCCCAGTCAGCGTGAGATCCCATGTAATGAAATTAGTGTGTGTTGAGAGAGAAGCGCTACATGGGCAGCTTAGGGTGGCATTTGCAATTCAGGGAATGTTCACTATGCAAGTAACGTTCATTGATCGAATCCGTCACCCTCTCTGAACAGAGAGTGTAGTCACAAGTTCAGATGTTACACGGGATCTGCCCCAATCACATTGTGTAATAAGCGGTCAGTAATCGGATTGTCTGGACTACAGGAAGCAATTGCAGGCCATCAGACTAATCTTGCGTCCTAGGGGTTTTCCTGTTTGATAAAATTTCATTCCGCTGTGGCTACATGTATAGTCTAAATGGTTTACAATTTCATTGTCCAATGCTACCAAAACCGTCCTTACTTTAACATATTATTTGGTCATTATCTTAAGAATGAAATGTTGCCATCTTTAATCTGTTAGGGCTGTCCCAAATATACTGAATATTCAAATGTTAGATCATTAACCGAATATTCAAATAAATTTTCGCCAGTATGAATATTCGAATAAAAACAAATACGCACATGCACACATGACTGTGATGTTATTTGAATTGTAATGTTGCAGCGCTTTATTGTCAGATGCTCCGTTTTTTGTTGACTGTTGCTTTTTTATTGACGTCGGTTCATTGATCCTGTCCTCTTACCATGTTAAAGCCCTTGACATAACTATGAAGTACTGTAAAACACTCCAGCTGTCCATAATATCGATCGTTGCACGAACATTTTAACCGGCGTGCTTTGCGTGCAACTTTTGACTGGCGCGGCATGCAGCTGCAGCTGCATGTGTAAAATTTGATTGGAGAGTTACGAATATTCGGTGAAACGGAGTTTCGGATAATCAAATACTAGATTATTCGAAAACTGACAGCCCTAACATCTGTTGAGTCATTGGGACAGTGACAATACAGTGCATGTGTACATGTATACATGTAATTAATTATGCATTGCATTCTATATGGATACGTAATACTCTACATTGCCAGTAGAGTATGCATTTATGTACATACAGTGTACGTACACCAGCACATGTACAATGTATCTATGACCTCTGGATGGTACACGCTGATACAGGCCACGCTTTCTAAGACCATCTGTTTTCCTGTCAATTTATGCAGCTGCCTACATGTACTTTGTATATTCATGGGATTTTAATTATACATTAATTATTCTCATAGCAGGATTTGCATTGCAATATATGCGTGTACAGTATTTCTAGCCTGCTTGTGATAATCGTTTTCAAATGTTAGTACTGACTGCTGCTGTCTGGATCTGTTTTCTACCGATGATTTAACCAATGTGCAATAGTCTGCCATCACACTTACATTGTTAATGTATGTGTGGTTTGTACATGGATAGCAAAGAGAACGAATGTAAATAACTGCTGTGGAGCTGTTTAAAACAAACTACATTTGATGCAGAAATCTATCTGCAGTAAATCATTAACAAATTTTTAACAATTCCAGCGCCATTATAGCCACTGTTTTTTTAAATGTAAATTTGGGTCCATTTTATGTGTAAATTCTTTGTACATTTTTTACATCGGATTGCTCAAGAAATGTTCAAACTCTGATGTGTGACTGACCAGCCAATGTCTTTGTTTTTCAGCGGCCGTCCGCACTGCAGCCCCGTCTTCAGTTCCACCTGTTGCTCAGCCAGTAGCCACTATGCCTACAGCGCAGACGACATCTATTGGCAAACCCATGACAGGGATTGGCGGTACGGCTGTGGCTAACACACCAGTCCCCGGCCAGACTACTGACCAGGTGTCCACCTCGGTCATTGCTAAGGCTAAGGTAAGTCATGCAGTGGTCTTGGACAATTCACCTGTAGAGAGTAAAGACGGGAAAAAATAGAAAGATCTGTTAAACCCTAATCACCAAGGCCCTTTTAGCAAGAAACCATCCTCAATCCTGGAAAATCCTCCAATTGCCACCATGTAAAAATTAGATTCAGCCTCAATCTTCCAAAATCATCGATTATTTCTTGAATTTGTTTAGTGGAGGTGTGACCACTGCCTCAATCCTCCAAAATCCTCCAACAATCACTGTTAATGGGTTGAGGCAGTGCCGACAACATTCATAGGTATTGCGGATGATATGGAGCATGATGTAGGGTCAATAATGCATGGCTGAACAAAAACAATGCAGGGTTCAGCTTACGAATGCAACACAATACATCCTCCAAGGTTTCGGTGTTTGTTTATTAAGGGAACGTGATGGCCAGTAAGTGAGCAAACATAATTCAATAAGCTATCTTTGCGGTCAGTGATTCATACAGAAAATCTCTAAACCATGCAATTGCTGACTAAAATGATATCACAGAAACTGTGTCATCAGGGGTAAGGATATACATGCAACAAGACATCAGAAACAGCAACACTTTCAAGTAAACAAGGGCATCCAATTACTTTTATACAGATCAGGGGTAAAATATTTGTACAAACTCTAAAGAAATTTCATGGCAACTTTTAATGTCAGATTTGAATTGATATATTTGTTTGGAATGTCCAGTTGGATAGTTTGAAGAGTTGGAGCATCTCCACCTACAAGTGTACCCGTCAGCTGGTTCAAGAGAAGCTGGGCAAGGCGTCCAGGACAGTAGACCTGCAGCTGGAGGCACAGATTGAGGTGTTGAGAGATACGCAGCGCAAATACGGCAATATCATGAAGCTAGCAAGGGCATTGACTAACCACTTCTATCAGGTAGGCTGGTTGATCAGGAATACACAGACCCCTACCAGAGGCAAGACATGCAATAATTGTATAACAGATCATTGAACAAACCTATTTGTTATATCGTATCTTGGATTCTGTAAATTCGTTGGTCTAGAATTGCCAAGTGCAAAGTTAAGTTCATCTGCACTGCATTGCATATAAATTATCTCAGAGTGTATAATTATCTCATATACACTCTGCATTGCATACAAATTACCTTGTTTTAATTCGGGCGTTTCACAGTGCAGTGCGCCACCAAGAGTTTGCTATGGCGAGTCCATTTTCAAGTTTACGGTCGACAAAACATGGCCCATTTGAATGAGTGTCAGTGGACAACTTGAGCTAATTTGTTATAGATTGAGGCATAGCGTTTTGCTGCTTTACAAAAAACACCATATTGATAAAAAGAAAAGGGCAAACATATACTCGAATCATACGCTTACGAAACTACTGACTGAAAAAAACGAACAATTTCAAATGTCCCGCGCTGCGAATTTGTCAACCGTCTCCCACAATGCACTGAGAAAAATGAACTCTCCGTGGCAAACTCTTGGTGGCACACTGCATAGTGAATCGCCCGCATTACCTACATTTAAAGAAGCCACTTTGTAATTAAATATTAATACACAGTCACTAAAAGTCGTCTTGATTCATGAAAAGCCTGCCCATTTCACTGATCAGAGATTCCCCCCCCCCTTTCAACATTACAGCTCTGGAGTGTTTGTGTTAAGGCCCAGTTGTCATTGAATCACACAAACTATACCCAATTATCAGCATGCAGCATCTCACGCCTCACTTTTCGTTGGAATGACTCTGAGCAGATTTTTAGAGATTTTAAAACCTCGGATTTCTTCCACTCCTCAATTTTATTGTTGATCTGTTTTTAGTAGCCTTGAAATTTGAATCATATTCCTCTAAGTAAGCCTACTGCACATTGATTTCTGTCTACGTGAACGTTTTTGTGTTCAGGTTGTCCAGACCCAGCGTTCCCTTGGCGACGCTTTCGGGGAGCTGGCCCAGAAATCCACAGAGCTGTCGGAGGAGTTTAGCTACAATGCCGAGACACAGAAGTCCCTGTGTACGAACGGCGAGACGCTACTGGGCGCGCTCACGTTCTTCACATCCAGCGTCAGTACACTGTGCAACAAGACTATGGAGGATACACTGCTCACCGTGAAGCAGTATGAATCAGCTAGGTAAGTCTGCACATGTTCTTATAAAAATTTATTGTGAATGTCAATGCCATGTTGGCACCATTCAGCCTAGTCTACATCTTTAGACGGACTCTCTTCATTACATGGAGTAGTTGTTACACACTTATGTACTTTTGTTTTGGATAGGTCATTTTGAGTGCTGCCAATTTTGAATCTTCTTGCGTATGACTGTTGCAGCAGTGTACACTACAGCATAGAGCTATATTAAATTACTAGAGCACTAACTCCTCATTCTTGCGCGCGGAGAAGCTTTGAAGCCGCTCTGAGCACAGACATTTTGAATTTATGTGCGTGTTTGTAGAACACAATCAAAATAGATGGGTTGAATTTTAAAAGTGTACTCTAAATGCAACGCGCAAGTAGAAGACACGCAAACAACTTAAGCGCGTCATGACGGTTCAAAAAACGTCATGGCGAAAAGCATCTGCATCGGAGGGACGTGCACACGTTGCGCTGTTTCCGAAGAGCAAAGTGACACGCTCCTTTGCTGATCATGCGTTTCGGTTTTGGGCATATCGGCTTCGATGATGCACTGGTATGGAATACAAACGCAGATATGCAAATAGCCGTACAAAATTTCGAGTTTTCCATAGGTTTGTGCACAAACATGGATGCGCCCATCAGGCATTACTTTGTACATCGACTTAACACTCTAGTAATTTAATATAGCTCTATGCACTATAGTGACAGATCCAGGTTGGAGAGTCAGGTAAGGGCATCGTCTGTCACAAGGTGGATTTCCTTGATGCCTCCTGGGAACTTCGTCAGCATGTGATCATTCACAATGTGTGAGATGGTCTGATCTGCATGGCCGCACTCACATGCCGAGTTGTCCCGGAACTTCCATTTATATAGATTATGTGCAGATCTGGCATGTAGAGTGCAGATTCTATTGAGAGTGGTTCACTCTCGCCTGCCTTGGTTGAAACCAGGGGGTACGGTGGTGGGATCTCGCACCAGGTCCTTGTTGGTGTATTCCACGTTTTCCCACAGACCCATTTTTGAATAACAACATGAGAATATGTTACACCAACAGGATAGAATATGATGCTTACCGTGCCGACCTAGAGAGTTTACAGTTAGCACCTAAGGATGCCACAACTCAAGCCAGACTACATGATGCCCGGGTCAAGTATGAAGGCCAGAAGGAGAGATTTGACAAGCTGAGGCAGGACGTGGCTGTCAAACTCCGATTCTTGGAAGAGAACAAGGTATGTAGTCAAAGTCATGGTATTATACAAATAGAGAATGCTTATGAGTGCAATGGTAAGAATAATTTCATGCAATCACCTCATGAAACTTTTCTGTCCAATTCACAAACGTGAATTATTCGTAACTTGTTTTATACAATGCCATGCCAGCAATTGTGTGACCGTGCAATGGAACCTCTATTTACTGTGATGATGCCTACATATGTGGCTATGACAATTTTGTAGTGTGCATTCCAGTTGACTATACTCCCGCTGTATGTATGTACTTGTTGCATGTTCAATGCACCATTGTGATGCTTTTGTGGTGCTCGTTGGTCTTGTGTCAAACTGGAAGGCTGCAAGGGAGTGGCGTCCCTTGCCTCAGTGTGATGACTGGCCAGCGTATTGTAAATAAGCTCCTAAGATGCCAAAAAACAGCATAGGAATTGCATCATGGAAAGCCCTCATTTTGTCTTAGAAAAGTTTTGGACAAGTCTTTGAATTTCATTTTAAGATTGCTGTCGGAACCCAACCTCGTCCCCAGTGCTACATTATTTCCAACCTCGTTTCCAGTAGTAAGCCCTGGATAGGAAACTTTCTTCCTGTATCCTGATTCGATACCGCAATTGGCTAGAAATGGATTTATATTGTGTACTTGGTGTTGTTATTCGCAACGTGCAGTACGTGTTTTCACGATCATTCGTCCACGCCTTCTCGATGATTCATTTCCTTTTCAGTTTGTTCATATTAATATGAAATGTGATACTGCATGTTATCTCGTTAAGATCGTAACAGTTAAATTAAAATAAAATTGTGTTTTCGTAACTCACGCCACGCTCGCGCTGCGACGAATTGCTTCTGTTTTTACCCCAGACACGGCATACAAAAACAAATGCAAATGTAACGCACAGGCAGGCACCAGACTATTCCTCATTTGCATACGTGTACAAAAATCTTGCACATGCAAACGAACCAATTCCAGGGTGAGAGAGCAGGTAGTGGTGGGCGTACTGCTTGACACCCTGGGGACGAGGTTGGTGGGAACCCTGTTAATGATTTTTGGTCAAAAATTTGACAAACTTCCTACAAATTTTTTAATTTTTTTGCCATTTTACTTCGAAATTTTTTCCACATTTTTGTAGGTGAAGGTGATGCACAAGCAGCTGCTACTCTTCCATAACGCCATCTCAGCCTACTTCTCTGGCAACCAACAAGCCCTGGATGCCACCCTCAAACAGTTCAACATACGCCCCAAGGCTGGCAATGAAGTCAAGCCGTCCTTCTTGGAACAGTGAGTCACGTCAGACAAAGTCTGACACCATAGGACTCTTGGGATATAACAATTTATTTAAAAAAGTAAATAGATAAATAAAAGCAAATTAGCAGATCAATCATATTAATTATAGCATTTGCTTTATTTTTAAGTTATAATTTACTTTAAAAGTCAGAGTAGTCTGGTCAAAGTGACTTGGTTTTACAGTATTCTGGTTTGAGTTTTACTGATAGTCACGAACAAAACTGAATCCCTTAAAAAAGCCTTTTTTTTTCGGAATTTGAAAGCATTCTTTTAATACATGTACATGGAGTATTCTGATTATTTACCATGGTGTTGCACCCTGCAAAACACATGGTCAGTGATGAAGTTTCAATGCAGTGAAATGGACAGGCAGTCTTAAAGAGAAGAATTGCATGTTTGGATTCAAACGTACCAGTTTAACAAAGAAGGCTGTACGAAAGACGTGTGAACATTGATTGGCGCACATTGATATTTCATTGTTCTTGATTTTTTTTAATACTCATATTGAGGACTTGTTAAAATTTCATGATCTTAGTGTAAAATTTGCTCGTTGGCCAGACCTATAAAGACCCCCTCCCATGGAGGGTATTGAAGAATTCAAAAGCCGATAAGTAAAGACTCCAAATGTTTGATGATAGTTTGATGATATTGCACAACCTTGAACCGACCCCCCCAGTTCTAATCATTTTGTGTGCTCCATTAAGCCAAAGAAAACTGGTCAAATACAAAATATATCAAACATAAAGTGTTTTATATTCAACAAGCTTCAATGTTCTTTTGAGGTGGAATGTCCTTTTTACACTGCGAAATTGTATTGTTATTGACCACAAGTATGAGACGATGGTTGGTATTCTTAGTTATCTGTACATCCGACGTGTAGTCTCCAAAGTTTGACTTTCTGGGTTAAGGGACGTAGTACTTATCTGTGTAATGGTTTGCTCTTAATCTACTTGTATATTGCTCAACACACATTTTCATAATTGTGGTGTATGGCGCTGAGAATTGATTTACTTTTGTGGCCTGAAATGTTGAAAACATTGAACACTGCCCTGTCGTCTTTGTTGAGGCAGAAAAAGACTGTAGAGCCCTCACCTCATCTTAGTCCTACATGTAAAATACTCCACAGTACCTTCAAGATTTGTTTTACATCTGGGCAATTCCCCGGTTACTCACGTTACATTTTTGTACCGTGAGTAACCAATTTTGTGCGTCTTGTTTATCATACAAAACACATTTTTTGGATGTCATCTTTGGTGCTTAGGTAGGTCTAGGTCTACTCTATCTACCATGGGGATAACAGTTATTAAACCTTTTCAGTAAGGTAATTACAGCCCAAGGAAACTCAAAAGTACATCAAAATGTAACGTGAGTAAGCGTGGAATTGCCCATCTGGTCTGAAGTCCGAGAATCTACATTTCCTTTTACACACATTCCAAAACAGATCTGATTCTGAAATCTGATTCTGACAGGAAAGATTTTGATAAGAGTTTGACTTGGGTAAATTAAAATACCGATTGACTTCATGAACAATTTCCTCCATCTTGTGCATGAACAGGAGAGTGATGCCAAATACTAAATACGTGTAGCTCTTTACCCAGAAGTTCCGCTGTGTGTTGTATTACTGCGGTATGCTCTATTTGTGTGACCGTTATATTGTAATGGTGCAGGGGGGGATTATCTTGCTATATTTTCATGGTGCTTGAGTTTAACTTTAATTACTTATCCCTGCTTGGCTCTTAGAATAATGCTACCAAAAAAGTAATATAGTAATCCTACTATAATTGCGACCTGTCACCATGAAATGAGCTTAAAGTCGGAAATTGTCATTTTTCAGTACAGTGGGGCAAGCCAAAATTTGAGGGGTGGTCAATTTTTTTTTTTTTCAGGTGAAATCCTGTTTTACCTTTCTCCAATTTATTTTGTTCCATCAAACATCTTTAAAACCTATTTTCATCCTGTTTTATTATTTGACTGTTCATTCACTGTATACAACTCCAGGATTTTGTACATGCCATTTTCTCGAGAATCAGTTTTTACAACTTCAAATAAGTTGGTGGTCTGTATTTCCATTACTGATCTCAGTACCCCTAAACATCATATACCAATGGAAAGCTCTTGTTCTGCAGAATCCAGATAAATAAATCACTCGATTCTTAAAAGTCAGGAGCCAATTCATAGAGCTGCTTAAGCACAAAATTTGCTTAAGCACAAAAACGTCTTGCATAATAAAATCATGTAACCTGCCAAAACTCCATGCGATTGTTATGCTAAGTAAACAACATCTAAATACCAGTCACAAGCAATGTACATCACATGCAGTTTGGGCCGGTAACCTAATTGTACTAAGCAATGATTTTTCGTGCTTAAGCAAATTGTGTGCTTAAGCAGCTCTATGAAATTGGGCCCTGACTTTAAGCTCATTTTGTGATGACCGGTTACAATTATGTAGGTGTTCATTTCTTTGTCCAACAAAAAGTAGTATCTAGTGCTTTATTAATTGATTGAGTAGCACATGTCCATAGACCCCTGCCAGCCTTCCGTTGTAAATCTCACAGAACATGTTTATTACCGATTTCATCACTGGTGATTGGAAATCTTGATTAGATATCAGAAGGGTGATTGTGTGTGTTGTGGGAATAAAATTCCTCGTGTCTAGTCCTCTGAGTTGATATGCTGGTATTTTGGAAGAGTTTTAAAGAATCTGGGATTCATTAATAATTGTTTTATGTGAAAAGGTCAACATTTATTCTAATTCCACTTTGATATTTTACCTAAATTAGAAATATGTAACCACGGTTACCTTCCTGTACCTGTCTCCTTGTTTTCCTCTTTCCATTTTTCCCCTGATCAAACTTAATTAATACGTGATTCGCAATAAAATAGTCTTTTGTTATGTCATGTTCACACAAAAAGTCAAAATAATTGAAACAAATAGGTTGGAAGTATTGAATACTGCACAATGTGCTTTAGTTGTGCATCTGATTACAAAACAAGTTAGATTCTGTTAAATATTTAGGTTTTTTTTTTTTAAATAATGGAAACAAAAATTTGAGATATGGGGAAGACACAGACAAATGGATAGAGTAGTTGGCTTTTTGTGATTTTCAAATGTAAATATTTATCTTGTATCAATGAAACATACAATGTATTGATAGTTCATTGACATTCCATTTCTTTTTTCCTTATTTTGTGGTGGAAGTGATAACATTACATTACAAGTCATTTATATCTTCATACTGGTTTTGTTTTTGTTTTGCCAAAGCCTTGAATGATTCTTTGTATAATCTATAAATTGTGGATAGTTGAGTCTGTGCACATGTACATACAGTTTGTTTCTGTCTATCTGGATTGCTGGTTTTATTCATTGCATTTGCTCTGTTTCATGCGCTTTCCGTTTCGCTATTTATGCTCTCAATACTACACTCAGCCAAGCAACAAGCCATTGAAAAGGCATTTTGTTGTCACCGTTTATCCCGTTTTTTGTAATCTGACTTTGACGAGACTAGTAACCACCTCGGAAACAACTCTTCACTGAACCAATTTCATGGCAAAACAAAGCACCCCCTTTCTTCTGTTTCAGCCATAAACGTTGCACTGACGTCTGAAGTAGACGCTATATTGTGCAGCTCTGTGATATGAAGTCATTCATTTCTAAATTTTTAGAAGAATCATAGAGAAACCACACATTTTTTTGTTGCCAATTAAGAATTTGAACTGTTTCACAAGAAAGAACTGATATGTTTAGGACTATGAACATGTTTACCTGTAATCTGGTAATTTTCCAAAAAAAATCAAGCGAAAGAGACTGCAAATTAAGTTCATATTTTTAGTACACACAACGCTCTGTGTTGGCGGAAAATTGTCTTTTGAAAAAAATACACTTTGGGAGAATGTTACATTATAAAACAACGCCGAAAGCTACACGGGTTTTAAAACGGCAAACTAGGGAACTGATCAATTCGAATATGAAAAGCAGCTTTTTGTAACTGATAAAACAAATATTGTGGACCTTTATGAACTGAACTAAGATTTGGTACGTCAAGTTTTGTGTTTGGTTTCGTTTTCTCAAATTATATAATTTAATTTGTAAGAATTGACATTGCATAATGTTGAATAGCTTAAATTCAGTTGCCTAAAGTAGACAGATATTTCTTCTTTTTTTTTAAAGCAGTGTACAGATGATGTACATATGCACATTGTGATTACGTCTCAGTGTTGCCACATTGAATTCTGGTACAATGTATTTCCAATCAATTATACAGGTGTTTGCAGTTGACTCTGTAAATATTGTTCAGTAACAGACCTTTAACAAATACTGTGTTTTTGTTGGACTTTAAACCAAAAAAAAAGGATTATTTTAGCATTGTATAATATGTTGTTACTGGAAGTGTATGTACAAGTAGTACTAAATGTACAATGTTTGCAATCATGTTATGTTGCCATATGACTGTACCGAAATGTTTTAATTTGCCAAAATATTTCTAAATATTTTAGACACACATGGAACAATTTAATTCATTGACCATAATGTGAACATGCACCTCAAACTTGACAAGCTTATTTCTGCCCCAATTCCAGAATGAAAAGTCCAAAATACCAAAGCCTCCTCACCAGTTTTAGATTTTTTTCCTGTACAAGGACGTTTAATACTGTAGTAGATTGCAGTATATGTTTTGATGTCAAAGGATATTAATTGTGTTGCTTGTTTATACCACAAAATCAACATGGAAGTAAACAAATATAAATTGTGAGGTATTCAAGAATTTGAGAAAACTGTAATTATAACCATCAGAATTGTTTTAGTTTCATCTCATTAATACTTAGTATAATTTATATTCTGATAAATGTTTAAATACAGAGTTTGAGTAGACCTAGTGTTGGTTCCAAGACGTTTTTGGTGGTGCGACGTTTCAGTGCACACAGGCTAATTAACTGTGCAGCGATTCACTGTAGCGGGCACCCTTAAAAACACACAAGCCAACAGCCCGCAAATTTCTTTGGGAGTCAACCGAGTCGGGTTCGTGACTGGGATCGTGGTACAAAGGCTGTACAGTCTATCATGAACTACTGCTGAGATCTCTTGCACCAGGGGAAATAAGAATGAATCAAGACTGTATCTTTCTCATTAGTGAAGAGCACAATTGTGACCCTCTAGCACAAAATCAGTAAGAATCCGCACGGCTGTATTTTGAGATACAGCATATAAGACACTGTACGGGCCAAATTATATAAATTCAGATTTATGCGCAAGATGCTTGAATAATGAATATATTTCACTTTAAAGGAAGTTAATTTGTAAATTTCCAAAGAAGTTCATTTGGAAAACAAGTCGTTTGATTTTTTTTCTTCACTTTTAACCTGTAACTCTGTCAGATTCTGTATTCTTTACATCATTGTGAAGCTTATTGAATGTCGAGCATAAAAGTCCCAAAAAGGTATCTTTTATTTACTTAATTGAGTGTCGTTTCCAAACACCCGGTTTCAAAAATTGGTACAAGTGACTTATTTAAGTGCTGGAGGGTCACAATTATAGAGCGACATACGAGGGGAATATTAATAAAAATTTGATTTTTCCTCTTTGTCAGAACAATGCACATACCAACTTGAGAAAGTGTGAAACAGCGTACAAATTGTTCATACAGTACACAGGCACTGGCCTCAACAATGAAATGTGTTTAATGTCACTGTCGTTTCCTTTGTATTTAAATTTGAACAGAAGTTTTTAATATTTACTCTATAAGCAATGATTAGAATAATAAAATCATATTAATTAAAAAAAAAAATAACATTAAAGCACAGGAATAAAACAATTGTATAAAATATAGCCAGTTGGAGTGTGGTTTCTTTGTTGTATGTAACATTGCCCCAAAATGCCCAACGTATGTAACATTGAACCAAAAAAGGTTGGCAGGTAGGCTACTTATTTGCATACATGTACCCTTCAATTACATTTTACATGATGAAATTTTGACCAAAAAAATGAAATGTTTGGCATAAAATGTACCACTATCTGCTTCAAAAATGTTAAAAAGATAAACTACTCTTTAAAGGTTGGGGGGGGGGTCCTCCCTAAAATACTAAAAATTATCTAAATGGTTATCCTAGTTAGAGGTAGAGTGGACCATTTGCAGCTATCCAAAAAGTAACTGCCCAAATTCTGCTAAAAAGCTTACTTTGTTCAAAGAAAGTAACTAAACTCCCTGCGAAATTATTCCTTCTTGAATGCTGTCATTTTGAAGAAAATAAAACAAGGTCATTTCCAAAGATGTGTCAAGTGACACATTTTTGCAAATTTCTGTTAGTAGCTGGTTTGTAATTGGGTGAATCCATGAACGGGTACGTCCAAGCATTAACACGACGAACACGCACGCGCGGTTCCTATTTTTCGTCGGTTCAGTGCATTAATGATTATCAATGCTCTCACCATTGAAGAGGTCATTTGTGGCGGAAGTGTTAATGTGTTCTGAATGGTCCATAGCTGTACTTGTCATAGCAGCGTTATGTACTGGGGAAGTAGAGATCAACCACTGCTTGAAAGTTTATTGTTCAAAGAATTTGCCAATTGCTTTTCTCGGTGCATGTAAGGAAATGTAGATGACTTCCTCGTGTCTACAAAGATAAAATCTGAATTCTCATCATAAATCCATGTCCAGGCCTCCCCGCCTCGACCCGGTAGATCCGTGGGGCTGCGTCTCCAATCTCTTGACAATGAAGTTGGTCGTGTCAATGAAACGCTCGACACAGTTGATGAAACAGTTCTGCATCTTGGTCTCCAGCCTTGCTCCAGGCCGGGTATCAGCGAAGCATGTCTCCCAGCAGGTGTCGGTCAGCTTGTAGACCAGCTGCTGGAAGGTTTGTCTCTGGCCCTCAACATTGATGAAGTGGGCTAACTCTGGGTCCTGTGCCATGCTGCAATATCTGTGTGCAAACCTGTTGATTCAGTCAGATATTTCAGTTTATCCTGCAGAAAAATGAAAATGGTCAAGAATAAAATTAGAAACATCATTAGGGGACTCCCTTATAGTTATACGCATTGGGTTGGTCCCCCCCCCCCCCCTCCCAGTATGTATGCAAAAAATTATGGTGAAACCATTTGCAATGTTAATTACAACAACCCACATTAAGAACAACAACCCCATTCCCCCCCCCCCCCCAAGTGGCCATGTTCTGAAATCACTCCATATTCTATCATTACATACAGACTAAATTTAGCCTACATCTCTAATGAGTGAAATACAGGCCTACCTCACTCGAAAAAGCTCCAGCAATACAGAAATGAACCACGAGAACACGACAACCGCAGCAGAAATATGATGCACAATTTACGATCGTCGACAGATTGGTGCTTGTCACGCCCCAACTATCGCATCGGTCCCAACTATAGTTGGGCCTGTCCCAACTATAGTTGGGCCTGTCCCAACTGTAGTTCCACAGTTGGGCTGGCCCAACTATAGTTGGGCCTGTCCCAACTATAGTTGGGACGGTCCCAACTGTAAGTTCCACTGTTGGGCTGGCCCATCTATAGTTGGGCCACTCCGATCTTTTTATTTTGCGGTGTCCCAACTATAGTTGACATTGATGTACAACTGTAAAACGTTCCCTACAGCTCTGATACACGTCTGACTTTACTGGGGACCACTGAAATTAGTTATTGATGGGGCGAATCTATAGTTGGGCCACTCCAATCTTTTTATTTTGCGGTCCCAACTATAGTGTACATTGTTGTTCGATTATAAAACATTCCCTACAACTCTAATACACATCTGACTTTACTTGGGACCAATGAAATTATCTATGGGTGGGGACCATCTGTAGTTGGGCCACCGCAATATTTTTATTTGGCGGTCCCAACTATAGTTTACATTGATGTACGACTATAAAACATCCCCTACAGCTCTGTTACATACTGTCCGACTTTACTTGGGACCTTTGACATTAGCTATGGGTGGGGCCCATCTATAGTTTGCCGGCCATGGCAATCTTTGAATTTTGCAAAATGTTGCTGGACAATAAAACCCAGCAGCAGCTGGACAACTCATCCAACTAGGCAGTACCACGTGACCGGCCAGCCTTGCGGCATGCATGCACGACGAATACACGGTGCCAGCGCCGCGGAACATTTAATCCAACAAGATCTATCAAGCATGAAGCATCCGGCGCAACTCCAGTCCTAACTATAGTTGGGCCGACCCAACTGCTGCACTATAGTTGGGACAGTCCCAACTATAGTTGGGACCGATGCGATAGTTGGGGCGTGACAGTGCTTTCTGTACTCTGGCTTTGCTTTTCACTTGACTTAGCCATTGAGAAGTCTGGATACCAGATCTACTACTTTTACAAAAATGGCGGACGATTCAAGCCCAGTTTCGTCATTCCTTTTCTGCAAAGAGGACGGAGAACCTATCAATTTCGTCATCAGACCATCAGCTGCAAAAGCAAGATTGAAACCATTGATTGAAGTATGTAATTGTTTACATACTTAAACTTGTTTCATTTCGTGTTCGTACTATTGCTGTTGTATTTTTCACACTGTGCGCGTACTCCGTGTCCGTACCGTACCGCGCCGTGCAGGCGCGCCAAGGCAAGGGCGCGCGACAGGGCTCAGGCAATGCCGGGCCATGGCAAACACAAAAATAGCTCATGCACATACAATATTTGGTCAATCGTTTTGGTTTAGGTCGTACAAAGGTGTACAAAGTCTGTGGAAGGTCAAGAAAATTTTCTAAGTATTTCCTAACAAAATTGGAAATGTTTCTCAGTCCCAGATTTCAATCATGTCTTATCATTTTTGCAAAAACTGACCTTCAATTCATTGAGATGATTCATTGACTATTGATAAAGTGGGGTCAGTTTGCAACATTCTTTCCCAAACAAGAAGTGACTACGCGTATTTAAGGGACAATATTTAATTTGATCAGAATCAGGTTTTATTTATGAACATTACAAATAAACGTGTTATGAAATAAAGACACCCAGTCTCTTCTTGTTTGCATGTGAAAAGTGTTCATGTGTGATACAGGTTCGTGGTCTCCCCCTCTCCACTAATCTACCAGCACAAGCTAATGCCGCAAAAGTGTGAACTTCGATTTTATGGAGCTGTTACGTTTCTTGTCATGGCTTTAAAAGTTTTCAATCAATTCAGTTTATTTTCCACATGCAATAAACAACATCAATGTCAGCATGAAAAAACACCAACACAAATTTAGTTTCCCATGAATATTTGTGTAGATATGGCAGCTGATTTATCCAGGCCAACTTTTTATTGGACACACTGTAGTACCTTTTCCACCTGGAATATGCTTTCAATAATAGACCCATTAACTGGGGCGCTAGAACTCCATTTTTCGGTCAGTCGAATAACTCTAATCTTATATATTTTTCTTACCAGAAAAGAGGTGGTGTCGTCAGTAGTAAGCTGCATGACAACCAAGACTATATCAAGTAAGAAAGCTGAACAAATCTTCTTAATTGTAGTCCTCTTTAGATACTTATTTTATATGCTTTTAGAACAGTGATTTGTGTAGACATAACTTGTCATTATTTACATAGTCTCTTTTTTATTTAGTAATTTAAGTAAGGCTTAAATTTAGAGAGTTATTACTGACTGCTGAAAGTTGGTTTTGGTGAATTCAGGGGGTTTCCTAGTCTATGGAATATCCCCTTACACAGCAAGGGTCTATGATATTCGCGCAGATTGATTGTGCAAAACAAGACTGTATCTTGATAACCAGATTGTGACCATCCATCGGGCGCCTTCTATTTTGTCTTCCATAACCTGTTGTTGTTTAAGAAAACCATGGCAGCCAAATCACCCAATCAACAGCTTGGTCCTCATTTGTGAATGAAGGTCGTCAAAGTTTCTAAAGTCGACTCCAATTGGGTGGCGCGAGGGGTCGCATAAAATTTGCATGTTTAGGATGTCAATCTGAAAACTAAAATATGAAAACTAAAAACGAATGAAAACTAATGGCTGATATAAACGATACTGTATCGTATCTGCCAAAACCCATTAAAAACAAGGGTGTGGATTTTGATGGATTTGGGATGGTTGAGGCATATTGCAGTATTGTGTCCCATACTGTAACTCTTTGAACTTTGACCTTGCAGATTGGCAGTCGAAGGAGACAAGATTGCATCTGATGACTACATCACAGTGCAGTACATTGATGACTGCATAGAAGCTAACCAACTACTTCCAATGGACAAGTACAGGTACAGTCAAATATAAATTCCTAATGCACCTTGCTACAACAGTGATGCCTACATTAGGTACTTGTCATTAACTTGAATCTGTTGATATCTTTGTATTGTTTTTTCTACTATCCCAGGGTTCATCAGCAACAGCCAAGGCCACCTTCCCCAGCAAACTCCACCATTAGTAATGTCAGCTTTAAAGGGCAAGTATCAACCTCCGCCATATTGACCAATTTTGATTGTTAAGTGTGGCTCCACTTGACTGTTGGCTTGGATTTGATGGTACTGTTGTTATATAAACCTAGAGGCACTCAATTGACAGTTTAGAGATATGTGTACAAATTGTGAACTTAATCCAATGTATCTCATTGTTGGATGTATTTACATGGAGTACATTGCAAACAGTCTAGCATTCCTCCGCAATGGCTCCTGAACATGATCAAGACAAGAAAATTGACTTATTTTGGACTCAACAGTAAACGGCATAGCTTAGGCGTGGTAAGCCAGCGCGTAGATGGAAACAAGACATCAGTGAGTGGTTAAGGATTGGAATATCTGTAGAAAGGCTGGCAATAAGAGATGGGTATAGAACCATGGTCTGGGAAGCGACGATCCAGTAGGGACAGGCTATGAATGATGTTGACGTTACGTATTCTCAGACTGGCATCAAGAAAGGTAAATAAAAAACTGAGCATTGCCACTTTGCAAATGTTTTTGTTTTCCCTAGTCGCAGCAAGTACAGCAGTAGTGAGGATACTGCTATCCTGACCTATATTGCTAAGCGCCCAGACTGCCGCTACGCAGGAAACCAAATCTGGCAGAAGATGGAACTCCTCAAGGTACCACACAAGACATCCACCATTTTAAGCCGTCCGAACAGTAGAATCACAGGTTTTAAGGTTTTAGTATGGTTCCAACAGCAACCTCGCTAATTATCACTGCCCTCTGCGTAGTTTGAAGTCTAGGAACTAACCTTTGTGCACTACCTCCCTACTTCAACTGGTTGGGCATAGGACTGTGCATTGAGTATGCAGGATTGTTATTTATGGAACCATTTTGGAACATAACTAATGAAAGAAGCCCATTTTGCTTTTAAATATGTATGAGATGCAAATTTAGCATCTCTTTCATGTCTTTCGCAAACCTTGCCCTGTAGTGTTCCTATACGCGATTGGCCTGAATATTCAACAGCAATAAAAATCAGATTGAAAATCTGGTTGTGGAAAGTAACTGTAGTAATTATCTTTGTTGCAGGTAACAGATCATTCCTGGCAGTCAATGAAGCATCGATTCCTGAAGAAGTTGGTCGATGACCTTCCTAAGTACACCAAATTGGAGGAGGAACAAACAGAGAAGGATGTCTCATCTCCTGGGACTTCTAGTGGAGAGAAAGGTAACCATTGAAAGTAGGCTTTGATTCTGCACGCATCTATCCAATAGACTGTTTTGGGTTTTTTTTTGTGACAATCGTCCATAGTTTCTGCCTCTTGATTGGCCAAGAGTGTGTCAGATGACCGTCTACAACCAGACGTAGCAGCTAGAGGTCTGTGTGCATGCATTCAGGTGTGCGCATTGAGCATACTGTTCCTGCGTGTTACACAGTTAGGTTAGGTTCAAACATTTCATGAAGGGGTAGTTTAGAAAAGTGCAAGTATATGTTCAACTAACTTCATATTGATTTCATATTGAAATAAAAGCCCTTTTCATTTGATTTTGGTCCAATTAATCAGTTGTCGCTTAAAATCAAGCAGAATATGTGGGTGAGGCATTATCAAACAAATATTAACTGCTTCAACTTGTGTAGTGAACCTAGCCTCCCTCAGTGATCCATGGAGCGTTCCATTCCCTTGGCAACGCCTTTGGAAACCAGAACGCTCTGTGGATCAGAGAAGCTAGTTTTATCACACCACTCAAAGTAGTCAATATTTGTAAAATTGTTTTTCAACGGAAGAACTTATGGACTTAATATTTTGAACATTATGAACGTATTTTGAAGTTTGTAATTAAATATTGATAAATTGTACATGTAGAATTTTTTTTTTAAATCCCAATTATGAGTTATGCAGTTGTGGTTTCCCTCTTTTGTTGTTTCAGATGTGATAGCAGATTCCTCAACGTCCAACCAAAAAGAAACATCCCTGAAGACTCCCAGAAAAGAGCAGACCCAGCCAGTACAACTTGGCTCTAACAATAACCCTAACACCTCAGAATCCGAGCCAACAGATCAAGGCAAAGATTCAAACCCTGAGACGGAAGCCCAGGAAAGCATTGACGGGAGTGATTCAGTTTATGACGATTGTCTTCTTCAAGTTGCAGAAGAAAACACCCCAAAGAAGGTACGTCCCAAGTCTACCGTGGCAATCCTATCTCATTTAAAATGTCTTTGTTCAACTTTCAAATTGTAATCATGCATCTAGTCAGTTTCTCTTTGTGGTGTATTAGTAATAGAAAGCCATATTCTCTCTGAGCGATCCCTGTTTGCTATTTCCTGGGTGTGATGCCTTGCTACATAGCATACGGGTGTAAGGCTTCTGACTAGTGCCCCTTGAACAAAGACATTGACAAAATGGGGAACCACCAACATAGGACTTTATATCTTGGTTCATTGGTAGAGCATCGGAACGGCAATCCAGAGGTCACAGGTTCAAACCTCGCTCCAGTAAATTTCTTTGGTCAATTTTACAATCTTTGGAAATGTGAATAAGGGACCCTTCTTTGCTGATGTAATACTGAGGATTTCATCTTTGCTTTCTGGAAATAATGGAGAATTTTGTTGACCGAAGAGCAAGTGAAGTTGCATGTTTTCTTTTACATGTTCTTATACACTGGAGTGTTGATTCTGTTTAAAGACCTACCGTGACAGAGTTAGACCCTAGTGCGTCTAAAACAGATTGATATAGCTTGTTAAGTACTGCCACTAATGAAACGCTGTCAAATAATTTATGCTTGTACACATAGATGGGATGTAGTTCTAAGGGTACTGAAATGTTTAGTGACTCGGCTGAAGAGCACCCTCAGACAAGGAAAAGGAATCATAGGTAAGAACGTTGTTGTTTATTAGACATGTCATCACCTGTCACAAGAGGGTGTTAGCAGTTATGTCATGCGTGGACACCTGTTTTGCTTTAATGCCATGTATGCTGGGCACATTCAGCATCTTTATATTAGCGCCGAACCAAAGTTTTAGCCAGTAGCATAACAAGATGCTAGCAGACTTTTGTGCAACTTTGTGAAAGCTTTTTCTTCGTATTACTATGTACATTGAAGTATGCATGTGACCGAAAGTGGACCGTATTTCCCTGCATAAGTAACGCATGTGCACTAGTTTCCCCGCATTTTTCAGGGAGAGATTTTGCAAGATTCCCAAGATGTTGTGATAGTGGTTCATGGGTGATAGCAGTTCCTTTTAATAATGCCTCTTTTGGGAGCAATTGCGTATCCAATATACAACAACAACGTCTTGTCCCAAGACTAGTTTCTTGTTTGTGCATGTGTGCTCTCAACTGTCTTCCCAGGTCTCGCCAAGTTTCTTCAAATGCGAAAGGAGACCCCACCATGCCAAACGTACCCGTAAGCACAGACAGCACTAAAGAGTCAACAAATGCCTCATCTTCCAACAACAAAGAAACATCACTGAAAACTCCCAGTAGAGAGCAGACCCAGCCAGTACAACTTGCCTCTAACCATAACCCTAACACTTCAGAATCTGAGCCAGCAGATGGAGGCAAAGATCCAAACCCTAAGACGGTAGTTCGTGAAAACAATAACGGGAGCAGTTCAGATTTTGACGATTATCTCATTCAAGCTGCAGAAGAAAATAGCCCAAGGAAGGTAAGCTTCCCCTCGACAGGAGAAAAAGGGAGAGTTGGGAAGACCACTTGGAGAGACATTGCAATGCATTGCCGACCACACCTGATGACCTCATCTTTGCTTTAACCCTAACCCCTTGGGCTCTTCTACTAGAAAGTATCCTGAATCTGCCAAAACCCATCAAATTTGCCATGCGAAAAATTGTTGGTGGCCAGTGAGTCCATCCGAATCCACCAGTTAGCCGGGTGTAAATCTGTTGAGATCCTGAATCCACCAAAGTCCCCCACCAGCTCAATATAGAGGTATCCTGAATCCATCAAAATCCTGCAGTTCCGCTAGGCTTACAATCCTGAATCCATCACAATCCCCCAGTTGTTGCAATATGGAGGTATCCTGAATCCGCCAAAATCCCCCGAAACAGGGGTGAGGGTTTTGATGGATTCAGGTACGTTAGGGTTAGAGAAATATTGGGGATTTTTGTCTGCAAGAAAAAGTGACTTAAGTTGCATGATTTTGTTTACGTGTTGGTAGACACTCTAGCGCTGGTTCTGTGTAATGCCTTGCCCTGCCAGATCTGGTCCCAGTTAGACCCTAGTGCATCTTAAAAATAGATTTAACTATTATAACTAATGAAAACATGCCAAATTATTTATGCTTGCTTACACAGATTGGGTGTAGCTCAGAGGTGACTGAAACGTTTACTGACGCGGCTGAAGGGCGCCCTCCTCCGACACGAAAAAGGCATGCTGGGTAATAATATACAGTTTCTTGAAGCAGTTTCGGTGTGCATAATACGTTGCTGTAGGGCATGATTAATTAAGGGAATAATAGTGTGATTGAGCACTTATAAACCTGTAGTTTAAATTGGGTAGGGGACTGGCCGTCGATAATGGCTCGAGCCCAAGGCAAGGGCTACTTTCGGTAACCGGGCCTAACTGGTTTTAAACAACCCATGTCTAACTGCTCAATCACACTGTTATCCCCATTCATAAGTAACTTTTGACAAATTTTCAACAATTTTGTTCTACCATTTTAGATAAATATTCAGATCGGGCCACTTCCGTGGGGCATGTGAGGCACGCCCGCGATGTGCTCAATGTCACTCCTTGTATGGAGATCATATTAGTGGTTCTCAGGCTGCTGGCAGTATAGCTGGCGCGTGCAGTGCATAGTACGCGAATGTGGCGCAGAGCGAGGGTCTAAAACACAAGCCTGAAACGTCGCTGTTTTTAAGAGTACCACCCATGTCTCGGTTATTTGTGAATGTCTCATTTATTTATGAATGCCAGTTTATTACCTAGGCACCGAGTGATGAGTTCCTTGTTTGTATATGTATCCTCTTCCCAGAAACCAAGTTTCATCAAACAAAAAAGGAGACCACACCGAGCCAAACAGAGACGCAAGCACAGACAGCACCGAAGAGAAAAGGGACGATGGCGTGCGCTCAAGCAAGCGTAGGAGAAGGCACCGTTCTCACATCAGTGACACTGAAGAGTTGGTTGCTGGTGTCTTGGGGGACGTGGATACCTGCAGTGGTAGATACTGCCAAATATTTTCATTTCAGTTTTTGAGACTTCCAAATTGTTACGTGTCTGTGTATATCAAGTATTCCAGAAGTATTTTCCAAGAACCCATCGACTTCGTGTAGGGACTATGGATATATTTTGATGTGTGTCTTACTGAGGAGAAGCAAGGCAGGACACATCAACTCAATCACTGGTTTATGTGAACATACTATAACATGGTTTGAGGGTGGATAGTCAATATTAGCTCCCCTTGGTATTGGAAGCTTACAAACTAGTTCCCGAGGCGAAGCTGAAAGAACTATAGTCTGTCAACTTCCGATACCAGGGGAGCTAATATCGACCATCCACCTGATACAAACCATGTTATATATTTGTTTTACTGTACCTCATACATATTTACCAAAATTTGTCAAGTTATGTACGCATCAGTTATCTGTAGTATCAGTTATCATCTTTTCTTTTAGTGCAAGCTAGAGCTCTGTAAAGCGCATGCGTAGTTGACTAGCTCACGGGTAACCTGTGTGTTAGTTTACTACCCATAGATATTGACCCTGTGCATGAATCCTTGCAGGTGCTCTTGGTAAACCGCAGAACTAGCGGCTGACACGTGATGGTGAATGGACCAGTGAGAATTAGGCTCTCCATTATGAATATGTATGAGGCATAGTAATTTTCACTGGTCACTGCTTAGGATGTACTTACACATATAGAATATATTGTGCGATTCCAATGGCAAACAATAATGACGATGACCAATATTGTCTCTTAAGACAGCATATTTTTTTTTTTCAGAACCAGAGTCATCAGACTCTTCATCCACTGATCCACATTTTCAGGCGCATGTGAATAGAGTTATTGCATTTGTCAAGGTAAGCATAACACTTCATTGTTCCTGTAAAAAGCAACATTACGTACAGTATTTTCAGTTGTATTTTGTCACTATAAGATTTCAACTTCAAGTGAAAACTGAGTGCTGGTTTCCTCTTGAGAAATCTACTAACTTACATTTTCATTCCCGTGTTATTTTTCCAATTTCATCCCCAAAATGTAGATTCCTATTCTAAGTTGCTTTTTTTTTCTAGCAAAAAAAGTTATTCACTTTTGAATGAGACATCGACCAAAAGAATGGGCCTATGGTTAGTTATTGAATTATTACTGTACAAATTTGATTTAATGGCTGTTAGACAATAATTCGGTTCTCATGGGGTAGGCTGGTCTCGCCCCACATTCAACAATGATAATGCACAGACCAGGAGCCAGTGTGCTTGCAAAGCGGATTTGTTTGTGCCCAAAACAAACAAAATATAATTTTCAGAGAGTTGCAGATGTCCAAAAGAGGGAAAAAAAGGTTTGTTTATTTTGTTGGAATGAAACATACAAGTTGATATCTTATTAAATTTTTAAATTTTATTGGCTCTGTTTTTCGTACGGTAAAATAGTTCTCTTTCAAACCCATGACCTCCTGCTTACTAGTGCAGAGGTCTTACCACTCAACCACCGAGCTAACGGAATCGGCTGGCTGGTTGAGTCTGATATTGTTGAAGTTGTCTCAACCTGATAACAGCACCAATAAATACCTGTTACGCCACTCAACAGTATGACTTTGCGGACATATTCACATGGTCAATTGTATGTGTTTGATTGAATTCAGGAGGTTGTGGAAGACTACTCTGTGCCGGTCTTTACAGTGATGCAGTTGCTGTATTTTCACAGTCTTAACTTGGATGCGGTGCTGAATCATCTACAGACAGGAGAGTCCGATGGTATGTTGACCCTTTTTTAAACCCTGTGTCTTGAGTACGGAGGTGCTGTCACTACTTAAAGGTGAAGGACACCATTCCCAAAAAAGTTTAGGTGATTCAAGGAACTACAATACAATAAATCTGATGCAGGTTATAACAAAATTCAGCTCAGTAGGTATTTCATACTTTTAAGAGGTTGTGAAATGCTCGAAGACATTTCCGTCATTTTTCGGGTATATGTAGCCTAAGGTGAGATGAAATAAAAACGACTATTGTTTCTGTCATGAAATGAATACAAAAGGTACTTTTGAGAGCTGTTTTTCAGGTCCTGTTTTGACCCGAACGTGCAGTTTGTGTAAAAGTCGTCGTTGGGGGCAGCAAACAAAACATAGTAAATCGTGATGTAATAAACAGGACTATCTATACAGCGTAGTATAAACGTGTCCTGTTTATTACGCCACGATTTTTCTGATTTTAGGAAGAAACCTGATGACTGTTGATTTCAATTATGCGCTCGCCGACCAACAAATTACTCGATGAATTTCAGTTTTATAAACATATAAACGCACATTACAAAAGAATGGGAGTTTGTCATTATGATATATATGGGTCTACTCTACAATAAAAAAAAATATAAAAAAACAAAACGACTTTCAGCATTCCACAACCTCTTTAGAGAAAACTGGGAAAATGCATCTTGCCAGTTTGGCGTATGTGCGTCTTGTGCCATGTGTCCAAATTGTGTCCATTGACTGGCTGGCTATGGTGGCTTTTATGTCTGTATTATCAGTATCTTAGGGTTGCAGACCAGTAAATAAACTTCCATAGACCCAATGGTAAATGCTCCCACTTCAGAAATTCAGGAAAAATACTCACAACTCTCCAAGGTGTTCGAGACACACATCAAATTAAAGCTTATTTCATCATCTTTCATTTTCTTTTCAATTTTTGGGGGGTCAACTGATGACTTTTAGGAGAAATTTCCATCCGAAGATGATCACCCCTGAAAAGAGTCCTGAAGCCCATCGCCATTTTGAAAAACGATGCCTACACTCCATTGCAAAATAGAGCGCTTTAAGGGCCCCAATTTCATCCAAATTGAACGGAACTACAAGCTCACAGTCCAGTGCACGGCTTCCACCCATATTTTTTTACAAACCCTCAAGTTCATGGCCCACAGCATGCTCAAATACTGAAGATTTTGAGGGCATGCAAATCGTGATTTGGCCGGCGTAGGCAATTTCGGACCGATTTACTGGTCTGCAACCTTAGTTGCCTTGCTGCAACCAACTCGTGAATTCTCAGCCATCTCGTAAAAGTAAAAATATTTCTCACATATTTTTTTGAAATTTCTCAGGGAAACATCAGAGACAACTCAGAGAATTTTGTTTTCATGAAGTGCTTTAAAGTTTGAATCCTATAGGCAAACCAATAACACTTACCATCGTTGTTTTTAAATTTATTTCCAGTTGTCTGGACAAAGGAAAACGATGAGAAGCTGAGTAGTGGCAAACCTGAAGACCTGGAGGAACTCTGCAACATATATGGCAGAGATGAAGTCATGAGACGCCACGCTTTCTTTGATGTATAGGTTCTGTGATCAACCCTTTTTCCCCGTTTTTCTTTGTTCATTTGTTCATCTTTAGACCCTTTCCCATATGTTGTTTTGAGATACATGTTAGTGCTTAAATGTGAAAGGGATAATCGATTGTCTTGAAGTAAGGGATTTGTTTTCTTTAACCCTAACTCCCCAGCCTAATTTACTAGGAACCATACCAATCCTGGCAAATTCCAACACCAACATGGGAAATCGTACACACACAGTGTTGGACTTAGTTTCTGGAGGTATGCCAAACCCAATGTTAAAGACCATCTGTTTAGGGGTACTGTACCTATCCCAACAGATTTAAACAAAACCTGCTGTTGAACTTTGATGGGTTGAGTTCGGTTAAGGTAAATGGAAGATGAAAATATATGACGGATTGTACGTTCCGAATATACACGTAAATTATCAATGGCACATTGCTCCACGAATAAGGTAAACTTTCAGAAATTTATCAAAACGTTTGAGTCAGAACACTTGACTGTAACATAAATTTGCACAGTGGAACAAGCAAGCCCGGGTAGTTACTTAGCTGTAACAATACACGTAGAAACATAACTGAAGGCTAAAAGTCCTTTCTGTAAAAGTCTAAAATGCATACTGATGCGAACACATTTTATCTTGGAAATTTTTGAGTTAATAATATAATCCATGTACTTCCAAAGTCAAGGGAAAAGGTTCACCGAACACCATGTCTGTGCCATTGTCTTTTCAATACTTAGGCAATAATTCAAATCAGTTTAATTGTCAATTTCTTTCAAAAACTGAAACCTTATTTTTTTTTGGGGGGGGGGTTGTCATTTGATATGTTTTCTGGACCACACAAATAATTTCCCAAGGTTATGAGTCATGTTTGATGTTTTTTGTGTTCTTGGGCAAGACACTTGACTACAATTGCCTGCCTCAGCCAAGAATCATATAGCACTGATCCAAAGCTGATGATCTTATTGATATAATATAAGCAACACACTGCGATTAATAAAACTATACTGATTTACCTTTTGTGATTATGTATATGACTGTTACATATTGTACAGAACACTTTTTGTATTTTTCACTGTTTGGACGTTATTAAAGTTTTTTACGTAATTTTTTTCATACAAAAATTGTTGCTCTATGGCTGTTTGATTCTTAAGAGTTTTTTGTGTTAGGGTGAATTACACAGACTTCTGATTTTGTATTTACCGGTTATGAAGCATAGTTTTTTGTTTTTTCTTTAATTTGGATTCCAGTTTTGACTGTCAGCTTATATTTTCTTGTTTCATTCCTCATTTGTTGGAAATCGGGGGAGGACATTGAAGGATGATTTTCAATGATTGCATGAACCATAAAGAATGTTGGAATTTTCAAAAAAAAAATACCTTGATTCTGACCCCTCCCCCTTTTTTTTTGTTTTGGCAAGAGACAAATGCTCTATTAACATATATGCGTCTATTCGTTTGAGAGAGTTTATTGGTTGACTGAGACAATGGGATTTTTTTTTGTAAAACTGGATATGTTGAAATGATTTGTCAAACTCTAAAAAAATACAGGTATGTGTAGATGATCTAGCAGGGGCGAATGTAGGGTTCAGGAAATGGGGGGGGGGGGGGGTAAGTGAAGGTGGTGGTTAAGTGAAGATGTGCCAAAGACGCACCCGTTTGGGGCAATTCCCTTCCTCCTCCCCCCCCCCCCCCCCCCCCCGAGAAATGTTAAATCTTTGATGTTTTTTCCCATGCATTTTAAAGGAAATTTGTAATGGGGGCCCCATTTTACTAGTATAACATTAGTCAGTGGCTGAACGGGGGGGGGGGGGGGTCCCACCTATCCGACACATGATGAACGAATGCATGGGACATCTCAGAAAATATTGTAAGATGATAGAGGGCGTCCTAAATAGAAAACTTTTTTAGTCGGCACCCCGCACTGTATCAACACTTCCACCCTGAAATAACACGCAGAAGTCTAGGAAGATTTCGCAATAGTGCGCACGTATCGGTAACGCACGTATCGCACGTACTACAACAACAACAAGGCGAAGGCCAAAACCACAGCAGTTGCCGCAGTTGAAAGATCTACTTTATGTCATTTGCGTTGAGTTTCACCAGATATTCTACAAGGATGTTAGCAATACCCAACTTGATCTTCAATGTCACTGGATTGGCACAGCGTTTGGCGTGTAAAAGTGCTGCTTCACATGGTGGGTAAATCGAAACGTCATTCGGCAATCATGGCAATTGTTTTGCAAGTTAGTGTACTGTGTCGCACTCAGTGTAGGGAAAAGTAGTTTGAAAAATCCAGCTCACCAGGCTGAGCCTGAGGCTCATGACATATAGGGAGGGGAAAAAATTCTACTATGACATCGACAACCTTGACAACGCATGAGCCGGCCATAGTGCAATACGTCATCATGAATGTTTATCTTCTCATGAATGTTAAACTTTAGTTTATTTATTTTCAATGGATACTTCAAATACGTCCAAAGATTGATTATTGCTACAGCGATCCTGCGCGGCCTAGCGGTTAAAACTTAAGTCTCATGTATCAAGCAAGAGTCCGGGGTTCGAATCTCGATGAAGTAAGTGACTGATTAATAAATAGGAATAAAGGAAAGGAGAGGGTGAGAGTAGAGGAGGGAAAGTGGAGGGAATAACCATAAAGGATGCAACTTTTGGCGCTTGAAAATTAAAATTAATTGAAAAAAGTGGTGGCCCAGTACGAAAATTTTTCCATAGGGTGATTCGCCAGTAGAGTTGGTGCCTTTTAATTCTAGAAGTAGGAAAAAGGGCCCCGTTCTTTCATGTCCTTAAAAAAAGTTTTGGGAGCTAGCACTAGGATGGGGGAGGGGGGGGGGGGGACACAATTACACAAGTTAAACTAAGCATAGGCCTACACCTGAATTTTTGTCAGGCTGCAAATACTAGGGCATGCTAGTGCATGGCCTAATTCAAAATTTGTAAAGTGATTATTCCAAAACTAGGCCCAAATGTTGATGGCTTTTTTTTGTTAAATTTTTTTTATGATTGAGAAGTGAATAACATTTGTATTGCTTGAAAAAAAAAAACTTTTCAAAAAAATATATTATTCTGTTTTGTGTTCCTTGCCCCGGACTGGCTGATCTGTTGTTGGTTTTCTATCTGCACATGTATGTTCCATTTGAGAAATCTTTCCAAAGTGACCGAATGCAATCATTCTAAAATGTCTAAGTCCAACCCTTACACCCTGGGTTGGTTCTGGGAATGTGTAAGCATTTTGATGATTTTAATTATTCCAACTAACATTTTGATTTGATGCTCATTTTTCGCAAATTGTTTTGTTCTTATCACCTGTATCTAGGCCCGAGCTTAGGATCAGAGGCAGAACAGTTCAATGTTGTGACCACCCTGACTGACAGCGGAGATGTCCTAGAGATGGTCAAGTCAGTCATCCCACCGCTAGAACGCAGCAAATACAAAGGACAAGATGGCCGCCTAGCCACCATTGGGGGATGCAAGGAGTACACTGGAGCCCCATACTTTGCTGCCATGGCAGCATTGAAAACTGTGAGTTGAGCGTGGTCGTTGCATCAAAACTGTTCACAACGATTTCTGCATAAAAGCAGGCAAATATTGTGTTGATGTTGTGCATGTTGTGCCCATTCTTGAAAATCACGCATTCTCGAGAATGGGCATGCACATTCTTGAGAATGTGCAACTGGATCCTTGCTCAATCTTGGCAAAAAATAACTCTTCCAGATTGAGCGCACATTCTTGAGAATGCGCGACAAGATAACGGTCTTGTCGATGCCGAGCACCGGCTGCGCTTGGCAAGTCTAGCTGAATCCTCGTTCACTGATTCTCAATAATTATGCTGTTGCAACGCAAGGCGCTGAAAAGTAGAGTGGATATGATAAGTAAAGGCGTATTGATATGGGGGGGGGGGGACCGGGAAAATATAAGAGACATAATAATACTAGTGCAAAGAATTCTGATTTTTGGGATAATAAAAGCGGGGGGGGGGGGGGGGGGACGTAAGAATGAAGAATGAGAATGAATACTGCGACATCCCATAGTGCTAATGCTATTTCCCATTTAAATTGCCACCAATTTATTGTTCACATCCCACCATAACGTCGCAGAGCTGGATTCTATCTAGTCAAAAGAGCAATTTTGGCAGCTTCTGGACATCGTTTTTTTTACATACATGCAGGGACTTGTAACTTGTCTAGCCTAAACAAAGCACTTCCCAGACTAGTTCCCAGTCCTCCGTTATTACAAAACTTCCCATAGTGGGCAGAAAAAAGCAATAATAACAGGTTTAATTTGATTCAAATTATCGTAGTTATACGAGTACAGAAGCATAGCACATTTTCTTTCCTCTTTATATGAATTGTTTCCCTTTTAACCGCTATACAATTCATTTAACATAATTATGTCGTGCAATGTTTGTTAAGATTGGGCAAAATTCATAAATTGTGCACGTGATATTCCCACCCAATCTTAAGAATGAGCGCTCATTCTTAAGAACGCGTGCTCGTTCTTAAGAATGGGCGCTCATTCTTAAGAATGCGCGCCCATTCTCGAGAATGTGCATGCCCATTCTCGAGAATGCGTGATTTTCAAGAATGGGCACAACATGCATACACAATAAGCAGGCAACTGACTACCATATGTCATCAGAGTTTTCACGAAGAGAGAATTGTGGCTACGGGGCGTTGAAACATAGTTTTGAGAAAATCGACTTTAAAGTTGAACCCTTTTTAAACTGAAGATTTCGCCTACTTTTAGAGGACATGTTGATTATTTGTTTATACCGATAGTAAGCTGAAATCTCACACTTACACATTGTACCAATTGCAAGTCAATAGACCAATTAATTGCGGAGCAATTAACGTTCATAGTCATTTGTCTCTTCGTGAAAACTCAAAATCCACAGGCGATTGGTTTTGCCGGGAAAATTGGCAATGATCCAATTGTCTCTTCGTGACAGCTCAAACTCTCCGCTATCCAAACACGCACAAATTGTCTCTTCGTGAAAACTCAAAATTCCACACGCGCTTCGTTTTGCCCGCACGCGTCGTTTCGCTTGCGCACGCTCGAAAGTTGTCTCTTCGTGAAAACTCAAAATCGCACACGCGCGTTATTTTGTCCCTATAGAACAACGTGCATTTTTGCTACAATTTATTGTCTCTTTGTGAAAACTGAAAATACGACTTGGGTGAAATTTTCCCTTTATTGATTCTCATGATCTCAATGATTTCATCTGATTTTGACAAAATAAATTCGCCAAGATGTCCGTTGCAATACACTTGCAAAGAATTTCGAAAATATATTGATTTTTGCCAAAATTGTCTCTTCATGAAAACTGTAACGATATGATGCATCTGTTAATGTTATTGGTTTCAGGGCTGTGATTTGTCGCATGTATTCTGTGCCAAGGAAGCAGCACCAGTTATCAAGTCTTACTCACCAGAACTCATTGTACATCCAGTTCTGTAAGTACAACCTGAGAATATCATTAACCCTCCTTTTGTTTGATCAGTCACAGACAGTCAAAAATTCAAACCTGTTCCTCTGCTATGCCTTTGTACACAAGCTAGTCACCAACAGTCAGATCATATTTAAGCAAGCACTGCGACTAGTCCAATTCAGTCAACAGACAAAAGCAGGCAAGTAGTAGGCACAGCTGGCTTATTAATCACCTACAGTCAAAGCATAGCTGTATCAAGTTACATAAAGTCACAGCCAGTCAATCCTGCTTTATGTATGCTGAAGCCCTTAACTGTTGAAAAAAAGTCACTTGATTGATTTTGACTGAAAGGACAACTTGGTAGGGAATGTATGTTTGCATAAGAGGGTTAATAAGCCCTTTGTTCTCGATATATGTGTTGATTTCATCAATACTTGAGGGCCCCTCCCCCTCCCAAATACAAATCCTGGGCTTAAACAGCTCAGCGCACCCCTTTTTCACAAATGTGGGGTCCATCGCTGCCTTGTCATCCACTTGTGGTTATCTTGTGTGTGCAATGTAGGAAATGCAATTTCCTTGCTTTGCACATGTACATGCATCATACATGTAGTCTATAGACACGTAAGTGGGTGATTATTGCTGACGTTCTACTTTGTCCAGATGGAAATAGATGTTGATCGAATTGAGTTCTCTTAAGTTTAAAGAAAGGGAAAAAAAGAAGGGCAAAAAATTAAATTGTGGGGGTTTATGTAGAGTCTTTGATGCTATCGGGTAGATACTGTGTGCAGAACTTGAATTTTCTAAATTTTCTAAAGTAGCTCAAAATGTCCCGAAACAATAATAGTTTTTATAATGATGTATGTTCTCAAACATCCAGCACTGTAAGATGATATACCAAATATATCTTATTCTGGAACTTACGTTTTGCAACTTGTGACGTTGTGTCCAAAATCATCGGACTTTGTCAGGCAACTGATGACGTGACCAGGCCACTGGGTTATAAGTTGCATGCGAAGTCGAATGATTTCAGACACAACATCGCAAGTTGCAAAATGTAAGTTCCAGAATAAGATTCAGTTGATGTTTCAAATAGTATTTGTGTTTCAAACGAAAAGAACGAGTATTGTTATGGTGGATTGTAATGATCATCATGTCCTTTATGTTTTTCCCTGATGTTTCAGAGATAGTGATGATGGGGTTGAGGAGACGTGTGCATGGCTTCCTCGCATGCATACCCTCATAATAGGACCGGGACTGGGCCGTGACCAAGCACTCTTAAAGAACGTACTGGTATGATATCTTCATCTCTTGCTTAAAGCTATAGTCCATCATTTGCAGCCATCCGAAAATAACTGGCGTAATTACTGTTGAAAAACAAACTTGGTTGAAAGATAGTAAGGGAACTAAACTCCCTGTGAAATTATTCTTTCTGGGAAGCTGTCATTTTGAAGTAATCAACGAAAGAAGGCATTTCCAACGGTGATTCTTAAGAAGCACCGTAGGAAAATTTAAATTAGTAGTTCGTTTTGTTATTCAGCGCAGCGCGCACAAGTATTGGAACGACGCACACGCGCGCGCGGTTGTTATAATTCGTCGGATCAGTGTGCGACGCCGCGTATAGCTGCAATTCAAAACAATTCAAAACATGATTCAGTAACTTTTGATTTGACATTGAGATCTTAGAATGCTGCTTTTCTCGGAATGTACAGCTGAAGCTTAGCTGAAACTTCATCAGCTTAGTTGCTCAGTATCCTTCATTAGATTTTGAACACTTTTGTTGCTTCAAACGAACAAAATGCACTAATTACAAATGATGGACTATAGCTTTAACGCCCATTCCAAGATGCTGCCTTAGTTGTGCTGTCACTTAGAGGTCAGCGTGGTGCAACCATACATTGTAGTTACAGTTGCATGCACTCAAGCGGCCCAACGTGAACTCAGTGTTTTGCTACGGCAAGTGGGAACCCAACTTTCAAAAGTGACTAGAGTTCTATAAATGACTGGTTGGGAAAAAAAACAGTAACTGTTGGACCATGAATGCTGTGTGGTAGTTCTGCATAGTTTTATCTTGTCCGTGGATACCTGCCGGTGATTATTTTGAGTACTACCAAAACTAAAATTCTGTAAATGCAAAACTCTTATGTGAATATGTATGTTTTTATCAACAGGCTGTCATCGATCGGGCCAAAGATTTAAACATTCCCATGGTGATTGACGCAGTAAGTACACTTTTCTTTGTTCCCTGTACTTATCTGCTAGAAGTGCTGACAATAAGCCTATGTATTCTTTTTGTGACAAAGTAAACACTCAGTGTCAGATAAAAAGCTCCTGCGTAATGAAATTCCAGGTTAGGTCCCAAGTTTAAATAGTATTGTTCTCTTGAGACGGGCTCAGAGGCACATTGTAATACTTAAACAGTGATATGCGAAGAGTGACCCTAAATTGTTTGTACTTAAACTTCAATTTCTTTCTCCACCCACACAATGGTATTTGTATTCCAGTAAACATTGGTGAATGCCACAGGCAGAATATTGTGTCTTAAACATCAGCAATGTCCTGCAGCAAAAAGCCATTACTCCAGAGTCGCTGCTAAGAATTGGTTAAGAACATCAATCAGAAATGGATGGAACATCCAAACACTTTATTTCTTTTTATTTAAGTCATCTTTAATGAGGGTAAACTCTGATCAGTGCAAGGCACTGCTTTCCACGGAGGCCCTCAGGTTAATGAGAACTATGAGACCCATTATGTAGCACCTTTATAAGGGCTTACAAGGTGCTGCGGCGCATATTGCAACCACTGCCAGAAACACCAGGGCAAACCCCTTCTCTTAGCGATAAGTGTAACTGGGTTCTTTAACGTGCATTACACAACACACCGGACCTACGGCTTTGCGTCCCATCCGAAGGACGAAGCAATAATGGTAAAGTGCCTTGCTCAAGAGCACAAGCACCAAGTTCCCACGGTCAGGATTCGAACCCATGTACCACGGCACACGAGTCGAACACCGTAATCATTAAACCACAGCACCACACTGTTCAACACCTCATGGATTCAAGGATTCAAAGATTGATCATATTCTTATCTACGGAAGATAAACGGGCAAATCAAGGGAAAGAAATGGGTCCATTAAAGATATTTTGAATCTTTTCTTTAAGGACGCTGTATTTCTTCTGGGAGAAAACCCTGAGGCCATCCAGAACTACACCAAGGCAATCCTCACACCAAATATTGTAGAATTCAACCGTCTCTACAGAAATGTGGTACGTGAATGCTAACTGTCCACAAATCAAATTTGAAAACCCGATGATAATGTTAGGAATGGATTTTAACCTGAGGCCATGGCCTGTTGGTGGCTACACTAAGTGAGCTTAAAGATTTCTTGTAATACATAAAAGCCCACTATTTGTATCGGGTCAAATTGTCTGAGTATTTGAATATTCGATCATCAACTAAATATCGGAACAGCAATTTTAGATTAAAATGTTCTAAACGTGAGCTGTAATGAAAAAAAAATGATCACATTTAGGTTTTTGGTTGCATTCTCCCCTAGCGCTTTGTATCCTTTGGAAAAGGCGCTTTATAAATACGGTTATTATTATTATTATTATTATTATCATCTTGATGTTCCTTAATCGTATAATTATTGGTTACATTGTTTGTCAAATACCACACTTTTGTTGAAAGCCACTTTCTTTCACGATTCGAGAGCTTCCATTAAGGAATACTATTGTTTCTGTCAAATCGGTCAAATGTTAGTCATTGGGCTACCTCTTTGTATTATTTTAATAAGCTCTTTGTCAATTTTAAACAAGCACAGGCATACGCTAATCCCAGCTTGCGGCAAGTTCAGGCTGCCGCACGTTAAACTTGATCAGCCCATGTTGAATATTCCAATATTTGATCAGGTCTTAACTTTAAAAAAATTGAAAACTCAATTATTTGAAAATTCTCAATGTTTTGTGTGGTAATATGGTTACATGGCTTTTCCTGTTTGGTTTTGTCTAAGGTTGGACATGAAGCAGATCCCACTGAACCAGTAGGCAACACGATGAGACTAAGCCAGAAACTGGGTAATGTGACGATCGTCATGAAGGGAGAGAACGATATCATATCCAATGGCATCAATGGTAAGCTGTCATCCGAGTCATAAACTTGGTATTCTCTGAAAAATATTTGGTATTGTGGTCATTTTGTATGGACTCTGTAGTAGGTGACATTGTGACGTATAGATGGGTCATTCTATAAATTCAGGGTCCAAGTGTGACATTTTTCCTGTCCCGTTACAACTCTGAACTTTGTAACTTGCCATTCAAGTGTCATTAAGAATGACTTGGAACAATTTTTCATTTGTTGGGTAGGTAGTTTGCTATTCATAATCACTCTTGGAGGACGACTGCATTAAGGAGTGCATCAGAATTATAAAATCACAGATGTCAGATGCAACAGGGACAGGAAAAAAATGTGACCCCAAATTTATAGAATGACCAATGTATGAATTTCATATTTGGGTCCCTTAGGCCAAAAAAAAGTCTCCGGTTTCTGGTATGCGCGCGCGTCGCCGTAGCCATGCGCGTCGGCAAAATGAAAAAGGTTTTTTTCAATGAAAGATGATGACTCAAAACCGCCAAACTCACTGGTTTGACTGGAATCCTGCTGCTGCACAATTTTAACGTGTTTTTAGATGGGGTTATGATCGAGAATAAGCTTTATGTGGCCTCTCTGGACTCCCATATATTTGCACTAAGTTTAGTCGGGCACCATTTGCAGTTATCAGCCGACATTTGAGGCAAAACAAATCAGGTAAAAAAAAAAAAACGCCGCATCGCCGCACCACTTTTTGGGCAAGCTCCATACCAGAAACCGGAGACTTTTTTGGGGGGGGCCTTACAGACTCCATATTGTTTAGTATGCATTGCAAGAAAAATAATAAAAACAAACACAAAACCAAAAAAAAAAAACGCTAAAAACAGCTACGAGAATGTAGCCCAGAGTTATGATCACACCCGTGTTGCTACACAACTATTGCTTATGGACACAAGCACTGTGTTTAACAAAAATGATAACACAATACTCTAGTTGCTAATCATTTGAATGAGACTAATGTTGATGAGTTCTCTTGCATCATCTCAGTCTTGGTATGTTGTGGCGATGGTAGCGGTAGACGGTGTGGTGGACAGGGCGATATCCTGGCTGGGGCGATGGGCACCTTTGCCTACTGGGCTCACAAGGCGCACGCAGATCCCGACAGACAACCCAAGTGAGTAAAATATCATTTCAAACTGTTCAAGATCTTGTGAGATTGTTCCCAAGGTCTTTGAATTCAGACTGTTCTCAAGATCATTTGGTCTTGGTGGTCGTCTAAAGAAAGGTTGGCAAGACTTGAAGTTAGGACCATGTGATTATATGTTGCCATTCGCACCAGTCGTGTAGCCATCAGGGACTTCAGGGCACGCACCCCCTCCCCCCCAACCAAAATCCTAGTCTCCCAGATGCCCCTACAATAAATCTTTTTTACTAATTAAACTAGAAAAGGAGTGTAGACGACTAGTTTCATTCCTAGCACTCAAAACTAGGACTCATTGCTTTCCCCAACGGATTTGAGAAATATTATTAAAAAGAGATAAAAGACAAAGAGAAAACACGTCCTCCCCCTGCCTCTGCCACCCCCTTCAATTTGCAGCAGCCCACCAGTGTTGTAGTCGAGGCCACAACCTCCGAGGCCAAGGCCGAGGCCACAACCTCCGAGGCCGAGGCCACAACCGTGAGGTCGAGGCCACCACCTCCGAGGCCAAGGTCGAGGCCGTGCACTCCGAGACCAAGGCCGAGGCCATGAAAATCGGCCTCGAGGCCGAGGCCTGCCTCGAGACCTCCAACACAGTCCACCCCCCAAAAATTTGGTTCTGTACCCCCGTCCCAGCCCCATATGCTGCTGACGCCTCCCCCCTCCCTGAATTGACACCCACATCCTACCTACACTACTGTTCAAATCCCCTTGCTTGTCCTAAGAAGTTTGACATGGCCAACCGTGGTTTGGTATATTGCCATAAGGGATTAACCAGAGAACGTCACACTCTGCCAACTGAAAGATGCTAGCTTTTAGTTGGCATGAATGAAATCCATAACATCACAAGACAAACCTTGTTAATTCCAAAATGGTATTTGTATTTGCAGTGAGTTCCTGAAGCATTTCCTCCCGACACTGTGTGCAGCCTACGCTGGCTGTCTGCTGACCAAACGCTGCTCCACACTCGCCTTCCATAAGCACAAGAGGAGCACTACGACCTCTGACATGATGTCAGAGGTCAGCCAAGCATTCTGCCTGCTCTTTGATGAATGATGTCAACAGATGATGACATTGAGCAAAGTTGGAAGCCCTGTTCACTTTACAGTTATTTAAAAAATCTATTGAATTTCATGAAAATGTTTCTGTCCAAGGTGCATGCATTTCTAAAGAAAAGAGGATAAGGTGTAGGGAACAAATATTCAACATTTGAAGTGCCAACAAAGCAAGGCGAGAAACTAATAACCAGTTTTCTCATTGGAACATGCTTTTGTCCTGCAGTGTATGAGTAAGCAAAGTGTGACCTTGTAGCAAACTTTGTATTTTTTTTCTTAAAGAATATACCTTTTTTTTGTATTTTTGTGAAAGGGACTTTTCTTTTATTTTAAAACTTCACACTGCTTCTGAACAGATAATGCACTACCTCTGTAAAATATTGAAGTATTTAAGCAGTAATGTTTTTAACAATATTTGAGGCACATTTACATTTTGTTCTTACTTAATGTTAAAAAAATATTGATTTAAACTTGATTTTACTCGTATTGCTTTCTTTAGGATTAAACAACCCCCCCCCATGAAAAAAAAAATAATTCCAGCATATCTTCTGAAATCCTTTTGAATAACAAACTTTTAAATTCATTTTTTTTTCTCAAGAATGTACATGTCTTTTTTTTTAAACAGACATTTCTGTTATTTCAAAATTTCACAAGTAGTTTCTGAACAGACAGTGCTCTACCTCTGTTGTATATTAAAGTATTCAGGCTGTGATTTATTTAACAAAGAAATTCATTACATTGAGACATATATATTTTGTTCTCATAAATATTACTAAATTCTTCTATTTCAAAACTTCACAATTTTTGTATAAACTAGTGTTCAGTCAGATTATTTAGAAATAATCTTCTAAGGACTTGGTTCAGGCCGGTAAATAATGTGGTTATAATCCTGTGTAAGTTTATATCTGAAAAGGTACATTTTTGGCATATACAGTATGTGTACATATAATGGATCATTGTGCTGTCGTAAACGCTAGTTCATATACTTCACATGAATGTGAATGCAAAAGGAACTTTACGTCAACAAAAATCACAGCAAAATTTGCGGCATTGGAAATGTTTTCAATTTTGTGATTTTACAGCATTTATTTATTTTGACGTCCCATTTTACGTTCACATTTAGACTGTTAACCAGTTTAAACCAGTTTGAACCGGGTTGAATCAGCCTGTATGTATGCTGTTTGCTAGATGCAATCAAATAGATTGTTTTTATTCATTTAAAAATATCACAAGGATTGCCACCCATTAAAGTGTTGAATCAGGAAGGAAAAAAATCCTTCTAAAATATAGAGAAATTGAAAGAGCAGTATAGCCTTTTTAAAGGGCTGTTTATTGAATTTGTATTAAGATGCAGATTTATCATCTACATTTAAATCATGAAAAGCAAAAGACTTGCCACTAAATGTGATTGCAGTTAACATGCATGGCAGTAAGTCCAGTCAATTCACACACACTGGATCTCGGTATACAAGTTGTTAACCTTAATCGACAAGTTGTGTACCTTGATCTTGTAGCAAGTTCAATATGTATATGAACTTTTAAAGTTTATGCAGGAATGTCTTCGATGGTGGAGTGAATATAATTATGCTGGTAATAGTACAAGTAAGCCAAAATATCGCAGTTTTCCAGAATTTTTGCAGGGAATGATATTGCACAATGGGCCCCTGTATATGAAGCAGTTGTTGAACCAAAGCATGATGTCACTATTAAAGAGTTGTCCTTTAACAAAGTGATCATTGTATTTCAGACATTGCTTGTTTTGCCAGTTAAAAAAATCCAGGCAGACATAAAAGTATAGATGAGGAACACTGTTGTTTTACTATCTCTTGGCAAGTTTGGCAGCACATGCTGATGACATTGAATTTCTGAAATGTGAACCCTGTCATGTCCGTTATCCACAAAAGTTTTTATTGTCACAAAGTAATATGGAAATAACTATTATGAAAATATTCACAATAAATTTGTTATTTTCTTTTGAAAGTCAGTCCCATCTTGATATTATTTTGAGTTGTTTTTAAGAACATGATGTCCCATCCTTTGGTGGGTTTGAGATAACTAGAGCTCCAGTTTCTTTTGCGCAGACTTTTGAACGTGTGTGTTGTATATGCTGTCCATATCTGTTTTGTTATTGATATGGATATCATTAGCGGGGATCTCGAAATAGTGGGGATCTCGAAAAAGTGGGGGCAAAATTCAATCAGTGCAAGTTTGTGGCATATTCAGTGGGTTGGGCTAGTGGTTGCCCCTAACCCGAAACTTCCTGGGTTGTAAGGGAGTTAAAATGTACCAGCTGGGCACCCCACAACATCACCCCCACCCTTCGGGAAAAAAAGAACGTCAGAAACTCTCAAGCAGAATCTGTTTTCGTCCTCCACCTCAAATTATGTCCCTGTGTCCACCCACCAGCATTTCAGGTTCATTCTAATCACTGTTGTAACCAACATTGCATTAAAATTGATTTTCATTTCAGAGTGGAGTTCCATTGTCTCGCCTTTAAGACGTGGATATATACCGTTCCAGATTTAGTGTGTTTTAGGGGAGCAAAGTCATATGCATGGATGCATACAACTGCCCGTTGCTGATAAAAACTAATTTCAAAAAGAATATATTATTTATACACACAAATTCTCTCTTCTCAAGCAAACAACACTTTAAAATGAACCAAAGTGCTGCTTACAAAGTAATTTTAATAACTTAAAAGTTTTCGGTAAACAAAAAGCATTGTTATTTTTATTAGGTTCTTTATTCTTTCTTCAAAGTTGCCGGATTGATAAATTAACAGTCAGAAACAGTTGTCCCAGAATGAATTGAAAGGAAAACCACATGTACCATTTTCTCCTAACTTTAAAAAGACTCGTTTTTAAATGAACGATGCATATGCAAATTATTCAAATGTTTGTTTTGGCGTCCAGGCTCAGCGAAACACTGATTGGTCCTCACGGAGATTTGAGCTCTGTGATTGGCTCAGCTTTGGGCGGAATATTTTTCCCTTTGATAGGAGAGCACGTGCGGCGTCTTGTGCATGCTCTGAACCGACGAGACGCCATTTTGAAAAACACGCATGAAAATGGCTGCCGACTGTTTGTGCTTGAAGACATTTGCAAGACTCTTTCAGCTTCTTCGAGTTTTCAAGAAGAGCAGTAACTTGAACCATGGAGGAATAAGAACACATGCTTGAACATGGCGGGAGTCCGAGAAATGACAGTTTTCACCATCATTTTCCTGGTACGTTGAAAATAAAAATAGGCGAGGAAAAGTTTCATTCGTCCCGGACAGTCCTACCATGGAGCTATATCTCCTTGCGGGATCATGCCACACGTAGTTTGCCCTCTTTTCCAATGCCATTTTCCATGCTGTGGTAAAAATGTACTTTAACCCCTCTGTTGGGAGACAAATGATTCCCATATTATGTCCATCACTAATTTTTCCCTTCAGTGACCTATCAGCCATCAGAAAGTGATAAATATGTCCTAAAAAGTCAAATTTAGTAGGGAAAATATCCTATTTACTGAGAAAACACAAGTTTACAAATTTTCAGACCAGTCTCATATAGTCGTGTTCCCTAACGTGGCGCACTTTGAAGCTTACCCAACTTTCCTTGTGTAGCCTGTAGGTTTGCCAAATCTCTTTGTTGATAAACCTCAAATTCATGCAGTGAAATACTGGTACTTTTACCTTTTTAATGCTTGCTATTTAACCTCTGTGAACAATTTCGGTTTCATAAAATTTAATCCAAAATGCAAAAACGGTTGGTCTGGAAATTGGGCACATATTGGCGGAGTGTTCCCTAACGTGGCGCACTTGAATAAATCTCAGAAAATTCCAAATTAACATTTAAGAATTTCTGTAAACTTTATAAATTCTGATAAATCATTATTATTTTTACTTACAAACCCAGCCAGATGTTTGTCAGAAAATTATTTTCTTATTTTTCGGGGCATTTTCAAAGGGTTCACTTTGCACTTGAAAATAAAATCGGAAAATCACGCCAAAATTATTTTTTCTTGTTAACTTTGTAACGGGTAAATAAACTCGCGATTTATGAACGGAGTGTTTAGAACTTGATGAAATTTCACTTTCTGTGAAATTTCAGTTAAAACTTTTGCTCTAGCTAGGCGCTACAGGCGAAAAATCAAAGTGCGCCACGTTAGGGGCCGCGCCACGTTAGGGTACATCAACAATACGGTTTGTGCACAGTGTGAAAAGTGTTAACAAGATATGGGAATCTTTCCTGAGTGACATTTATGGGGAAAAAATGTTGCAACCTGACGCCACATTTTTTTCTTCAAACATTGTATATCATCGCAATGAAGGTCATTCATTACAAAAAGGATGATAAGACATGAATCTGGGTCAAGGGCGGATCAAGGGGTAGCAAACGGGGGCCATGCCCCCCCCCCCCCCCCCCCCCAAAAATAAAAATTAAGGCCAAAAAAAAAAAAAAGTCTCCGGTTTCTGGTATGCGCGCGCGTCGCCGTAGCCATGCGCGTCGGCAAAATGAAAAAAAAAAAATTTCAATGAAAGATGACACAAAACCACCAAACTCACTGGTTTGACTGGAATCCTGATGCTGCACAATTTTAACGTGTTTTTAGACTTGGGTTATGGTCGAGAATAAGCTTTATGTGGCCTCTCTAGACTCCCATATATTTGCACTAAGTTTAGTCAGGCACCATTTGTAGTCATCAGCCGACATTTGAAGCAAAAAAAAAAAACAGGTAAAAAAAAAAAAAAAGCCAAAAAATCCGGCGGGATTTTGGGAGACCACAACATTTTTTGGGACCCCAAAAACAATTGTGTTTTGATCCACCCTTGATCTAGTCTGAGTGTCACCCATTATCCACGGAGCCATCTCCTGTCTAACGTCTGATATGTCAAAGCATGCAGATTTATGCAAGCCGCGCGCCAGCCAATCGGAGACGACTTTAATAAATCGTGACGTCATTTCATCCCAAAATCAGGACTAATGCTGTGATTGGTCAATTCGTATGCAGCGTTTTGTAATACAACAACAGCCGGGAGCGCATTCGCGTAACAATGATACCGAACACCGGGCGCCATGATTGGTCAATTCGAATGCAGCATTTTGTAATACAACAACAGCCGGGAGCGCATTTGCGTAACATGATACCGAGCGCCGCACGCCGTGACATTTTTTTTTTAAATCCATGTCTATTTAATGACGCGCAACGGGTGAATGACCGAAGACCCGATAGACCTATAGAAAGCGCTTGTTGATTGCTCAAAATCTAGGAAGTCAAGACGCGGGGTCTTGCCTAATTAATCAGCAAATCTGTTCGCGCATAATATAGACTACCCTTGATCTGGGACTAAGAAACATTTCAAATTTTGTTAATAAATACTTGTATAATTTTCTTGACTCTCCATAGACTTTGTACACAACTGCTGAAGTAGCGTCAGGTGGCAGCTTGGGATGTCTGTGAGGGCCAGGGATGCGGCACCATCCTGAGGTCATGAACACATCTTTTCTGGCTTTCAGGATGACTGAGAGCTCCAAATTGGTGAGTGTGTCAGTGAATTCTTTGTAGTAATCTTTTATAAGACAGAAATTAGAAAACTTGTTTGTGAAGAGGCAATATTTAAACATCCGAGGCTTATAGGGGCATGCCTTACATAATCGGTTACCTCGGATTGCACCACAGAGCATCTGGAATCTAAACTTTCCTGGGGCCCTTTAGCATGCCCGGACCTCACACTGTAAGACATTTCGTGCTCCGCGCTCGTATTGGTCCTCGGAACAAATGCCCAAACGCATCGTTGCAACAGTTTACAAACTAAACTCATCAATACCACCATTCCTTTCCCAAAATAAAATTCAAGAAAATATGAAGACGAAAATACATGGTTCTCAACTTTGAAGTAAACAGTAAGTTAAAATGTGAAGAAAAAAATTTAAATAAAAATCCTTATCGTAAAAACTTTTGCTCAAATACATTGTAATTTAGGGGAAAGGGGCCAAATGACCAAAGCAGCTAGTTCTAGATAACAACCTATTCTCTGTCCACAAAGCCCAGAGCCGAGAATCGGCTCCATAGGAATTCAATCATGTGACGCCTGGGACATTCACTATGACTAAAGAAAACAACGGTGAAGAAAATCAAACAGACATCACAGAGAGTTGGAGACAAACCACTCAACAGAGCCCTTTGGGCAACAAGGCATATAGAGAATAATTGAACCCTGGTCCTGTACCATGGATAATAAACATTTTGAATTACACAATTGCACGAGCAAGGTCAAACCAAACAGGGTTACTTGGACAAGTGATGCAGCGTGATTTTATGTTTATTGAAATACAGACTCATTGCTGTTTTGGGGCATGCTTATGCATAGATAATTTTGAGGTTCGAATGAACAGTGAGTTTGAATTGTGCAGTCAAGGTTGGATTCAGGTAAAATGCAGTAGATTAAATTAGGGAAATGTACTATTTTGGGCAATTGTTTTGCTCCTGTTATTGGAAATGCACAGATTTGAATGTGTTTTTTTTTCCATTTTTTTTCCAATTCTTCCATGATACATTTGTTTGTCTTGACAACTCTACATGCTTGTTTTACCAGTCATGATAAGGCACTAGACATAATTGATGATAAAAATAATAAATGCGAGAACTATACCTGTAGGCATACACTAACCTCTATTTGACAACTGAAAGTCACTTAGAATAAATATGACGTGAGATTTAACGATTTATTATTTTTTTTGTGATGGATTTGATTCCAAGAATAGACAGTCAAACTTTGGCATCTACTGTAATTGATACGTACAAAATGTATTTCAAAGACAAAAGTGCTCATTTATATCATAACTAATTTTGTTATCAAAAAGTTACATTTTTTTCACTAAAAAAGTGCACTTACTCTTACATCAAATAGAAATGCACTTTGAAATATGCTGTTTTATTTACTGCTTACTGCTAATGCCAAAATCAGGGGAAAATATGACTTGGGTTTGGATTGACATTGTATTATTTAGCAAATTTGTAATCTCCCCACACCCTAATTATGAATAGTGTCCTGCCCCCAAAAAGAGGAGGTTTGCCCAAAAGTTGTGGCTTTCATGTATTTTGAACTTTCATTTTTTAGCTTACTGCAAAAAGTCTTGATAAAATAATGACTCTGCTTCTGCCATTTAATTGAATCGAAATCCCCGCCCACAAAAGGGTAGGCGAAAATTGCTATTCAATTGTGTACACCTGATTTATACCACATGCCAACTGACTATTGGTAAGGTAACAGTGACTTTTTGGTAGTAACCATTTGCTTGAGTATATGGTCCTTCAAGTTTTTAAAGTGCATCTCACCTGTGAAACGCTGGAGCTGGTCATTGCACTGCAGCCACAGTTGAGACAAGACTTTCCCTTACCCCCCCTGGTGATTCCTGACCGGCTCATCACCGTACATTCCTCCACCCTTCCCTCTACCCACCATCCCTACCCTCACCCTCCGCCTCCACCCCTGCCCTCAGCCCCTACCCTCAGCCCCTACCCTCTTTCCTCTTACTACCATCACTTGCACGCACCACTCACACGCACCGGTCCATGTCTATCTTTCCTCCATCCTCTTTCTCCACCTGTAATCTTTTTTTTTCTGTCGCACTCTCGCACGCACCGTTCCATTTCTGCCTACCTTCCCTGCTTCCTCTTTCTCTCCTCTTCACCCCTACTCTTTTCTTTTGTCACTTGCACGCACCATCTCATTTCTGCCCCTCCCCCTTCTTCCTCTATCTACTAACATGGGATCATGACAGCTACCTTCCCGGTGGTGATCCTGTTAAGGGAAGCTTTCTTTTTTTTAAGGGAAAATTCCCAAACTAAAGCTGTCAAATAGGGGATCATTTTGAATTGTGATCAACTTGTAATCTACATTAAGTCTTTATATAAAAAAAATGTTGATTATGATGATAATTTCATGTTGTGTTATGCAATTTCATGTTGAGTCAAAAGAAAGTTTCCAAATTTGTCCAAACTAGGTGGTCATGATTATTTAAGATTTTTTTCTCTCAAAATTAGAAACATCTCTCAAGTACGAAATTCTTGTATTTTGTTGTTTAACATAAATTGCAATTGCTTACCACGATTGAGGCAAAAAGTGAAATCAAATTGTAGCGCTTTTTACTTTTTGAAAATTGAGAAGCTTAACCTGCAAATAAATACAATTTAAGGATGCAATAAATTTCAGTTATGGGAGAGATTTAAGGATGAGATGTTGGGACTGATGCCTGAATTATATTGGGAGTTATGACAGATCAATGTTGAAGATAGCCAGCGAGTCGGGATGACATACGTACAGGCCTCCTCCGTATTTAGAGCCACACATTGATGCATGTTAAAATTCCCTTTTTTTACTTGACATTTGTTGTAGGATGAGATAAATGAAGGTGGTGCATGTCCCATTACCTCAAGTAAAATGCTGCAGTCATTTCTGACAAACTCCCAGCGATAATACCATAATTAGAAGTTAAAACAAATTCTGGTTGTAATGTAGATTCTTACTTGGTGTTTTTCTTTATTGTTTTTACCAACAGCTGTCTGCATTTTGCCTATACTGATAGCTCACCCAACATTCCATGGTTTTGGACCTCCAACTACAGAAAGCACCACAGTAGCAGGTGAGTTTGTAATGCTTTGGTCAGTGTTATACCTATCCACATTCCATCAATGCTAGACTTGGTCCCACAAATTGGCGATTGTGTAGTGTAGGGCCCTGTTCCTTATAAGGAACAAAAATCCGCTTTTAGGTTATTATACTTACCAAACTAGTAAGTGATATTACAAACCAACAGGTATGCCCTAGATAGAGGCCAAGGTTTTTAATTTATTGACCCTGGAAATTTGGGGTTAAAGCGATGATGAAGATGACAAAACGCAACACGAAAATAAAGATGGCGATCACTGCGATGCAGTGAACATGCTAAACTGTGTTGATTCCCATGGCACTTAGCAAACTGTTCAATATTACAAAAAAATGATGTCATGAGAAAGAAGAGAAGTCTGCTTTAGTCAGACAAAAAAAAAATTTTGGAATAATCAAAACACCTTTGACTTTACTTTTAATCGAAACTAAAGAGGGGCCTACTACACAATTGCCATGAAATTGGGAAACTCTTGAAGGTAAAAGTAAACCAAAAAAATGTTGAGCTGATTCAATTGCATTTTGACCGAGAGTAAGGTCTCAATGTTTCAATGTCTCAATGGTTTTCAATGTGTACACCACTGAAATTTCTCAGTTATTCCAACAACGATGAGCAGTGTATCCTTGACTTGAAGGCATATACATGTACATGTAAGATCACTTGCTCTTTATTCCTTTCGTTCGTTTCCAATGTTAACACGACTCAAAATCAAATGAAGCATGTGTTCAAAAGCTAGCCTGTTGAGGTTTCAGCTCAGTGGAAAATTATGAGAAACCGATATTTTGGAAAATTCTGAATGGGACTTTACATATTTTCTGGAGAGCTCCCATTCGTCGTTTACAGCAACTGCTTACATTTCTAGATAGCTAAAGTTCTTGGTAATCTTTCATGCATGGTCTAGTGGTTTGATGGAGTGTGGATTACATAATTCTATCCTTAACAGTTCTGAAACTGTCATTTGTAATATTTGTCATATCCTAGGGTTAGGGTTACAGGGACATTTACGGCCTGAAATCCCCAAACATGTCATGTTGTTATTGTTTATTCATCCTATTTCAAAGGTCTTGTTGAAAGGAAAACAACCTATTATCTTATCGTTCCTGAGAAAAGAGAAAAAAAACTTGTTTACATCAAATGTGGGGAACAGTTTGTGGCATACACATATGTATTTCAAGCCATGTCTGTTCAGTGTGGGCATATTGTACACGTTATGCGTGTGTGTCACATAATACACACAGAACCAATATATACACAAATGTTGTTTCTTACACGTCCGCAGAATGCAAACCACTGTGTTCGGCAGGATTTACAACTAGCACTCAACAGCTCGATTTTTGAGATTTTTGCAAAAATAACCCCAAAAATTCCTAGTTTTAAGTGGACGTATATATATATCCTACTTTGAAATGCTATTTCCAATGGATATTAAGTCGTTTAAAATGCGTTTCTGTATCCCAATTGGGCGTATTCCAGGCCGTAATGTCCATGTAACCCAAACAAAATCAATTGATGTAAATAAGAAAGCAGCTATGAAACCAAAAGTGATGAATTGAACTCTGTCTTTGCCTTGTCCACTCACTTTGTCAGTCCTTCATTTTAAAGGAGCACGATCGCGCAGGCGCTCCTACTGCGCTCCTCGACTGTCTCGAAGGAGCGCCAAAAATAGCGCTCCTCAAAAATCCAAAAGAGGGCTCGTCAAACACGGGAAGTTTAAAAATAAGAAGTGATAAAAACACAAAGGATTTTAAGTCTTAAGCTACACGTATTTTTCGTTGGTATAAATGCCCAAACTCACGTTAATATGCCGCTGGACATCGCTAAAAATGAACGAACACCGAGCTCGTACGTACTGTAAAAGATCGTGTGTGTACGTGTACAGCGGTTGTATACTGTGCGTGCACAATCTGCATATCGCATAGAGCTGCATGAAAACACGTGGGCCCGTACGTGCGAGTGCAGCAATGACTGGTTCCCGCTGCGCCACGCACTAAGTCCCAATGAAGGCATGATGAAAATGCCGTAACCAGTCAATGTAATAGTCGCGCGCGGTGCAATGCACTGACGTACAGTGTTTTGCGTGCAGGCCGGACAGAATAGACATCGTAAAAATGCCAAGAAAACAACGATTGAGAAGGACGATCTTTGCAAGCTTATTCACAGAACTTGATCTCTCTTGTCTGTATATGTATTTCCCGTGTTCATGAATTTATTTTGAGGAAGTTTTACTGGTATGTGAAGTGAAATGATGCATCGTGTTTCACCGAAATCCTACACCGTAAAACGAGTCTCATTGCCGGCCCACCACACACAGTGCATCACAAACGCTCGTACTAGTGCGAAGTTCGGACGTTGTTAGCCAGTTTCTCGTCGTGACTAGCATTGTGTATATGGCAAACTTGACCTGCATTTTCCATTATTTTTAAGATTATTGACGGCAGATATTTTCGATAGAACTTAAGGCAAGTTTGTGTCATTTTGAGGCCCTTTTTGTATATCTTTCGTAGAGCAATTGAAATAGTTCAGGCTGAAAATTTCATATAATTTTTACGAATCTGAAAGCAAATATTCAGTTGCTTTATGTGCCGTTTATTAACTCTCCATTTTCCAAGTATAATCAAGTGATGAACCAACTGACAACTGTATTAAAAAATGAAAGCCTAAGCAGTAGTCAAACCTTTTATTGATCTCCATTTAGTTAGTTTTTATGCCCCGCGGCGAAGCCGAAGGGCATACTGTTTCCGCCTTGTCCTTCCGTGGGTGGGTGGGTGGGTGGGTGGGTGGGTGGGTGGGTGGGTGGGTGGGTGTGTGTGTGTGGGTGGGTGGGTGTGTGGGTGTGTGTGTCCGGACAAATCTTGTCAGCGCGATAACTTGAGAAATACTTAACATATGAACTTCAAATTTGGTTTGTGGATTGTTCTTGGTAATCCTAAGAAGCCTTTCGCATTTGGGGCCAAAAGGCCAAAGGTCAAGTTCACAGTGGCTAAAACAATAGAAATCTTGTCAGCGCGATAACTTGAGAAATACTTTACATGTGAACTTCAAATTTGGTTTGTGGATTGTTTTTGGCAATCCTAAGAAGCCTTTTGCATTTGGGGCCAAAAGGCCAAAGGTCAAGTTCACAGTGGCTAAAACAATAGAAATCTTGTCAGCGCGATAACTTGAGAAATACTTTACATGTGAACTTCAAATTTGGTTTGTGGATTGTTTTTGGCAATCCTAAGAAGCCTTTTGCATTTGGGGCCAAAAGGCCAAAGGTCAAGTTCACAGTGGCTAAAACAATAGAAATCTTGTCAGCGCAAGTACTTGAGAAATACTTTACATGTGAACTTCAAATTTGGTTTGTGGATTGTTCTTGGCAATCCTAAGAAGCCTATTGCATTTGGGGTCAAAAGGTCAAGTGTCAAGTTCACAGTGGATAAAACAACAGAAATCTTGTCAGCGCGATAACTTGAGAAATACTTTAACATATGAACTTCAAATTTGGTTTGTGGATTGTTCTTGGTAATCCTAAGATGCCTATTGAATTTGGGGCCAAAAGGTCAAAGGTCAAGTTCACAGTGGCTAAAACAATAGAAATCTTGTATTTATTCTGAGATTATAGGGATTAGGGATTAATTCATATAAAACCTACAGAAGACACTAATGCTGTCAATGAATGTTCCATGTGACCAAGGTACATGTAAGTTGATGTTAAAAGAGTGGTGTTATGTCATGGGAACAGTCACGGTTGCGGGGCATTTGTGTTTGTAAACACACCTGACTTGTTTAAAATAAATTTTACCTTGTCTTACAGTTACTGAAACGAAAAAAGTAACGCAGCTTGAGCATATGTTATTATGCAAAAACTAATAATAATGCAGCCCCTTGAATAAATCCTTATATTCAAAATAAAACAAAAACAATGGTAACCCGTCGTTTTACCGCTGTTTATCCGTAGATTTTAAGGAGAGCGATTTGCTCTCCTCAAATATTTGAGGAGAGCGATTTATAGCTCTCCTGGATTTTCTTTAAATGAAGGACTGCTTTGTTTTAAAAAGTGCCCCTGCAAAAGATGTACAATTTCCTAATTTTTTTTAACAAACCTCAAATCCTTCAAATACACAAACTGATTCATTTTTGAAACTGGTTCGTTTTTTTAGTTGATGTAATTTAACCACTTGCTTGGGTTATTAGTCCTCCATATAACATTAAAAAATGAGAAAATAAAGTGAAGCCCTATTTTCAGTCATCTCCTGTTTGAAATAAAATTAATTTGAAGCGATTTCTTGCATTGTTGAGATTCAGTTGGGGTCTATCAGGTTTGTAAAACCTTGTCCTTCCTTGCAATTTAAAAATTAACATGCTCAAATTCAAGATAGAAATTTACATACATCAAGTTTGCATAAATAAAGTTTCCAACAGTCAGTCAGGTTTTGACAAGAATGTTTCTAAAAAGTCATAATGTGAGTGCAGCAAGATAGTGTGAAGTATATTGCTGTAATTGTGCAAATGGAAGTCATGCAATGCAAGTGCTTTTAAAGGGTTAGTCCTTAGATAGTTTCATAATGCACACTGCTCACAATTGACCCTCTAACCTTTAGACAAAATTATCAATTATTTTTATTTGAATGAAAAATGTATTTCAGGAAAAAGTCTACCTTGCTTTACAAATTCACTTGGGAGGAACAACCTTCTCCCACGTTCTTTCACAAACTTGATGAATTCTTGCCACTGTGTGATTTTTTTTTGACATTTTGTTATAGTCATTGAATGCAAACAGTTGCACTGTTTAAAAATCCTTTGCAATGAAAGACTCAGATAAATGCTTTGAACCAATCATCAATTCTACATTGCCAAGTTGTCATCAATTTGATTATCTCATTGGTAATAATTCTTGAAACCTTGTTCAATGGGGAAAACAAGTCTACAGTTGCAATGACAGGAACGTTTCTGCTCTTACCATATCTTGCCATGCTCTTTACCTACCAATCTAAATGCACTATTCTGTCATTTGAGATGACAGGAAAGCACACCAGCAAAACATAACTTTCTTTAATTTGCAAATATTGAGAGCCAGTCTAAATACTTTTAACTGGATTCCAACATTCAGACCTGTGTGAAAACGATATTACTAAACAATCATGTATTCTTATCTCCTTTTTTTTTCTACCAAAAAATGTAATAAAAATAAAATGTATGATGGACAGGTAAGTATTGTCCCAGTTGTGGATACCCTTAGTCTAAAATGTTGGAATCCACTTAAAAGGAATCACTGAATTTTCTGTGAAATCACCAATTGCTTGTTTAGCATAAATTTCCAAGGCTTTTGCTTATTTTATTTGTGTATTGATTTATCAGATGTTGTACCATGCCAACAATTCCCCAAATAAAGTCAAATTTTTACCAGGGAGAATACTCATTTCTCACATTTTTTTATGATGAAATAAGTTGGTTTTTCAAGTTACACTGCATTGAATTTTAAAATTTGGTGCACAATTTAAAAACCTGATCTTTCCTTTTTTTAGTGACCTGATTTGTTTTAATTTACAAGGTTTTGCTGAGTATCTTTTTGGCATTTTTCAAAAACCTAGAAAATGTCCATATTGCATACTCAAGAAAACTTTCATTGCAACTTAATGAGATGGCATTGTACAACATCTTGGCTTTACCAACACCATAATTTTTAGGCCTACAGCCTGTAGAATATGACATTAATTCCGAGACCAATGTCACTGAGTTGATCATATAATTTAGGCACAGATAATTTCAGATTTGGGGGGGGGGGGGGGGGGGGTCGGGGGGTTAAGCAGCTCCTTCATTTATTGGCCCTGTTCGATACTGCTTACATTTATTCCCTTAACCTGTAGTGCACATCATATTGAATAAGCCATTTTGGCGTTACAAAAATGTACTACTGTGCATGCGCACATCCCATGACAACGATTAGGGTCGAGGGATAAACAGTTCGCCACAAGCGTGCAAAATCATAGCGGGGTACCAACGAAATTAAAGAAAAGTTCTTATTTTGAATTAGATGCAAAATGTTGATTGTTTTCAACGGCACCATGGTTTACGTTGTTTCGTGTGCTCCAACTTTTGTGCGAGCAAAAATTTCCATCTTCTGTTTTACTAGAACAAAATTGCAAAATGTGGATTTGATTACCGCGTCCCCCTTAGACTTGTGTGCATTTATCTGCTTTGTTTATCTTCCGACACTAAATCGTTGAATCTGATGTGCGCACGTGCAGTAGTACATTTTTGTAACTCCGAAATGGCTTATTGTGCTGTGAGTGCATTGCTAGGACTCCATGCTTAACCTTAAACAAATTTGCTTAACTTGAAGATTACTTTTTGGTGACAATTACAATCCCAGTGAGTGCTAAAAGAATATGCAACTGTTATAGAATGCCAACACTTTTAAACTGAATATTAAATTGATACCAGCCCAGCTGAAGATTTATGAAGTATTAGCTTTTATACTAATATTTAGCTGACTGAAGAGATAAAAAAATAGAATTTCTGTTACTCTCACTGTTAGTCTGCAGTGTGGAAGTAATAAGTGCATAATTCCCCTTACCTTTTTTCCTATTGAGCTTATTTTTTGTATTTTTAAGGTTTTGCTGAGTATCAAATTTGACATTGCCATGCACTCATGGAAAATATGCAAAATGCATACTCAGGAAAACTGTTATTGCTAATTATCCAGTGATGGCATTCTATAACAAACGCAAGATTCCTAGTTCAAAAGAAGACCTGCACTAACTTTGCTGGTAAAAATAAGACAACTCAGTGAATTAAAGAAGATGCTTTTCATCAGATACAATGCCAGCACTTAAAAACAATTACCTGACAAGTACAAACATCTCCCTCAAAGATGTATGATGAACAAACTAATTTAAACTAAAAACGAACCAAGTTATTGTACGTAGTTTGTATAAAAGCAGCCTGTAATGAAGTCAGAGGACTGAATTACCCATTTTCTGCTAAAAATTGTTCTTTTTTTTTTTTCTTTTTTTACATTCAAAAATTTAAAGACTATGCTTTCCCAAGTTATTGTTTAACTTCATCCTGAAATATAGAAAATTCCAAATTGTTATTTG